CGAGATCATATTTAAGGTGATATTGTCTCATCTTGTGTTTAGGGGTAGTAGGTTTCGTCTTGTCTCGGGGCTTTTGGTAAAGTCTCGAGAGGTCTCGAGACTTTGTGAAAAAGGCGAAATATACTCTAGTAAGCATTTGTTTGCAACGGGATCAGATCATTTAATTAATGCGCGAGTAACAAAGGTAATAATACCTGTCTAAATGTTTGTGCTATTTATCATCTCATGGAAGAATCATTTCTGAAAAAGTAGAGTGCTTCCAAAACCTTGCCAATTAAAGGGGTCCAAAAGAATACAAAATAGTTCCGAAACCTCGTCAAAAGGGCCAAAAATAGTCTCGAGATAATTTGGAGGCAGTTTTCATTAGTCTTGTCTCGTTTGGAAAGCTCGAGATCTGGTCTCGAGACCTTAAGTCTCGTGCCCATCACTATAAATTGACCAAAGTATAAGGACCTCCAGGGGAGCATACTCAAAATAGGTCCTTATGATCGAGTTTCAGGTGGCAGACATATATCTGGTAGCTTGATGATCCCGGGAGAATTCTGTTTTTATACTCAAAGTGAATAGTTGTAATTATTTGACTTGGTAGACTGTAAAAAAACAACAGAAATGCCGTTAAAGCTGAGGTATCTGTCATTTCTAGAAATTATTATTTTATCAAGGAGATTTTCCTAGCTATCGATATCATGCGTGAACGGATTACCCAAACGGGTTCATGAAGCTGACAACCTAAGTCGTTTCTCATTGAACAGGGTTGAAAAGTCAACTTTCCGCCGGCTTTTCGTTATAAATATACTCCAACGGGTTAATTACAGCATCTGAGTGGATCTAGACGTTATAATAATGTTCGGAAACCCTTCCTGAATAACCAGCCACTTGGGGAGCCGAATTCTTTGCCAATTTGGATTAGTTTGTAATTTTCCTCTCGTAACCTACTAGGAGACAGGGGGCCTAAGTAGGCTAACCAAGAACTTAAGTTGTGGAAGCCTCAGCATATGCCTTATGTATATAGAGTCTAGAACCCTTTGTCCAGTGAAGGAAGCGCGACCTTGAAAGGTTAGAGATTCCTGTAGATTATAAATCAAGCACAGCAGCGAAGGGGGGGAGGTTGGTGGGTACTTGAGAAAAGAATCAACAATTTCTGGAGTATCACTTTATGGTGGCGAGAGGGCGGCGTTGGAGGATGACCATGTAGGTTGGTATATAGCAAGGTGACGATGAAAAGAAGTGCACGTGAAGAAGGGCGGATAAGGATAAGTTGTGTGTTCCTTTATGTTCGTTCTCAGCCCTCTTACCGATTGCCCATCAGAGTTTCTACCTAACCTCCGCTGGGAGTGAGCATGTATTTACGGTATGTACAGCGCTATGGGAAGGCGCGAGGTCGCAACGCCTGAACACAAAATCTTTCACCACCACCGATGGCGCCCAGAGACCATGTACCCCGCCAGACAGCTAGGAGGGAATGACCAGCCTCCCTGCTGTGGCAAAAAACCAGAGTCTTACAACTCTGGTTAGAGGAGAATAGGGTAGATGTTCTGGAGGACTGGCTTGCCTATTCCATCCCATTGAACATGTTTGGGTGCACCTCAAGAAGCTTTACCATCAACAGTACCCCCATTTGGCATATGGTACTAGATCACCTTAAGTATTAAAGCCCCTCATGGAGGAAGGTCTAATTCATTGCTGGGAACTGTTACCTGATGATTTCTTTGGTACCTAGTTGAGAGCATGCCTAGGAGAATAGAGCTGTTATAAAGGCAAGGGGTTGGTACACAAGATATTAAATGTCAAATTATTTTTATTTAGCTACTATTTAACAACTATACAAAAAACCAGCTCTCCAAAGGATCCATTGTGGTTGCTGGGTGGGTAGTCGTGGTGGCCCGGGAGGTTGCTACGCCGCGCCTTCCCATGATTTATGGCCTAGAACTACATGTATACGTTTGTGCTAACAAGAAGTAGCATCAATATAGCGAATTGAGGTGGAAATTGATGTATCCAACCAGGGCAGGGCTCCTCGTATAAGACGCCTCATCATGGGGTGCCACCTATAGAACCCGCTGTTGGACTCGACGCTCGATCCCGGAGCCACGGTATTCGGTTCTTGAGTTACACCGGACCGCATGATAATATAGTCGCCGTGAGCACTCGGTCGGTACTATTACTATCACATCTCCCAACAGGATCATAATAAGATAAGATAACCGCATCAAGCCCCCTTTCGCTCGGCGGTGGGGTTCAACAATGAGTTGAAACGCACTAGAATAGGTGTTCAAAGCGGTTAATTGTAACTGGAGAAGTACAACATTTTGCCATTTCAGCTGGCCCTCACGATTTTAACCAGGAAAAGCTTCCCACTACAGGGCATGATGAATACTTTTTTAGCTTTAAACCTAGATCTAGTACCAAGAGTTTCTCCTGCTGGGATAGACTCAAGTTTATAGTTTCCGGAGTCATAGCAGATGAACTTGGATCATGAATTATCACTCGAAACCAAATGAAAGGTATCTTCATGACTTTATAATTACTGGAGCTCGAGTTGGCCATGGGCTGGGGTGTCCTTGGTGATTAGTTAGTATCAAAACAATTTTCTTAAGCTTGATATTTCAATGTACATAACTTATAAACCTAAAATTTAAATATTATATATGTACAGATCGTGATTTGGCTATTCCAGGGGTTATTTTCTAATATTTACATCTACCGGAAAGTTGTGATTAGCGGCCCAAACGGCCTATTTAGTTGCCTAGGGCTAGCTTCTAAGTAACGTCTTGTATATCCATCTTCTAGCTCTAAAAGCTTTGTCTTTCCCAGCATCCCTTCTACTGATCTGCTAACTCTCTAGATTACTGAGCCCTTGAATACTTACTAAAAACTATACCTTGTAACCTGTATTATGTAAATCTCATGCGGTACTATGTATCGTTGCACGTTGCATATCCTCGGGGCGGGAATAAAGTACCGGACAATGCAGGTTTTTGGTTCACCAATGGGTGCGCGTGCTAGGTGTGAGCTACTGCAAAAAAAGCCCGGAGACAAAACTTGCATTGTCCGGTACTTTTTGCCTGCCCCGAGTACTACCGCCACACCCTAACCCGCCATGCATATGCTGGATGGCCAATATACAAACAATTTCACACTATATGTGAGATGGAAAATATTAGGGGAATTTGAGAGCGAATTATCCTTTAAACCGTCACCAAAATGCTGACCTACCAAAAAAAAAGCAAATTTGGTGTGGCTTTACTAACAGATCTTATCTTTCTTACCAAATAATAGATCTCCCATACAAATTCAACCCCTATATCACCTGGGTCAGCAATTGACGGGTTAAGTGATAGTAAAAAGTTATTATATTCCTATTAGGTTCTGTACGTTATACTAGTAAACTGATATCATGATACTATAGCTACATGTAAATACCGATCGGTTCATAACTAGCGCTAAGACCTACGCTGCATTTTTTTTAATTCATTAATTGCATGCAACCTACGCTGCGTTAACTGTAGCTGCGTTGGTCGCATATTAATCAATAAATAGGATGGTTAGGAGGTCTAGACTTTGATCCATCAAGTGCTTTACAATACATGTATGTATGTATGTGGTATAAGTACTCTTGCAAGCCAATCATATATCAGCGGAACTGTCCTTTATTCTAGACAACTACATGTAGTAAATTTAAGAGTCCTTGCATGCATACGTATTATTACCCCAGTAACAGGATATGTCTGCTACCTAAACGTCGTTACTCTGTAGAGAACCTCCAACCAATTATCTTAGATTTATGCTTATGGATGAGGTAAAGCTCATACTTGTACCTCCAAATATGCTCCGTGGTATGGAAATCCTGTAGAGGATAATGCCAGTTAACTATACTGGGTCTATATGTACCTATTTATAATCATAAAATCTCCCGACCTACCCCCATGTCTTACGACTTGAGTTATACTTTGCCACGTTATTTGAACGAGAAGATAAAGGTCATTGGTGATTCATGGTGTTTCAAGTCACAAAGCCTTATTGGTCCCGGAATTCCAGACACGGCGGCCTACATATACCAATTTCTGGTTCTGGACCTTGATACTTCGCAACATCTGATAGTAGTAATTGGGTACATAGCTAGTAGTATCGTGAACTAATAATTTCACTTAAGTCTTGAAGGTGAAACCGCAGCCGAGAGGGTGAGTGAGATAGGATTAGGAGGCGCACGTCATGTCTTTCTTTAATGCCGAATCCGACCAACGGTCGCGGGGAAGAAAAAAGAAAGAAGGAGACTCCCTGGATAGCTCACTAATTGATAGCGAATTAAGAAAAGTGTGTATTTGTTCTATGTTGACCTAGGCGGGGGGTCGGGTTTAATTCTTGGTTATTTGATATTCTGTAAACTCCTCATCACAAGATCTCTCTTAAGAGAGCAAGTATCCCGGCGTAGGTAAGTATGCAAGGCACATCAACTTCCTACTCCACTCTACCGAACTACCGTCGCATGTGCAACTTTTTCGCGCTAAGCCAATAGCAGGATCCCAGCCAGATAAGTCTTAAGCTTACGGCCCCGGGTGCCTCGTGATGAAAAATGGCGAAATCGTGACTGCGCCAGTCATGCTATATAGATATGTTCACTGCCTCCTTTTTTCCTTCACTCCTCCATACTTTCGGTTGAAAAGAAAGATTTCCTTACACTTGATACAAGGACTCTTTCCTTTCCTCCGTTGTAACCAAACCTCTGCAGATCTGGTTGCCTTATCAAATGACTACAACTTCGATAACACATTCTTTCCAGAAATGGAGAAGATGGATAGCTTTTGGCTCTGCCATCTTTAACTGGTTTGTCTACCTCAAAATATGGGCCTAAAAAGCGACAAGACGTAGGAGGACGAGGAGGTATCATGAGAAAGATCATACGTTAACACATATCTACTTACCATAGCTTATCTGCTGGGAGTATAGTCCTATTCTCACTATGGGCTCCGGCATTTCAGCAGAAATTAGGATATAGCCAGATGCAGGTGAATGCGATTTCTATCGCTGGAGAGCTAGGACTATATCTTCCGTATGATAACAAAACGCCACATTCTTGATCTATTTTTTTGACCCATGATTAACATACCCCAGAGTCCCAATATTCGGTTACATATGCGACCAACTGGGACCTGACCGGCTCAGTATCCTTTCCGCAGCTTTCTTCGGTTCCGGATACGCTTTGGCATCACTCGCTTTCTCGAGCGATTTTACCTACCAGTATATGGTTATTGCATTTGCTCTGGTAGGGATGGGTACCAGTGCCATGTACTTCTCTGCTGTCACAACCTGTGCGAAGAACTTTACAAGTAGTAGGGGTCTGGCATTAAGCTTCCCAATTGCAAGTTTCGGCTTGAGCGGATTGTGGCAGAGTCAACTTGTTTCCCGAGTTTTTGTGGATGCGAGTGGGGCAGTGATGGTGAATTCCGTATTTGTGGCCTACTCTGTATACTTAATCTTTGTTGGGCTAGTCGGAGGTGTGCTCCTTCAAGTTTTCCCCGAAGAAGTTGTTAGTGGAGAGGTATATGAAGATAATTACGATGATGAGGAGGAGGACGAGGAAGAAGGACGACTATTACGAGAGGAGGAGACGAGTTACGGCACCAGCATCAGTTGTGATAGCGTCGATAGCATCATTGACGATAAGCGCTGGATCAATAATGCCACCCGAAGCTTCCTCCTCGATAAAACTATGTGGCTCTTCGCTACTGGAGTCTTCCTCGTCACCGGCCCTGGCGAAGCCTTCATAAACAATATGGGCTCCCTCGTCCTCTCACTCACTCCTCCCGCAACCACCAGTACCCAAATCGATCCGGCAACCCACGTATCACTTATAGCCATATCTTCCACTGCGGCCCGAATAATTGCAGGTGTTGTATCCGATTACCTTGCTCCCCCAGCCTGTCATGCCGTGCACAGTTCTCGCCCCCGTTGCTCCCGGATGGTGTTTCTTCTATTTTCTGGCACCCTCCTCCTCATGGCACACCTTCTTCTGGCATCAGGTTACATTCAGCTGCACCCATCGCAGTTCTGGATTGTCTCTTCCTCAATTGGTGCTGGCTATGGTGCGACATTTACATTAGCACCAACAGTGGTGAGTGTAGTATGGGGAACTGAGAATTTTGGCACAAATTGGGGAATGGTGTGCATGACCCCTGCGTTGGGAGCAACAGCCTATGGTGTGATATATGCAACTGTGTATGATGAGCATGCTGGTGATGATGGGAGATGTTTTGATCACAGGTGCTACGCCAAGACATTTGGAATAATGGCGGTGGGAACTCTGGTGGCTATGGCAGGCTGGGTGTATGCCTGGAGAATGTGGAAGAAGAGGGGAGTGGTAGTTTAGATGAACATTTCTTTTTATGTATAGATATTGCTTATTCTTTCGGGTTGCATCCGCGTAGGCTTAGGTCTTGCATTTCGTGGACCTTTTTAGATTTTGGGGGGCAGGTAGATAGAGCATCATTAGCTTGTTTTCGGCTTTAAATTGAGTTGTTGAGCAATTTGATAATAATAATACACACGCTAGGTCACAAAGTTCGTACCATTGCCAATTTCGTCCGAGTGACCATACATGATCCTGCTTGACAACAAAGACAACACAGAGCGCACACTGGTCGAAGGCCGAGTCCAAACAAGATAAAATCTTGTAAGTCGGCCTGATACATATTTCTATCTTCTCTCGAGGAATCTTCCTTTTTCTTTCGAACGTTGCTCGCAGGGTAGATATAGTAACAGTATCACCTGTATACGTAGAAGACGGGAGAACCCCTAAAAGGGGTTTCTGTACTGTGTTTTACCAAAGTCCTTCTCCTGCTAATTCCAGTGCATCATACGGGCCTGTATCCATGAAATCCGACTAGAAAAGGTGGGAGCATATTACTGTACTCCATGATTCCAGGAAGGAGTCCCGAGATAACCTACTCCAAACCTTATGGCAAATGGAGAAGGTATGTACATACATATGTGTATATATAACTAGTACAAAGCCTTGATTGTAAACCTTAAAATATAAAAATCAGTAGACTATGTATGTACCTCCCAGTACCAAGCTACCGGCCTGTAGATAAACCAACTCTAGGCACCTGAATTCGGGACGTTCAAAACTTTGTGAGCCCGAGGCCTTCAAAAATAGCAAAATAGTACTGGGGCCAGTGCTAAGGGCCAGCCAGGTAAGGAGGACTAGCTCGGTGTGAAATCACTCCCTAGTGGTTCTACGAGGTTTCTTTTTGTTATTGGCTAGGTTTTTTTTTTTTTTTTTTTGCACTCATGCTCACGAGATCAGATCCTACAAAAATTATCTCACGATCAAAGTCTATCGTAGTTACCTGCGACTCTGGGAATAATCTTGCGTTTATTGGCGACACTTGTTCTCATTGATCTAAGATAAACGACTGGATATTTCTAGATATATTTATAACCTTCTGCGGTGATCCGGGAGCTGAGGCAACATTCTCCTAATTCTTGATCATGATAACTAAATATACGGGTAAAAGTAGACAGGCCATGACCAGATAATAGCGGCCCAGAGTAGAGATAGGTTAACCTCGTCACCGGTGTATACACCTAACCTTATGTCTTGTGGCCCAGGTGGTGGATGTTCGATTCCCACGTACCTTGAATTTCGGGGGACCGCAGTATACGTAACGTACCCAACTCAACATTCCGGCAGTATTACTACATGTGATTATAATGAGCTTTCTCTTTGCAATTTCAGGAAGATAGAATGTGAAATGTCATGTGCGTATGGCTCTCAGGTATCGAGGCATAGAGACGAGTCTGCTATAGTAGCATTTAATTAACAGCAAAAAGAACAGGGAAACACCCAACTACTTCAAAAAAAAAAAGAGAGAGAAAAGAAATATAAAACTATATAGACCACCCAGGAGTTACCCGAACCAAATACCCACCAAGGAGAAAAAAGAAAGACCCAAAATAACTCGTAGTATACAACTGCCGTCGATACATACTATCCCAAACCTCTGGGAGAGAAGGTGTTCGGGGGTGCATATTAAACTTGACTACACTCTTACAAAGGGCATAAAAGACTTTTTTCTTTCCCCGCGCGCGTGTAAAGCAAACCGAGGTAGAAGCCATACTTAAAAGTTAGTGATTTCACCGCACATTGCATTCCCCCATAGGAGATCCGAGCGTAAAGAGCTCTTCAAAACGAAATAAAAAGAAAGAAAGAAAGAAGGAAAGACCCAAAACAACTCCGGTTTACAGCCACCTGTTATTGTCTCCAACTCTTAAACATTGCTCTCCTAGTATAAGGATACTAGTTAAATACGTATACGCTATATTTTCTAGCATAAAACGCATCGTCCCTTTGTTATACAGCGTCTCCGCCGTGATTAGTATTATGTCCTCGTCAAAGTCTAATTAGTCGCTCTATCCTCAAAGCCTGGGACCTCCAAGCCCATCCCCATATCTGCAGTCGGTGCAACATCAGTTGGCGAGTGGTTCTGTGGTGATTGGCTTGTGCCATCCATCATGCTCACGCCAAGTTCTTGGCCATCCATTGTCTGCATATCTGGCGTGTCCATGCCTCGTATGTTGCTATGTGCTGTGATAGCATTGGCATGGGCGATATCCTCACTCGAACTCCTCTCGTCCCCTTTTTTGGCAGCGTTTTTGGCAGCCTGGCCTGGTGCACGAGTCTTTAATTCTCCTGTTACAAACTGGAGGTAGTAAGGAACCTCGATGCCACTCTTAAGGAAAAAGAGTTTAAGATTGCGCGCCTTATCTTTAAGTTGAACTTGATTCCGGTCTTTGAGCATCTCATTAACTGTTCCACCAGGACCAAACATTGCAAGAATTTGGCTCCAGTGAGGGCCTTTTACACGATCAAGGCCGGCCATGAGTGCATTCTCTTCATCAGTTGACCACGGGCGACGTTGGGACGGAAGGCCTGCACGACGGGAGCTGGGGGAAGCCTTGGCAGTAGCGGCAAGGCGAGCACGTTCGTAGAGAACTTGGGTGGGTGCCGACTGTTGCGGGATTGGAGCCTGAGCAGGAGGGGCACCAAGCGACATGGCAATCGAGGTGTTCGAACCAAAGAGCTCGGCCTCGAGGTTAACCTGTGCGGGAGTTACCGCTTCAGGGTTGAGAGGCGGCTGAGGAGCAGTTTGGAGCGAGTTATGAGTTGCCAGGGTAGAAACATTTGGAACATCAAGATTCTCAACGTGTGCATTTGGTTGATTCATCATTTGTTGATGAATAGGGGGAGGGGGAGGGGTTTGGTGGGACATCGGTGGGGGTGGAGTACGTTGTGTACCCGACGACTTTCTTTTACGTGCTCTTCTCATCTAGCATAGAGTTAGAAGTATATATAATGGGGGTGAGAATTCAAATCTTACCGGCGCAGATACTATCACTTCGTAATTTTTGCTGACATACCAGCTGACCTCTTTTAAAAAGTCTTGCCAGACATATTTCTCGCTGAGGTTAACATCATCAGAAATATGCATAAGATGTCCTTTTCTTTGAATCAGCCGAGCAACAAAATCAGCTTCGCTAGGGGTCAAAGCCTTTGCTCCGGGCCGCCTATGAAGCAGGATCTCTTTCATATCGTCAGGAAATAAGTCCGTCAATATTTCGTCTTTAGCCCGCTCATTTGTGGACATAGCTGAGATATATGCTTGTGTCTTCAAATCGAGATATAAAGCACCTTGTGACTTTAGAAGGCGACCTCCATCGGGGACAAAAGTATCTAGGAAATGTTCATTCAAATGAAAGAATCCAACTTCCTGCGAACCGAAGACAGATGAAACGAACGTCGCAAGATTAACTTTGCGCACAGTAGTGCGTTGTTCAGGAAGATCGAGCTTTAAATCGTCCGCACTAAGAAATGCCTCGGGAGTGTAAAGCTTTTTTGTCTGATCGAAAAGTGACTTCATCGTGAAATAGGCCTGACCTTGGTCGGATTCAGGCTGAGTCACGATGCTAAGTGTTTCCTGATATGGCCCTTTGCCCAGTGTTGTCAGGATTTGTGAGGACTAGTACTGATAATCAGCACGTTGTCCAAAGTCCGAAGGGAAATGATCAGTAGGGTAGGTCCTAACATACCAAGTTGTCTAGGATGGGTAAGCTCTGTATTCTCAGGTTTTGGTTCGCGTCCCATAACATGCAGCTCGGATCACCGTAACTCAGGTTCCAAACGTTAATATGATTGAGGTGCTCATTCTCATGGTCAGACTCATCCAAATCAAATTCGTGTTCAAGGCCGTCGTCTTCAAGCGAGCCGTTCTGACTACCATCATGCTCATGATGTTGGTTTTCGTACTGACTTTCTGAACCAGGCTGGCCAGTCTTATCTGCAAAAACGGCAACAACGTCTCCGATGTTTTGAATATGCGCCTCGGCTACTTCATCCTGCATTTCATGAGTGTTCACAACGGGTACGACTCCGTCAATATGTTGTGTTTCGAGGCGTTGGCGTTTTGCCGGGGGTGGGTCGTATGAGGGCTCAAATGTCGAAGGCCCATTAGCATCATTGTGCCCATCCGGGCGTTTTTCCCAGGTATTCGGGGCATTAAAAGAAGCATTAAATGCAGCGATTGAGGATAAGGATGGATCAACCGACTCAAGCTCTAAAGAAACGAAGGGTTAGGTTAATTATTTGATCAAGAGGCTACCGGATGTCGAGAATAGATATGGACAAGGGTGTTGAGGGCGGGGTGGTTGGGTGTGGAGAAACAAATTGGACTTCAAGGAATTTGGGCGAAAAAGAAATGAATAGAAGGGAAGGATCAACACGATTAATGTGAGCTAAATGACAGAGTAATCGCATACCAGTTGTCGTTGTGAGCTGCTGGGGATCCTGTATTTGTTCTTGCTCCTCAGCAGGCGGTGGGAGGGAGTTCTGCTGTGACGTCGAAGACATAGCTTTTGGATTCGGGATTTTTTTTGTGCTGGCTGCTTGCCCTCTGATTGAGCCCGAAGCCCTGTGTGTAAAATATTGTGAGAGAGGGTTGAGGGCGAAAGAGGAGGGCAAAGGCCAGAGACAACCGTGGGGTCGGTGACAGGGGTGTACCAGTTGTTCAGGATAATACAATGGCTTTGTAGTTGCTGATCAGGAGACAGGGTAACGTCGACAACCAATATTGGCGACATAATTCATAAATATACATGTAGGTACATGTACATCTGGATAATTTGTATTTGGAAGGTTTGAGAGTGAAATAATAAAATAAATATCTCCTCGTTTATACTAGCTAATTTATCACAACAACGTGTGTGGTGACCACCTATTCCAACGACATATATATACAGTACGAAAAAAACGGGGTGAAACCAGTACGTACTAGTATACTGTATACTATGACTACGGGATTTAGTAAATAATACGGAATCAAACCGCGCCGGCATTACAAAAGAATACCGTAGTAATGCCGTATTCTTGCAGCATTACTAGCGCATTAAGAGGAATAACGTAGCGAATTCATACCCTTTTTTTTTATGTGGCCGTTGTCCCTTGGGACTATACTAACGGTAGTATCAAGTTGTCCCTTATATTACAGCGCCCTTACGCTCCAAATTTTTGCCACCGCTCACCCTGGCACCGGGTCCTCGGCCAAATAATTAATACGTAACTACATGTAATTCTCTTTCTATGTTTTACCATGAATTGTCTTATTGAAGTTTTCAGAGTCGATAAGGGTTAACGCCTATTATAAAGAGATATAATAATGCTCTCAGTTACATGTGGGCCGTTGAGCTTAGTCGGCAGATGTCGACGAGTGATATTTTATGATTCAGCATTTTTGTTGGGAATATACCCACAATGTCAAACTACATTCCTCTAATAGATTCAAGCAAAGCTCATCATATTTATGTTACTAAACTACATGTAGTTAAAGGCTTTTTTGATACGAGTCTCATTTTCCGCCAGTATCTTCTGGATGAAAGAACTACTAGAATGCTATAACTACTAATTACCAGGCATGCCTCGACATACTGTCTCTGACGTCTACCGAGGATAAATCTACCTGCTGATTTGCCCTTAATCTCCTCCAGCACCACCGCTGGTGTTGGCGGCCGCACCCGTATTAACAGCCCCTCCTCTTCCTTTCCCACCACCACCCCTACCCCTTCCACCCCTAAACCCACCTCTTCCGCCTCCTCCATCGCCGCCTCCACTATTACTACCCCTCCGTCCCCTACCCTGTCTACCGCCACCACTACCACCACCACCACCACCACCACCAGGCCCATTTGTATCAGCAGCAGGAGCAGTAGGAATCCCTGCCTGAGTTTCTATTGAAGTCGGATGCTGAGATCCACGTCTTCCTCCACCTCCGCCGCCTCCACCACCACCACCACCTCCTCCTCCTCCTCCAGTAGCGTTGAAACCTCTTCCTTCACCTCTTCCATGACGTCTCCCTCCGCCACCACCAGCTTTTGGTGCTGTCGGTGTTGTAGGACTCTGTATTTTACCCGGACTAGCTGGTGTAACTGCTGGACCACTTGATGCAGCCGCAGAAGAACCAGAAACAGAGCTTTCGCGTTTAAGTAGCGTTGGCATTGTTGATGTAGAAACTGGGGGAGAGCCAGTATTTAAGGAGACCTGCTTCTTAAGGATAGCCACAGGAGTTGTATTTGACTGAGGTGACGAACCAGATGCAGTGGTGTTCGCACTTTCTTCACGCTCTAGACGATTGCGCCGGTCCCGACGGGAACCGCCACGGGAACGAGGTGTTTTAGCCGCTGTTTCTTGCTGGGATTGTGGATTGTTTGAAGAGAGGGTCGCATTAATTGCCGGTGGCGCGTCAGATTGAACGGTAGCAGGAGCGGGGGTCGAATTGGTGCTTTCAACAACAGAAGCAGCAGTCTCAAGAGCAGTCTTACTAACACGAGAACGACGAGGACCAGCAAGCCCGAGATCGCGCTGAAGAATAGCTGCAACACTGCTTGCGTTTCCGCGTTCCCGGCGTCTTTCCCTTTTTGGCTTCTCTGTATCGGCAGCTGGACTTTTTTCTAATTTCGATCCTGATCCCGAGCTAGACATATTTCGAAGTATACTTCCAGCGCCCGACCCTTCACGTCTGGGCGTCCCGACGCCTGATCCCTCGCGCCTTAGGAGAGTTGCTGTCTCCATATCAACAGTCCTAGCTGCCTGCTTGGTGGCTTTATCTTCCTTATCGTTATCGTCCTTTTCCCTTCCTTTTCCTCTGCTCTTCTCAAGTCGCCGTTTCTCTGACCGCCTCATCGAACCTTCTTTCCCGTCTTTATTATCTTTTGATTTATCAGACTTAGATCTCCCTCCTGTTGAAGCCTTATCAGAGGCTGCCGCAGCCTTTTGTTGCTTGATGAACTCGACAAGAGGTGTTGTTTTGGGCTTCCCTTCTTTCTCCGGAGTTGGCAAAGGGGCAGATAAAGGATCATCTTGGACGACTGCACGCCCACCAGCAGCCGCTGCACCGTCAGTGGTTGTTCCATCAGCTTGAGCGCCATCACCTGCTGTAGGAACAGCAGATGATCCATTAAGAGATGCGATAAAGGTGATAAAATCTGGATCACTATCAATAGTTCCAGCCCTAGCATCTACACGGATGCCTTTTTTCGGGAATTTTTGAAAAGGTGCATATTCCATCTGTGGGTTTGTGGCGTTGCCTTTAGAATCCACAAATTGGCCATGGTTACGGAGAGCATCGTTGAGAGCAGTTATTTGTGCAGGTGTTTTAAATTTGATATAGCAGCGTGAGAAGGTAGGTAGTTTGTTACGACTGCATATTTTATATTATCAGTGATGCTGTTCGGCCTTGATGTGGAGAAGACCGGGAGAACTAACTCTGACGGAATTTTGCCCTGTATCCAACTAAACCACTCCGTAGTTTCTTCATTAATGTATTCTGCTAGAGCTTCTTTAAATTCCTCCTCTCTAAGCAAACTTGGAAGATGACGGACGACGATCCTCAAGCGGACAGTAGCTTGATTTCCACCACCACCACCACCACCACCACCCGTACCACCACCGCCTTTGCTACCCCCACCGGTCCTCGACCGTGATTTAGGTTTTTCTAGAATGGTTGGAGCTGTTGTCGACATAGCTAAATAGGTAAATAAGTGCTTGTTTTGATCAGCTACAGACGTGGATGGATGACGAGTTAAATGGAAGGTCTTGGGTGAGAACAGGCGAGGCCACCAAACCAATGCTTACGTAATAATACACTGGTTTACGCACGAGAGAGCTGAAGTGGGATAGTTGTGGTGGCGGGTGAGAGAGCCCCACAGTTTGTGACGTTTTTGATTTCGGCCAGGCACCTGCGTTTATCGTTTGCCTAATCGACAACAGGCAAGCAGAGGTGATTATTCAAGCGTCCGACCTCAAAGCACTGCCTTACTGCCTCACCAGCTAAAGTCGTGACATTGGTAATTATACCACCTAGGCCATTTACAACCCGTCGCTCTAGTCTGTCCAATAACGCCCCCCCTCCCCCCCCTCCCCCCCCTTCCGTTCAGCTCTATCTGTCTTTATCCAGACTATTTCTGACCGTCTAACCCCAAAGGCCAGCTCATCTCGCACCTATCGGTAATCCTTCTACTAGACCCCTCCACCTCCAAATCTCGCAACCATACCGTTCAGTCAGCTCATCCCGGTTTTCCTCCCCCTCACACACGTACCAAACCCCCCATCTCCAACATCTACTTCTCCGTCATCTCAGCCTACAGGTGGTAGCAGAACCCCACTATCCCGACCCAATCACCGCACATCTACAGTCCTTACTAGCAACAATATGAATCCGGCCGGCGAGAAGGGTGGGGGCCCAGCTGCAGCCACTAGCGGGGGTCCCGATCAATGGTTGGAACAAGCAAAAAAATGTAAATATCTGACGGAAGGGGATATGAAAAAGTTATGTGAGCTTGTCAAGGAGTGCTTGATGGAGGGTTCGTATCTCAGATCCGCTTCTCGTATCCCCACTGCCTTATCTATGAACCATGTATGTAGAGTGAATAAACTAAATGAATCCGTTTTTCGGGGGTGCGCCAATAGAGTCGAACATTCAGCCCGTATCAACACCCGTCACGGTATGCGGTGATATCCATGGCCAGTTTTATGATCTCATGGAGCTATTCAATGTGGGTGGAGGCTTGCCGGACAAGGTCAACTACGTTTTTCTGGGTGATTTCGTTGATCGAGGGTATTTCTCGCTGGAAACATTTACGTTATTGATGTGTTTGAAAGCAAAGTCAGTCTCTCGGAATGCCACCCATAGTTTCTCCGCAACGCACCATGGTCGCACTGATTATGCGCGGGAAACTTGTATAATGACATCTGCTAACCTGATAAATTTACAGATATCCCGATCGGATAACTCTTGTACGCGGAAACCACGAATCTCGTCAGATTACCCAAGTTTACGGTTTCTACGAGGAATGCCAAACGAAATACGGTAACGCTAGTGTATGGAAATCATGTTGTCAAGTTTTTGATTTCTTGGCGCTTGCAGCAATCATAGACGGCAGTGTACTGTGTGTACATGGGGGGCTCAGCCCTGAGATCAGGACATTGGACCAGATAAGAGTTGTTGCAAGGGCGCAGGAAATTCCACACGAAGGAGCATTTTGTGATTTGGTTTGGAGTGATCCAGAAGGTACGTTCATTCTATCTAGAAAGCTAGATAAACCCCCGGATATTCAATTCTAGAGGATTGATAGCTGATGAGATGCGCGAACAGATGTAGAAACATGGGCTGTATCGCCTCGAGGGGCCGGGTGGCTATTTGGTGATAAAGTAGCAACAGAGGTATATGGTCCTCATTCTAAAATTGTTCGACAATATGCTTACTTCTTGCTACTAGTTCAACCATGTAAACGGTTTATCACTAATAGCGCGCGCTCATCAGCTGGTAAATGAAGGATACAAAGTAAGACCCCCATTTCTTCCCCCCCCCCCCCCCCAGTCTAGGAATTTGCGATTATAGTAACTTATTTGTACCGCAGTATCACTTTAAAAATAAAGATGTAGTAACTGTTTGGTCGGCACCAAACTATTGTTACCGCTGCGGAAATGTGGCAAGTATCATGAAACTCGAGAAAGACCTCTCACCGAGTTTCACCATATTTCAAGCAGTGCCGGATGATCAAAGGATAATCCCAGCTGGGAGGGGGGGCGAAGCGAATATTTCCTGTAAACCTTCAAGTTATACTTTTTTTTAACGAGATGGAACTTTATATATGCGCAAAACTCCAACAAAAGGACCATACTATGGACCTGGTTGAGAAGAGCGTGCTGGTTTCTTACGAAGCGACGCATCATGCATTATATCTTTCGGTGTCTGGGTTGTGGACGGTTTTCTTTCTTGTAGGCTGTTAGTTGGTCTGGGTCTGGGTTGTTTGGGGCCGGGGGACAAGAGGGTCAACGTTGGGAGTCTTGCTGCGATTTTGTTGCGTTTTTTCTTCTTTTTTCCAACTGTCTTCTTCCTTCTATGTAAGAGGTTTTTTGTGCAGTGTTGATGCAGGGGCTTTTGGGTGGATTGCTGCCTTACAGTCTAGATTCATATAGTTAAGATGGTATGCAATGGTAGTTATGGGGTTCTGGGTACATACAAATTTTATTTTCTCGCAGCTAGTCATGGGGCTTTTGTAGGTCCTAATGGTCCTCCACATCCCCCAAAGAATCAGGACAAATTATGAGAATAATGAATAGATCCGCGGCAGTATAAGTTATAGTTGGTTTTCTGACCGTCACCAAGGCCTAGGCCTGGCGAACCTAATCTGTTGTCGCAGATGATTATCCTAACCCATCGCCAACGAGTGATACTTGGTGAGGCTTCAAAACAACATACTAATATAGACTACATATTATGTATATTATTTAGTCCCCCACGAGTCTCACCAATTTTTGAACGATATAAACCATCGAGCCTACTAGACATTAGGGAGAGCTCTCCGGTGACCAACTACATGTAGCGTGCACTTTAACAGTATGAACTAAAGAGATGAGGAAAGACGAACGCATGGTGGGGGAAAAGGCCACAAAACACCCATGGAGCGGTCAATAATTCCTATGCTGATAGCTATATTCGCCTATGTACTCGCCGCACTATCTTTCTACCCCAAAATCCTTGAATCGGAGCTCATCTATAGCCCTGAATAGCACTTATATAGTTGGCGCGAAAACTGGCGGCGTGATAACTACATGGACGTGTTGTAGCGCAGGTCAGTCGTCTAGTGCGCTTAGAATTAGCACATACATACATGTACGTACGTATGCGTAGCCCGACATATGGGATACGTTGGAGGCTAGAGTTGGGGGATATATGTTCAGTATATAGGGGGCTCAAGCCCACGAGAGCAAGAACATCTAGGATTTTTGCTCCCGCCCCTCCATCTCCTCCCAGTACTTCCCATGGGTGCACCATGGAATCGTCCTGCAGCGCCTGGTATCGAGTAGTTATACACAGGTATGTGAAGCTCTATCCCTTGGTTTTGATTTCAGATGATGCAGATTTCTGACTCTGAAAAATGGCTATGCAGATAAGCAAGCAACAACTAGCAAATGTCACCTGGACTACTGTAGTGTCCGGACTCTTCCTGTCACTACCTAGCGGAAATATCAACGGCAGCTTCCTATCTACCATCTAATTTTGGCCCAGAACTTTGAAAACAGATGGTTATATCGATCGTTGCAACAGCAAGCTCGAGCTCCAGAGTAATCCAACCACACACCCTTGCCTTTGTCCGGCCCTAATACTAATGGACGGGCCGTTTTATTGGATATTGCACTACTCACTAAGCCTAATTGGGAATTTATTAGGCTTTAGTAGGTCGTCCAATGGGGTAATGGGCTAGAAATATCGCAGAGTTCTTGGTGCCTGAATCCTTCAACTAAGTAGTTCGCTCAACACACTCGGATTCATCATACTGCTACAGTCAGGAATTCCTCAAGACGATAAAGTCCTCCCGGGATCAAGAGGCGGTTACTAGTTTTGCACAACGTTCAGTTAATCCGCCAAAGTTATTTATATCTCTATACAGTTAATAGCTTGCAGTCCGGAATTAAACCCTTTGGCGGGGTTGTGACGCAACCAGCGCCCGAGTGATTATCCATGATCGTCAAACTCACCACACACTCAAATACGACAGGGTCAGTAACCAGCCCCTTTGCCAAGGCCTCCTCCTTGCCTGACATGCTGCCCGGTCTCCAGCGCAGATCACAACAAAACACCAAGCAAGATGGCCATGGAATTGGACTTGTCGAGTGTGAACGTAAGGTGCGTGCATATTGCGTCTCTATCTATCCATAGATATATAGCTGACCACGTTGAGGTTTAGGTACCAATCGATATTCGCTTCGAATAGATCAGCTACGGAAGGTTCGTGTGGCCCGTCCGCATTGCATTGCAGGGAGCTCTCGGAGCTTGGGAGACAAGCAAGCACTGACATTTATTACAGTAGGAACACCAGCGGAACCGGGGCTTTTAAGCCCAAACCAGGGCGGCTACCTCAGTGAAATTGACTTTGAGAGCACTCTCGTAGATGTCGATCCGTATGGTGGTATGTCTCCTCCTCCTCCTTGCTGCCCCTCTCCCGCCGGCCGCAATCATGGCCGTGATGTCGTCGGGCTTGGCCTAACGCCAGCTATCTATTCTATCTATCCTACACAGATGAAGAAACCAATCCTAGCACCCGTCCCGAGCGGGTCGCAGCCGTCGAAATTTCTCCGCACGGTGACCTGATCCTCGAGCTCACCTTCAAGCGCGGGCAAGCCCGCTTCCGCGTCTCATCCCAAGTCTTATGCCTAGCGTCACCGGTATTCCGAGCCATGCTTGGCCCGAACTCTTCGTTCCGGGAGGCGTGCGAGCTACGCACTCACACCACTGCTGGCGGTGGTATGGCGGATGCGGAACCGTATGTGCTGCCACTGGAGGACGACGATCCGGAGGCGATGGCGATCGTGCTGTTTGCGCTGCACCTGCAGAACTCGAAGCTGCCGACGTTCATCAAGGAGAAGCGCACCATCTGGAACATGGCCATCATCTGCGACAAGTATGATTGTACATCGGCGTTCAGTGTGTGGGTGGACGGGTGGGCGGATGGGTGGCGGCGCAGGGCGTTTAGGAATAGCGGACATGGGCTGTGGTTGTTTATCAGTTGGACGTTTGGGCTCGGGGATGTGTTTACGTTTATCTCGAAGAAGCTTATCCTCGAGGGCTACTACCAGACGGAGGGGGGCAAGTTTCTGAGCAAAGAGGGATGGAACCTGGACGGATTGGCGATCCCGAATCCAGTCATGGGTGAGTAGGGCCTACAAATATCCGGTTATATTTCTTCTGGCCGGTTTCGGGAGAGCTATTCTAACGGGGTACTGGCTGGTAGAAATCATCCTCGACATCCGCCGAACAGCAATCACGGCAATGATCGAAGAAGTGCTCACGGTGCTCAAAAAGTTCCTCGCCGGCGGCGACGGCAAGCCGCTCTGCAGCGCCGCATCCCCACTGGAGGACTGCGACCTCATGATCCTGGGCACGCTGATACGGGAGTGCCAGGTCCGCCTGGGCATCTACCCCGACCACAAAAAGTACCTGCTCATGAGCGTCAAGGACGTGCACGAGAACCTGCGGAGCATCAAGCCGCGCTCCGTAGGCGCCGACTCGCTGCGCGGCGGGGGCCACGGGGGTACGTGCTACTACGATTTCTACCTGCTGCATAACAGGCTTGATAGGACGTTGGCGAGCATTGGGGGGTTGGAGTTGGCGGATTTTGGGTCCCGCCAGGGACTGCCGATACGAAGGGTTGAGACGGGGCGGGGAGGAATCCGGCGCAGGATGAGGTGTATACGCCGTCGCTGACTTGTGAGTGTTATCTTTCTTACTTTCTAACTATTGTATGTGAGGTGAGTGTGTAGCTAATGAGGTTGTGTTTCTACTATGGTAGTGATCAAGAAGCTGTTTTATCCACGGCGACAGAGGCAGGCGTCGAGCGCGCATCTTGTACAGTAGACACCAATTATTACGTTGGTGTGTACATGTAATTTAGTATCGGTTTCGGGAGAACACCCAGTTATTTATGGTTACGATGGGATGGGATGGGATGGGCATTTATGGGCGAACTGGAGCGAGGGAATGTTTTAGTTGTATACCTATTTACATACATACAATGTATAGCCTAGATCAAAGAAAAAGCTACATACTTCATAACGACTCAATGACACACACTTGTACCTACCTGATCACTTGGTCATACAGCGCGGACAAAGGAGTAGAGTTTGACCACTGTGTGTTCTAGAGTTCCGTCAGTGTGAGGCAGCGCAGCTTCCCACTGTGATACTTTCCCCTGACTAAGCACCACACGAACAGAGACCCAACCCAACGCGTGCGCCTGTGACCTTCTCCCCTGCCTGCCTGCCTGCCAAATTCCACATCCCAGCCCGCAACCGGCCACACACCACACACAGAACAGCACTTTCCCACACACACACACACCATCTGCCAAAAAGGCTTATCCACCCACGCACCCACCACCCCCATGCCGCCAGCAGCCCCGCGAGCCCCGGGCGCGCCAGGCCGCGCACAGCTAGAGGCCATGGTCAAGCTCGTGCATGACGTAACCGGGCGCCCGCTCAACGAGATCAGGACGGACCTCGAGTACACGCGCGACCCGCAGAGGACCATTGTGAGGATCATGGAGGGCGAGGTATGTCTGTCTGTGTCTGTGTTTGGGGTGTTTGGGGGAGTGAGTGCTGATGGGACAGTTTTTGAAAGGGACACCGAGGGAGCTGGGAGTGGGTGTCGGGGTGGGAACAGGGACGGGAACGGGGAGGGGGTTGGATGGGCGGCGGTGAACCAGCGGGCTGGGGGTGCGGGTGGTATGGGCATGAGTGGGAATGCGGACGGGAATGCGGTGCAGATGCTGGATCCTCGGCCGTCAGCACCGCTGCTACCGCCGCCGGTGGTGCACAACTGGCCGTGGAGAGAGAGTGAGAGAGAACGGGAAACGGAGAGTAGAAGCCCTGAGAAGAAGTACGTACCTGTTTTGTTCTATTCTGTTCTGTCCATGGGTCACCTACCTGTAGTGACTTGAGACTGAGACTGCTCCCCCTGTCTTCCCCCCGCCTGCTAGGAATGTGCCGATGCAGGTTATTGATCTCTGCGATTCGGAGGAAGAGGACGAATCACCCCCGGCACCCCCGGCACCCCCGCCGCCCCTCCCCCAGCCACAGCGGGCGACACAGATGCAGCCGTCACCAGAAACATGGCAGCGAGGCCCTGCTGCAGAACAGCCCGCCGCCGCCGCCGCCTCCAGCTCGAGGTGGACACGCACCCGGCGCCCCGCGGGCGAACCAAGAGCACCCCCGCCTCTCCCGCTGCTTTCGGCCCCCTTTGAACCAGCGGAGAGGCCGGCACCGCACCACCGGGCTGCGGAAAGCAGCAGTGCAGCCGCCCCCCCGGCGAGTAGTAGTGATGCATGGACGACCCCCGTACGAGCCCGACCTCCTCCTCCGCCCGCGATGCCGGCTTCCCGCCATCATGTCGATACGTGGGGCGGCCCTGCAACAGCGCCGCCGGTGAGACACCATGTACCGGCGGCACCCCCGCCGTCGCCTCCTCCTCCGCAGCCGGTGTTTAGCGCATCCCCGCTATTTAGATATCAGGGTTCTGAGTCTCCGTCGCCGCCTTTATTGTCGCCGGAACGGCCGAAACCACGGGTTGTGACGCATGCTAGTTATCGGGTCGACCCATCATCTCCTGCTACTCTTGCTGCGGCGGCCCCGCTACCGTCATCGTCGCCAGAACGACCGAAACCGAAACCGAAACCGCGGGTTGTGACGCATGCTAATTTCCGGGTCGATCCGTCTCCTGCTGCGGCCCCGCCGCCGCCGCCGCCGGTTTTCAAGACGCCCGTGGCGGGCAAGCGGCAGAAACTCGATGTCATATCCATCGACTCCGACTCCTCCCCCGACTCTGGCGGACCAGCAGCAGCACCGCGCAGTGCGGTCTCTGTGCCCAACACAGACTCGATCCCGCGGAGAGCCCGGAGGGATAGACAATCTTCTTATTCTTCGCCGACAAAAGATCAAGAGCCGGTGTTGAGTACTGCTACGCGCTCGCTGTTGCAGGAGTTTGGGGATGAAGCTCGCGGAACTCGGATGATGATGACGGGGAGCTGGTTGTGAGTGCTAGCGGCAGCGCGGGTAAGAAGAAGAAGGCGCCGGTGAAGAGCGTAAAGACGAAGGCTGCCCCCGGGAAGCGGAAGACGAAGCCTCCAGAGGTGGCGGTGGAGGAAGAGGCGGCGGCGGCGGCGGCGGCAAAGAAAAGCACCCGCCTCACCGACGCCGAGAAGGCCCAGCGCGCCGCCGAGAAGGAAGCCGCCAAAGAAGCCGTCAAGCTGCAGCGCCAGCAGGAACGAGAAGCCAAAGCCGCCGAGCGCGACGCAGCAAAGGCGCAGAAGAATCGGGAGCGCGAGGCCAAGGAGCTCGAGAAGAAGCAGGAGCAAGAGCTGGCGCTGGCGAATAAGCTACGCATGTCGCGGAAGGACTCGGTGCAGGAGATGATTGTGGACATGTCGCAGCACCTCAAGGACTCTGCGACGGGCCAGTCGCTGGCGCGCTTCCTGGTGGGGTTGGGGTGCGAGGTGAATACCACCTGGTATCCGACGCTGCCTGAGGGCACGCAGCGGGAGTGGCGGGTGGCAAAGTGGCGGAGGAAGGTGACGACGGAGTGGGATGAGAGGCGCGCGCTGTTTGTGCCCTTGCCGGCCATGAAGGTCACCGATGAGCGCCATGTGCTCGTCTATCTCACCGCGCAGGAGTTCTGGCAGCTGGCAGAGGGTGCGGAAGAAGCTAGGCTGGCGGAGCATGTCCAGCTGGCGAGTGGCTTCTCGCCGGGGATGCAGGATGTGAAGGTGTTGTATCTGCTGGAGGGGGTGGAGGCATTTGTCCGCGGGAATCGGAACAATAGGAATAGAGAGTACCAGAACAGGGTTCGCGCGGCGCTGGGCGAGGGCGCGAGTATACCGGCCGACGCGGAGATTCTTGATGAAGACGTGCTGCAGGACGCACTGCTGGAGCTCCAGATCGTCCATGGGTGTCTTGTGCACCACACGGCCTCGGGCGTCGAGTCGGCGGAGTGGATCAGTAAGTTTACGACCGATATCTCGACTATTCCTTACAAGTAAGTTCCCCCCCTCCCCCTCCCTCTTGTATCGGTTTGATGATGAGGGTGGCTGACGATGTCTGTTTTTTGCCCCCTGCTAGGAACTCGCGGAGCGCAATCGGCGCGGCGGGCTTCTGCACAGACGCGGGCCAGCTCCGCGTCGGTATTGGCAAGGCAGATACGTTCCGCCGCATGCTGGAGGAGATTCATCGTGTGACGCCGAGCGTGGCGGAGGCGGTGGTGCGCGTGTATCCGGATGTGCGGGCGCTCGTGGAGGCGTTTGCGGGGTATGGGGAGGAGATGTTGGCGGATTTGCCGGTATGTGTTCTTTTTTATATATATATCTGCTGTATTAGTTGTGGCTTGAAGATTCTAAGCGGGGGGGGGGGGGGGGGAGGGGAATTGGGGATGTGGGAAGAGAAGAGAAGAGAAGAGCTAATGGATGGATGGGGGGGTTGATGCAGATCTCGACGACAAGGGGTGGGAGGACAACGGATAAGACGGTGGGGCAGTCGATTAGTAGGAGGATTTGTGGGGTATTTATGAATAGGGATCCGGATAGTGTTGAGATCTAGCTTGCTTCCTTCCTTTCTTTCTTTCTAAACCCTTTTCTTTTTCTTTTTTGCCTTCTTTCTTGGTGTTTTTTTTTTTTTTTTTTGCTTTCTGGTGGGGGTGGGTAAGTCTTTTGCTTGCTTGGTGTTGAGGGATTTGGATATATAGCTAAGGATTCGATCGAGACATTACATGTGGCGGAACTGGAGACGGATTGATTGCATGGCGTTGGTTACATGAGTTAGTATAATTAGATGTGTGTGAGTATGGTGCTTAGGCCGTGTGTTTTGCGGTGGTGATGGTGATTGCAATGATGATGGTGGTGATGTTGAGAGTGGGTGGGAGTGAGTAGCGAGTGGGAGTGAGTGAGTGAGGGCTCGGCGAGTGATATTTTATGAATGTATGCCGAGCCTAGACATACCCAGTGCTAAGCCCCGTTAATACTTGACTTAGATCCATTACATAGACAACTCACACATCAACACCCCTCTGGTAAAAGTATACTAGAGTCTGTAGAACAAATCATCTTGAGGGGCAAACACACGGACTTGGTACGACATGCTGAGCTGGGAGTGTAAGATTAGGTGAGGTTATTGAAGCTAGTTTAATTCTTTAACTCTACCAGCCATTCGTCCTGGACTTGGATTAGCTAGAGGATCCTGTGTAGGAACATGCATCAATCAAGACCTAGAGGTAGCAGGATGGGTGGTTCCAATACTACGAAGGAACATATCGATGAAAGTCTATGAAGAAGGGTATTGAGAGCTAGCACGTGTAGATGGTGTGGTTAAAAGCTATGGATCCGCTCGATTGACTTTTATGTCAGCTTACGGGAGCGCGCAGCATTGACCGGAGGCAAGCAGAGAATCTGAGGTCTCAATCTCAATGGCACAGCTGCGGCATCTGCAGTGACAGAAACATGGATAAAACGACTACCGCTGCCGTAACACTACCGTGTACTTCGTTAAAATACGGAAATAAAGCGGCACATTCTCACAATACCGTACTGATGCGGTATCAGATTTACCCCCCCATTTCTGATACTGTATCTTCCAGCCCTCACCAGCACAAGTCCGCCAACCCACAACATCGTGGTACCGGGATACGCACTAGTACAGCGCAGTACAGTAAGCACCCAATCCCCACCCCACTACACCCCACACACGCGCGCGCCGCCGCCGCCGCCACCCGGTACGCAGACCCCACCTACCGGCGACTACATATAACTAGCGCGCCCAGCAGCCCACGTTGTCTCTCGAACGCGCGTTTCTCCCAGTCCAAGACTTTTCCAAGCACCCCTCTCCCCGCCCCCCCCCCCCCCCTCCCCGCCCCAACCCAACGCCCTAAAGGCCATTTTGTGTTCCACGTCGGAATTGAGGGTGAGGTTCAATTTTTCGGCCTCCGGAAGAAAGAATCCCAAACACCGTGTTAATTTCTTCTTTGAGGCTTTCAGGAGCAACAGATGCGGTTTCACGATGACGGATCACATCACATCGCATCACGGTAGGGAGGGTGGCTGCAGGTACCGAGATTGCTTGGCAGGGGCCGTTTCATGTTTACTCGCTAGCGTAGTGGGGTTGGGTTTGTTTACAGTCAGGGGCCGTTTTAACCTTTTAACCATAGTATGCAAACCACGCGATACGAGAAATGTAATGGACTGATGAATGAACGAGTTTTTAGGTAGGCACGAAAGGTATTTTCAATTCTTCTAGAGAGATGATGCATACTTCTGCCTATCTAGATGTGCGGGCCCACCACAACTTGCCCGCCCCGTCTAGCTCTACTACTGGCACTCCTCCCCTCTCTCCCCACTGCTTCAGGATATACAAACTGCTACATCTATAACAGTAAAAAAAATTAAAAGAAAACCAACATGTGTATAATAACCACGCAATGCATAATTCCCCATTAGACCACTTTAGTAAAGAAAAAAAAAAGACACCTCAAAACCCATTTCAGGCCATTATTCCACACCTCGTTTCACAACACAAGTCGAAGATATTTAGCAAGCCAAAGAGATCTTCAAAGACTTGTCGCTGTTGGCGACACCAAAGTGCTGCTCAACACCGGCAGAGCGGTTGGGCTCATCGAAGGTGCTGAAGAAGAAGTACGGGATGTTATCGGCCTGGAGAGCACACGTAGCGGACTTCCAGTATGACTGGAGGTTGTCAACGGTGGGGACGGCAGAGCCGAAGTTGTCACCACCAGTGGGCCAGCCGGTCTCGCCGATCATGAACGGCTTACCGTTGATAACAGCCTTGGTGGCGGCAATGGACTGGTAGAAGATGTCCTTGGCCTGCTCGATGGTGGATCCCTGCCAGTAGGGGAAGCCGTTCATCATGATGATCTGCGGTTATGTTAGTGTTATTGTTTCAAATGCGTGGGGAGAGTGAGTTTCTTACATCAGAAGCCTCAATGACGATGGCGTTGGTGCCGTTGACCCATGAGGTCCAGGTGTCCGCACATCCAACCAGGACACCAGCCTTGTACGCCTCATTGACCATCCCCTTGACGTCCCAGATCTGGATAGCAAGCTTGACGGGGTCAATCTCCATCCTGTAAAGTGACTCGGAGCCAACATTGACACCAGCCAACCAGTCGGTTCCCCATGTCTGCATGGCATACTCCAACGCGCCCTTCTCGGCGTTGAACTTTGCCTCATCAACGGCCCATACACCAGCCCAGATCTTTGCGCCAACCGCCTGGGCGGCAGGGACAGCGTTCTTCAGGGTGTCGCAGTCGTTGGTGGAGTACAACTTGAAGGTGTTGTACTTGACGGTGCTGGTGGACCAGCCCTGGACGACCTGGAAGTCCCTGGTCCAGTCGGCGGTGGTCTTGCAGGACCCGTCGGGGTTTTGGGCGCCCATGTTGAAGCCGTTTTCGAAGTTGGCAACGGGGAGGCGGAGACGACGGCGGCGGCCGCGGCGAAGAGGAGGGTGCTGAGTGAGTACTTCATGTTTGTGGTAGTTTGTTTTAAAGGAATTAGAATGTAGATTGCAGTAGTAGCAAAAGAGTGTAAAGTAAGTTGTAGATTAAGTTATTAACGATAGTGGGCTCGAAAGCAATAGGGCTGTTTGAAGTGAGTGAACGTGAGTGAATGGGATAAACGAAAGGAGGGGGGAGGGTGATGGGATAGAATGGGCAGTATTTAAGGAGAATTCAATGTCCATCTGTCTACATGTAGAAGACACCGTACCCTAGCTACGGAGGCAGACCCACCCGCCGCCGTAGATTGTTCTACCTATTCCGGGAGGTCATGTTAGCTTAGGCCAGGCAAACATATTGCCCCCCCATAGGTACCCGTACATACACCGAGCACAGGCCCTGTGGTTGGCTGGCCGTTTGAAAAACACGGGAAATAAAGAATTTCGAATCTTGATTCCATAGCAAGGGTTCATGCAATCCACCCTGGACCATCCACACACACGCCCCTGCGCTAGTACTTTACTCTAGGTGCAAGCCCAGTCTTGGCAGAATGTAGATCTCTCGGGCCCACCAAAGATAGAAACCTTGGGGGACTTGTACGGGATGGGCTTGGAGAAGAAGGGAGCGCTTGGTTTTTCCGTAAGCCCACCACCACTTTTATCTCCACCGTCGCGACGACTGGCTGCCAGTACGATCAGGCACTGGGTACAGTACCGTATGCAATTTGCCAAGAGGGTTGAGATTGGGAGATGGGGAAAGCATAGTAAACGGTAGGGAGTACGTGGTAAGGGATGAGCTGAGGGAATGATCATGGGGCTGCTCTCTCAACTCTGTGCTGCTGGAATAGGAGGCGGAGTGTAAATAAACTACATCACCATCATCGTACGGAAGGTTAGCTGCACTGCAGCAGTGAACCATAATCCAGCGCGCGCTACAAGTTGGTACATACACTGGTTGTTATTGACATCCGGGTGGGTACAACACCAAAAAACGTTCCGGGGCGTTTAAAGGCAGCGGGTAGCAGATTTGAGACCTTTGTGGCTCCCCCCAGCGGATGACAACGGTTTCTCGGTGAAGCTTTCCCGGCCGGGCTCGTTCGTTACTTTTGGCCTCATTGGGAGAGATGTGGGGTTGAGGTTTTGTTTTTGTCCTCATACGAACATGGCTTACGTTGTGTGGTCACGATACCAAACTACAAACATCTACGACGAAGAATTGAGTTCTGTTTATCTATTCTGCAAGCCTCTAAAAGAGCACCTCGTATAAAAATCCGGGAAAATAGTAAACTAAGGGAGGCCAAGAACTTTAATTTTTTTTTGCGGAACCCAGAAATAGCACGTCGTCGTCGTCGTCGTTCATCTGATCTGATCCATGTGGTGGGCAGTGTTCGGCGGGTTTAAAGTGATTTAGAAGCCTTTTCTGTGCAAGGAATGATTCGTAGGCCAGGCTTGGGGGGTGCGTACGAATTGTTCAGCAAGACGGTTCTCGTTGGCCCACTTAGCGATTTGTTAATGACTACTCTGCCTGGACGGCCAACTGGAATTGAGGCCGGCGCCGCAACCATTGAGGGTTCACATGTCCAGGGAAACGAACGTCTTCTCTGCTGGAATCTTTTGCCCGAGCTGACATGGCCTTCTTTACCAGTGCTCCCAAGTGACGTCCATCTGTCCACGAAGGAGAGATATCACGGACCTGCCTGTCAGTTGAGAGCCTCTGGCTATCCATTCCCAATGCAAACAACAGTCCTCGTATTATTTGCTGGGATATAGCAGCTGGAGATTGGGTTGGAGATGCCAGCAGAGGTAGAGCTGGGGACACCCATCAAGTCAGCTGGCCATGGGTAACTCTATCGTCTGCCAGGGACTCGGACTCGGACTCGGTATCTTCCTGGCTTGACATCAAGCCCTCATGACCAAAGCTGCCGGAACGTTTGCTCGTCGCATAGGCAGCCCCAAACATCAATCGGCTTACTCGGCGCCCGCCCGCCCGCCGGACGGGCCTCGTCGGGCGGGGCCTGTTTGGTTTTGCACGGTCAAGGTCGTGCAAGGTCCGGGGGCACGCATAGAGTACATGCCCTTAATTTGCACGCAGGGGAATCCAAGGACGGGGTGGATCTGGGATTAACATGATAGTGTATTGGGGGTTCCTATTCCGGCGCTCTACTTGAAAGAGAATATGATTCGAGGGTCCGGATTAGAAATGTCGGATACTACTACTGTATATACCTAGAGCTCGAGGCCTATAGTTAAAAATCTCACTTTTGGATGCGCAAATAATCATCCCCCACCCATGCAGAAGTTTACTATTCCATCAGGCTTCTTCAAACTTCTCCCCCTCCTCGGCACGTATTACACAATCCCGATCCAGCAGCAACAAAAAAACACAAACATAAAAATAAAAAAAAATTAATTACAGTACCCACACGTAACTACCTATCAATCCCCCTTGAAATTACTCTACCATACATGTACCACCGTTATGGTTATTCCACCACCACCACCACAGCCCGCCGTTTCATCTTCTGCTCGCTTAGAAATCCTGGGCCTTCCTTCCCATTATCCTGGCCAATTCCTTGGTCCCGGGAAAGAATATTAGCTAAAAAGGCGGTCGGGAGACTCCGTGCACCGTCTTCATGGCTTAGTTGGTTAAAGCGTCGGTCTCATATCTCACAATATGACTGGGTCTCTTAGATCTGGATATCCGAAGGTCGCGAGTTCGACTCTCGCTGAGGACATTACCTTTTGCTAGTAGTGATGAGGGGGATGTTTTTGACGCTTTTGGTTTTAGTTGATGGTGGGGTTGAGGCGGGGCGGGGGTGGGGTGGGGTGGGGTGGGGTTGGAAGGTAAAGGTTTTTTGCGTGATGGAGGTTAGATCGCTGGAGTTGGCAAATGAAAACATAATGGATCCAGAATAGTTCCAGAGACTGGATGGCCTGGACCTTTGTGATTCACGGCTCACCTGATGGTGCCAGCGGGGAACCTCATGGCGCTGAGCTGAAGAAGGAACCGGGCAGGATCCACCCACTCGGAGACTTACAGAGCGGGAGAAATTCATCGATTGTGTGGTGGGGTTCACAGAACATCACTCGTACAATTTCTCCAATTCCAGTCGAAGTCTGCGATCGAACCACATGATGAAGTCAAAGAGAGAAAAGAGGGGAAAACTGCACAACCCATATCTACTATCTACATCTTACTCAGATGCGCCAAAAATACTATCGCCAAGTCAATCTAGTAGAGTGAACAATTTCGTGAAGGGGATCGAAGGCCAGTGGTTTTGAAAAGAAAAACCCTGTACTGAGGTTCTATATTTCGTCACGAGCTCCTAGCAGTGTGCAAAATGCCTTTTCAAAATTCTTCTCTAGAAGCGCAGATCTATTCTTGACTTAGGGTACCTGCACTTGCACTTCGTGGCTTTCAATTGCAATTCCTGATCGATCGGGTTTTGCGTGAGGATATCAAAGTGCAAGTCCAATATTACTGCGTCCGCCGCTCTAAAGCAAACGCCGCTCCCCCCCCCCCCCCCCGATGTAATCCCCCAATAGAAAAGAGAAAAAAAACGTAATCAAGACGACCTCTCGCTTAACTTTATTTCTATCTACTGCACTTTCCCCCCCCGAACCTGCACCTTACATCATTTCTTCCTTTCGCAGTGGTGGAGGTAAGGATTTCATTTCTATATGCCAATTTACCCGGTTAAAACCAGTCTTCATGGCTTAGTTGGTTAAAGCGTCGGTCTCATAATTATGACTGGGTCTCTAGATCTGGAAATCCGAAGGTCGCGAGTTCGACTCTCGCTGAGGACATTCATCATATCTTTTTACTTTTTTTTCACTAGTGGGAGTCGTACGGGAGCGGAGGAGGGAGGGAGACGCGGACGGGGGTCTTTTTGCGGCGGGCGCGGGGTGGGAGAGGATGGGATGTGGATGAGTAGGGTCATGGGGGATCACTCGGATGACGGGCGACGGGGTGGTGCGTTGGTTGATTGATAATTTATTAATTGTATGCGGCCCGGAGGCTATAACATGATGGGTGATATGCTATGGTTATTGATGCTGTGTATTTTTACTATTGAGATGGAAAATCCACAGCCTTTCAGATACAGGAGCACCTGGCTGAAACCCCAATCTTACGAGCACCTAACCTAAACCCACCAGATATCCAGCCCACAAACCGTCAATTGAAAAACGTCACAACTACCCCACGCCCACTATCTCATCAATGCCACCATTGGGATCAAAAACCCACTGCACAACCCCCACCCCCAAGAAAGCAAGTAAAAGAAAAAAACCATACGTACAGCAGAGAAAAGAAAATAGAAAATAGAAAGAAAAGAAAAGGAGAATCTATCATTACCCCCCCCCCCCCCCTCTCCCAAACCACCAACAGGTTAGTACCACTTCTTAAGGTCCTCCTCGTCATCGATATCCTCATCAGCCATGACCGCCATCCGCTGCTTCGGCCTCGAGGGTGGTGGTGGTGGTGGTGGTGGTGGTTTAGCAACCGGTAGTGTCTTGGTCTGTGGTTTCGGTTTCGGTTTCGGTTTTTTCGGTTTCTTGCTGGCCGTCGTAGCGGCATCTGCCGTATCCGTCGTATCTATCGCAGGAGGGAGTATCGTAGCAGAAGACGACGGCACAGAAGAAGAAGAAGAAGAAGAAGGACCCCCCTCATAGAACCCCCCACCCAAAAAGTCCTCCAACCCCTCCTCCCCCTCCTGCAACTCCACACTCTCCAACCCCCCACCCCCCCTTGCCCCTCCACCCGCACCCGCACCCGCACTCTTCACAACCACCGCCTCCCCCGCCGCCCCAATCGCCACCCTCTCCCTCTCAAACGCCACCAACCCCTCCTCCCACCCCTTCCTCTTCCTCTCCAACGTCCTCCTCCTCCGCCCCGCCCACCTCTCAAACTCCTCCTCCTCCTCCCTCCCTCCCGCGCCCGCGCCCTGTTCCTCCGCGGCAGCAACGAGCGCCGACAGCTCCAGCAGCTGGCTGTGCAGCGCCGCGGCGTGCGACTGTGCGGCGGTGAGCGTGCTGCTGAGACTGGATAGGGAGCGTAGGTGGCTGTGGAGCGCGGTGGTGGTGGTGTGGTGCGTGGTGAGGTGGGTGTTGAGTGTGCTGATGAGCGTGGCCGCGGTGTGGGCGAGTGTGTCGTTTTGGGCGGCGGTGGTGAGGAGGCGCGTGTGGGGGAGTCTGTGTGGGTGTTAGTGGTGGGTGGGAAGAGCGGGGAGGTTGTAGGGGTGAGGCGGGGGAGAGGGGGAGAGAGAGCGGGGGGGGAGGGGGGGGAAGTTACTCTGCGAGAAACTCGCGTGTCAGCGGAAGGTTTTCCAGTCTGCCGCCATCAATCACCAATTAGTTAGCCTAGCTAGTCTCTGTAAATCCAAATCAAACCGCATCTCCAAATCCCCAAATCTCCAAATCTCCAAATCCCCAAATCCTCCCCCAGATCCACACGCAGGCCCCAAGTACTCACATCTCCTCCGTCTGCTCCCTCGTCGCCCTACCGCACCCGTTAGCACATCTCCCCTCATCGCATCATCTACCCCTCTACCCCGCGCCGCCATCTCAAAAAGACATACATCGCAACCTCCTCCGCCCCGCCACCGACGCCTCCCCCCGCACCCAGGCGCTGCACAAAGTCGCGTATCCGCTCCATATGGCCAACCCCGCCGGCGAAGAAGAGAGACTCGAAGCACAAGAAGTAGAAGAAGCAGAATCAGAAGAAGTAGTAGCGCTGCTCGTGCCGCGGTCGCTCGTAAAGACGGTCAAAACAGCACTAGAGGCGCAACGCTTATTCGGTCGTCAGATCTCCCGTGTCGCTGCAGTCAAAGGCGAAGGTGATGCAGATGCAGCTGCAGCTGCAGAAGAAGAGATGTTCACAATCACAACGACCCTCCCCGCCGGGAGCACCGACACCACCACCCTCCTCGCCACACTACACCTCCCCCCCACCACCACCACCACCACCGCCCTCACACTCACCACCACCCCGCGCGCCCCCCTCCCCCTCCCCCCCAACCCCCTCACCGCCGCCCTCACCACCCTCCTGCACACCCTCCCCCTCCCCCCCGCCACCCTACGCACCCTCCTCTCCACCGCCCCAACCCACTACACCCTCTACCCCCCCCTCCTCCTCCTCCCCTCCAGCACCTTCTCTTCCCCCCCATGGTCAACCATCCTCCCCACCCTTCCCCAGCCCTTCTTCGCACACCTCGCCGCCGCCCTGCACTGCACCCACCTCGCCATCAACGCCCCCATCCCCGCCACCTCCCCCACCCGCTCCCCCCTCTCCCTCACCCCCCTCCACGGCACCTTCACACATCCCCCCCTATGGGTCCGCACCGCCCAAAACGGCATCATCCAGACCTGGCCACCAGCACACTGCATGTTCTCCCGCGGCAACATCACCGAGAAGGCGCGCGTCCTGCGCCTCCCCCACATCCGCGGGCAGCAGGTCGTAGATCTCTACTCCGGGATCGGCTATTTCGCCTTCTCGTACGCGAAAGCCTCCGCAGCGCGGGTGTGGTGCTGGGAGGTGAGCCCATGGAGCGTGGAAGCGCTCCGCCGCGGCGCGGGCGAGAACGGGTGGGTCGTCGAGGTTGTGAAGGAGGGCTGCGAGGTCCCCGGTGGTGTGGCGGGGCTGGATGAGCGCGGGGTGCGCATCGTTGTGTTTCATGAGAGTAATGAGTTTGCTGTTGGGAGGCTAAGGGCGTTGGGGGTGCGCGGGGTGCGGCATGTGAATATGGGGTATCTGCCTGATTGCCGGGCGGTGTGGGGTGCGGCGGTGGAGTTGTTGAAGGAGGAGGGGGGACGGCGCATGTGCATGGGAATGTGAAGGTTGGTGCAGAGAGGGAGTATGAGGAGGGGGTTGTGGAGAGCTTTGCGGGGCTGCTGGGGGAGGGGGAGGGGGGGAGGGGAGGCGGGAGGGTGTGCTGTGAGCATGTGGAGGTGGTCAAGACTTATGCGCCGGGGGTGGTGCATTGTGTTTTTGATATCAGGATTGAGGACCCGCAGCAGCAGCAGCAGTAGCAGTAGCAGTATTGTGGTGGTAATAATATTATTCTTAGAGTGTAGATATTAAAAAATACAACGAATATTTTTATATAGAGCTCCTTCCCCCTTCCCTTCTTTAAACCGACTCCGGAAATGCTTCATATGGCTAGATGGATATTTGTTTGTCCCCTTTTCGTTTCGTGCTGTGCCCCTCGTTACTTCTCTCTTCTTACTCCCAGTTTCCATTCCTCGTATATATCATATCATACAAATGGCACTCAATGCCACATCCCCGACGAACCCCCATGCCCATGCATCCCCATCTAGCCCCGCACCCGGAACTTGTTTGGAATATTCTTCTCAATGATCGGACTCTGCTCCAAGACCGCCTGCGCAATCTCCGCATCCTCCTCCTCATCATGCGTCCTAAACTGTACCCCCGCACCCCCGTCAGCACCCTCTACCCTCTCACCCACCCCCCTCAAACGCAGAAAGAACGGGAAAAGAAAGAAAGAAAAACTCACATGCTCAATATCCTCCGGATGATTCAGCTCCTCCTCCGTACTATCCTCATTATGGTACTTCTCAAAGTGATGAATCTCATACTCATACTCCGGGTCTCCATGATGTCCCGGGCCGAGGCCAAAATCCGGCAGCGTATTCCCCGCATGTATAAACGCCTGAAACTCCCCCATCGTGATCTCGCCGTCCGGCCTGCCGGTATTAATCAAGTCGGCGACGGTCTGCCAGACATGCTGCTTCGTCTCCTCGCTCGCGGTACTGTCCGGCTGCTCGAGGCCATAGAAGCGCAGCACCTCGTCGCGCGTCCACGTGCCGCTGTTGTCGAAATCGTGCAGGTGGAAGAAGGCGCCAGAGTCGAAGTTGTAGATGTGGTGCTCCTCCTGCATGTGCCGCTCGGACCAGGTTAGGTCGCCTTCGGCGTCGTGGAGGGGGTGGTTGTGGGCGAGGGCGTGGGGGGCGAGGAGGAGGAGGAGGGCCGCGGGGGTGAGGTAGTGGTGGTGCATTGTGGTGGTGGTTGTGTGGTTTGGTGTTTGGGTGTGGAGTGTGGAGTGTGAAGGTGAAGGCGAGAAATTGTAAAGGTGAGAGCTGGCTTCATATCTTGCCCCTGATCGGAGGTGCGCAACCGGGTCGCGGTCATCGCGCCATGCAGGGGTGCACGTGTGCCAAGATGCAGTCATCTGGAACAAGACGTGATAAAGAGGTGCTGCTCCATTCAGTAGTTATCGAGAATATGTAGGAGAGCTCGATGTGTGTGTCATGATGCTGTTTCAAGCTATGAAGTTTTGGAGCTTGTTAGATATGGTGAGTGATGCGCTGTGATGCGAGCGAAACAACCATCCCAGAGCTACTTGTGCTTAGGAAATGCATTATTCCGGTCTCCGAAACTCTACAAATGGATGAAAGAGTAGGAGAGGGTGAGTTGAGAGGTTGCTACATGGATCTGCAGTGTGAGGGCCCAGCGGGAGTTTGTATATAACGGGGAACCAGCTGTAGGAAAACTCAATAGATGATGGGATGGAGGAGCGAACTGCGAAGGATGAGCCAGTCTGTGTACTTATACACAGGAAGGTAACACGTCTAGTGAATCCGTTACCTCGACCATCGCAGTCGCTTCGTCGCCGAGTGATATTCTGTGATTGGTCTTGAGATGTCACTCGGTGGGTGGTGCAAGCACAAATTGCGTCATGATCGTTGATTGGTCAAGGGCCGGGCACATCCCGCAACCCATCTAAAACTAAAGAATTCTATATACAATCCCAACACCAGGCCCCACATCTCAAGCCCCCAAGTGTATAAACGGCGCCCACTTCCTCGGCAACAACGGATGCCTCTCCCTCACCCCCAACACCGCCTCCCTCATCGCCCTCCCCACCCTCAAATGCCCCTCCTCCCCGCCGCTCCCATCAAACAGCGCCCTATAAAACGCGACCGCAATCTCCGTACACACCGCCGACTCCGCCGGCCACATCGTCGCCAGCACATGATTAAACCCCGCCAACTGAAACCCGCTCGCAATATGAATAATCTCGTCCGCCAGCTGCGTCGCCGCATTATTCGCCGTCGAGCACGCCGACAGATACGCAATCTGCGCCGTCCTCGCATTCTTGCGCGAGATGGCTGCCACGGTGAGGCTGTCGGCCGTGTTGCTGTCCCGCTGGAGCATGAGGTGGCTCTCGGAGGGGTCGTAGGGGTTGGACACGCCGTGGCAGGCAAAGTGCATGACCTCGAAGGAGCCAAACTGCGTGAGTACGTCGTCGGCGCTGGGGTGCTCGAGGTGCTTGCTGGAGACGAGGCCCTTTGTGATGTCCATGATGCCTTCGATCTCCTTTGCGGCGTCCGGGAGGGCGCCGCCGCCGGGGGTTTTGGCCATGCTGACGAGGAGGAGGCGCGGGTCCGGCTTGCTGAATATGCTGAGCTTCTTTCCGCGGGCGTATGACAGCGCCTTGATGGTCGGCGTGTATGAGGAGATTACGTGGGACAACGCATTCTCAGTCGAGCCTCGAGCGTGGTCTCCAGCGGCGTGGAATGGCGCCATGTTCAGCTTGCCGGTGCCAATCCACCAGACATGGGGCAGCTTGTCAACTTTAGAGTTGCCATGCTCGTCTATGATCTCCAGATGCTGAAGCACAGGCTTTACCGCAACATTCCACAGCCACAGGAGCATTTCCCGCATCTTCTGGTTGCGCTCGGCATACTCGCGCATTTCCGCTGCCGGCGATCTCTTCTTCTTCGACCTCTTTGCCGGCGCTTCAAAGATCACGCTTAATCGGCCTTCGATGTCATCATGAACCAGGTCTGGCAGCGGCAATGCGGTGACTGAAGAGCTCGTGAGGATGATTGCATCGCTGCGATAGCTAGAGCTGACAAAAGTGACCACGGGGCCATCCTTCGCCCAAGATTTCAACTCCTCCTCTGAAGGTGCAAGCTGGAACCGTTCACAGCCCGGAAGCTTCCGGATCTCCTTTAATATCTCGTCCATCTCCTCGAGCGCTTCCTCCCGTCTCTTGAACGCGCGGTTCCGCGCTTGCAGATATGCCTCCTCCGTCTGAAACGAGCGGGAGCCAACCGTATGGCTCTCGTAACTATCCGGCAGCGGCGTGTCGATCTCCGTCCTAAGCTCTTCCAACTTCTGGAATTTCTCGGGGTGCCTCTCTTTCAGATCCGATATATCGCCCCGATAGTCGATGGTCGACCCTATGATGATCCCACGACTAATCTCCAACAGGCCCAGGGCATGATATGCAGATTTCCCAGCCTCAAGAGCCACACAGGCGGCCGTTGTGGGGAGCCCGCTTATTTTCACCAGCATCTGCTGCTTATCCTGCCCCTCGAGTGACCGTGTACTCACTTTTGGCAGCATCCGGATGGCGTCCTCGAGCATCCTGCTCGATTCTTCCCACTTACCCATTTGCACGAGCACCCCCGCGGCGTATCGTGCGCCATGAATACGAGTCAAGGGAGGCGAATGATGGCACTCCCAGGCCTCCAGAAACAGCTGCGTCGTATCCATATCGGCCCCGTCAAAAACCTCCATGCGCGTCAAGCCCAAATTCACCAAAAAGCTTGCGCGATCAGTGTGGTCCTTCGGCACCGCCGAGAGCGCCTCCTCGGCATAGTAAACGGCCCTTTTCATCTCCAACTCATCCGGCTTCTCCAGCCCCAGATTCTTCAGCGTAAGGAAGGCAGCCAGGTTAGACATAAACTTGTGCCGCGTCGTATCCCCCGGCAGCGCCAGCGTCAACAGCTCTTCCATAATCTCCGCGGCCCGCAAGAGGGCCGCCCGGTCGTTGGTGAAGTAGTACTTCGCCTCCAGACACCCCGCCAGATTCGACAGCGGGATGTAGCTTCTCGGCTGGCCCGGCGGAGTCTGTTCCACCGCTGTTTCGGCGCATACCAGCATCTCGTCGAGATTCTCCCGCGTGGAGGCCCGCTTGAACATCATGTACTGAAGCCTGGCCAGGTTGTGGACAATCGGGACCCGTGCTTCTTCGTCCTCATGTGCCACTGCGATTCCTTCTCTGGCGTACAGTATTGCCCGCCGGAGGTCATCCAGGTCGCCCTTGCGTTCGTATCTCGCACCCAGGCCGAGAGATATCGTTGAAAGATGATTTGCTCTATAGACCGTAGGGTCGTTCAACGCTACCGCCTCTTCGCTATAACGAATAGCCCTATCGAGGGTCTCCAGGTCCCCAGTATCGTGATACTCTCTCGTCAGATAGCTCGCCAGATCCGTCAACGCCTCCGCTCTGTCCGGGTGTCCTGGCGGCGTCAACTCCAGCACCTCCCCCGCATTCTCTATAGCCTCACGCACCGCCTTCAAGTTCCCCGTCTGCATATAATCATCAATCAACAGACTACACAGACCCACCAGCGCCTCCCTCCTCCCCGGATGCACCCGCGGCGTCGCCTCCACCCGCCTCCTAAAGAACGCCACCATCCTCCTAAAGTCATCCACATCCATCGACTCCTTATACACCTCCCTCAAAAAATTAACCACATTCGCCACCAGCCTCGTCCAGTCCGGATGGTCCTGCGGCATCGTCTCCGCCACCTCCTCCCAGCACGCCGCCGCCTTCCGCAGGTCATCAATGTCGCCCAGGAGCCGATACCTCGTCCACAGATGCTTCGCCAGATTATTGACCCTCCCACTGCGATGCAGCGCGCCCGCCGTCGCCGAGTACTCGACCGCCTCGCGCCCGTAGTGCACCGCCATCTGCAGGTCCCCCACATCCTCCGTCTGCTTATACTTGCGCTCAAAAAACACACACGCCTTCGAGCACGTGCTCGCGCGCTCCTCCACATCCACCTCCCCCTCCCCTTCCCCCTCCCCCATAACCGCAAGCGCAATCTCGCAATACATTATCGCCTCCTCAATCTCACCCAACAAGCCCGACCTCTCATGCTTCATACTCACAAACACCGCCGTGTTCGCCAGATGCCCCACCTGCGCCGGTGCATCCCGCGTGAGCTCGACAGCCTCTTTAGCATACTCCGTGGCGCCGTCCAGGTATTCCGCCGCGCCGGTGTGCCGGTAGCATCTGTTGAGGCCCCTGTAGAGGCCCGCGACGATGTCGGCGCGGCGGGCATCGTCCGTGTCGTCGGCGGGGAGGGCGGAGAGCGCCGATTGGAGGGCCGCCAGCGAGTCGTGGAGGTCGGCGAGGTCGTGGGTGGTGTCGTATTTGTCGTCGAGGGTTGAGGAGAGCGCTTGGAAGTGCTTGATGAGCTCTGAGGGGTCTGTTGGTGGTGGTGGTGGTGTGTTGGACATCTTTGGGGGGGGTTGTTAGTTACATGTAGTTGTTGCTATTTAATTACGGGGGTATATACTTCTGTGTGTATATATATAAATACCTATCACGGGTCTGCTGTTGAGGCTATGAGAATTGGGGGGGGGGGGGGTAAAACAATAACTAATTGAAGGCGTCTCTCTTTTTATATATATATATATTTATTTATCCCGCTGGTAGAGTACCTATGTAGTCCTACTAGCGGGATTTTATGCTTTAAAGTATGTACCTACAATGGCAATTGCCTGTCTTTAAAGTTATGAGTCGATTCTTTAAACTTGCATGAAGACAATTTGGTTGGCAGCGGCGCAGTCTTCTTGCCTTGCTTGTGTAACGAACGTTATTTACCGGGCGGGTTATTGGCTGCTCGTGGCTATGCTGTAAGCCACCAAAGTGTCTTCTAGCTATACCAGTTCCATAGTACTCGTATTTCACTGATGTTTGTGGACGCGACTGATATTGCATGCCATACAAAAATACACCAAGCTCATGATTTTGGGTGTATGCAATAATGGCCCAGTTCAAAAACGTCAGTGAAATACGAGTAGGTATGTACTGGGTGCATGCATCTGCCAATCTAGACTACGTATGTACTCTGTCTGCTCTAGTAGGAAAGTGGTTTAAAAAAAGATCTAGGCTGGCTGGGGGTATCGGTACTGCGGAAGTTATCGCCAGTAGGTCAGTAGTTCTGCACTTTATATATAAGTGCCCACCACCACGACTACCGCTTACTCCACTAAAATATTACAAGTGCATATCTACTACTGTATTAAGCGATATCCAACCAACATTCCTTACTATTCAATCCAAATAAGCATCTTACCTACTATTCCCCCCAAGAATGAAGCAGCCCCGCTCCCTCATCCAGCCCACGCTTCTCCCCCCAACCTCAATAAAACTCGGCCGTCTGGTACTCTCTCCATACTCGCCGCACCAAGACTACCTCGATCCGCCGGTGCCCACCGCCCCCGAGACCGAGACCCGCTCGCAGTCCAACTTCATCTCGCACCTGACGTCCAGCAGCACCACAAAGCTGCGAACACGCCTCACCGCGCTCGTCGCCGCGTCCCGCAGCGCCTCCGCGTCAGCTAGCGTCACGCTGGAGGCCGCGCAGGGCACAACATACACACTCCTCAACAGCGGCGCCTGGTTCCGGACGGCATGCAGGTCTGCGGAGGTGCGCGAGTGGTTTGAAAACGCCGTGATGTGTGCGGGGACGGTGTATCTGGTGGTAGGATACCACACACTGACGGATACGAAATTTGTGGCGCAGGACGAGGGCGCCAAGATTAGTACTGGGGGCGTCGTGATTTCGAGTGGGATTTTAGGATCCGGGATAGGGGTTGTTGAAGGACAGGGTGGGATTCAGAAGCAGACGTCCTGGGGCGGAAGAAGGGAGTGGCATGAGAGCGAGGAGAGGGTGTGGGCGGTGCAGTATAGGAAGGTGGAGTTTAAGTGGTTCTCTAGTAAGAGGATCGAGAAGGGCGCGTTAGAGAAAGAAAATCGGTGGAAGCTGTGCTGGACTGGGATGGAGGGTATCAGAGGCCACGAGGAGGAGGAGGAGGAGGAGGAGGAGGAGGAGGAGGAGGAGGAGGATAGCGGAGAGGACGAAGAGGACGAAGATGACGAAGATGTGCTGGAAGTAGATTTGGCAGACGAGGATGAGTTGGGGTCCAAGGACAGCTGTGTCATAGACGAGGAGGAATTTCTCTTTTAGGACTTAATTATTAGTTTTCGATGTATATATTGGTTTTTTTAGGCTTGATATGTCAACCTAGCTGCTTCCAGGCAGCGAGTGTATGAGGTATGGCGCGATATGTAATTAGAACCGTTGGCCAAAGGACCGAGTGACACAATGTGAACCAGCCTTTTTAGCAATATAAGTAACGTTCATTGATTAATTCCTAGATTAATTCCCCGTCGAAAGTCATTGATATCCGTGCTGCTGTAGGTAAATAATGAGCTTTAGTACTGGTCTCGAGGTAGGAAGATAGAGAGCTTGATTGACAGAGGAGCCGGAGAAGATTGAAGGAGAGGGAGGTCATTAACATTGTAGCTTTACATGCTGGCCACATATCTTCACCCGTACTTCAGCCACGTCTCTCTCCACGAGCGCCCTCCTATAGCTGCAGTACACAATCACCTCCAAACGAGTATAAAAGAGACCCCTGGGGGGAGTTGGGGGGGGGGGAGGGGGTTCTCATGCAGGCTAGCTCCGTCTAACATCGCTACACGGTCCGCTAGACAGTGTTTAGTGATCAACTAATTGATTAACCCACCAAAACCCCAGTGTTGCGCTCGGGGGGGCTTAGCTATAGGCGAGCCCTGTGTCTTGCTAGATTAATTTTATACTAGCCTACGATATCTCCAGCGAATTCTAGCCACCGTGCTAATTGAAGTATGGCAGGTTTTAATTTTACTGATCTAGCTACATGTATTAAGCTTCCACCATATCATTGAAAGAAGTCTTCCACCTCCCTGCCTCACCACAACTCAAGAACCACACTACCGGACCCTCTCAACTACATAGTCATCTACCCACTAATGATACTCACAGCAATCTATCCATTCCATTTATCATAAAGAAGTGAGTAAGAAAAGCTACCTTACCACCACACACACATACACACATCCACACGCACGCACGCATACACCAGGGCATCATGTCTCGCTCATTACCACGCATAAAAAAATCCAGTCCACAAAATAGTACAAAATGAAAAAAGCACACCGCCATAAAAATACACTTTCGCCGCCAAATGCATGTCTAACCCCAAGTACCGCCACCACCTCCTCTTCCTTGTCTCTTCTGCGCAGACAACCGCCACGAGTCGTCGCCGTCGCCGAAGCGGTTGAATAGCGGTTGAATCCGCTCGTTTTTTCTCCGTTTTGATAGCTCGCCTTTCCCGCCGCCGACTTTGAAGAAGTTGGGGGCACACTCGACTGTACGGTTTTGGTTAGCTTACTATGGGAGTATAATAGGGGTGGTGATGGGACGTACCTAGCCACTTCGGTTCAATAGCAGTAGTGCAGTGCATATACTCCTTCGTTGTCATGACCAGTGTATGAAAGATGACATGTTCCGCCGGCTTTCCAAACAGCGCTGAACTAGGATGCATATACACCGGGGTACCCTCAATCAAAGTCTTATACCCCTCCTGCGGGTCCTTCCTAGCACTGTTTCTGAAGAAGCCCGAACACAGCGCCTGTCTAACCATCATGGTATTCCTGCCGCAAGACACTATCTTATGGCGATACCTAGACATGATCATCTCCAGCTGTGCCCTCACATCCTTGGCACGCTTCATAGACCGCGCCTGAATAAAGTTGTCAAAGCACCATGGGTTGGAGTACGCAGACTGTTTCCATGAGTTGTACACATTGAGCAGCGTCAGGTGGTCACCGTGGGGTCGTGGAACTTGGCCTTTTTGGCGTCGGCGGCGGCTTGCTTTTCTTTGGGGCGGTAGAAGACGGTTTGCACGGACAACATGGCAACGATGCTGAGCATCTCATCACTGCAGCCCATGTCTACACTTGCAATCAGCACCTTGGCTAGTGCAGGTTCCATAGGGAAATCAGCCATCTTGCGACCAAGACGTGTCAGCAATCCTTCGTCATCGAGAGCGGAGAGCGCATAGAGCTCCTCAAGCGCTGTTAACATAGTGTTGGTCGGAGGCGGATCCATAAAGTCGAAATGCAGCAGATCGTTGATCCCCATTGCCTTTAACATCAAAATGGTAGTTGACAAGTTCTGTCGTTGAATCTCGGGAATGGATGTAGGTAACATTTCACTCTGGAACGCAGCTTCCGTGTATAGTCTGTAACATTTTCCGGGCCCGGTACGTCCAGCTCTTCCAGCTCTCTGTTTGGCCTGTGCTTGTGAAATTGGCGTAACAACCAAACTGTCCATACCGAGCTTGGGGTCGAAAGCGTTCTGTTTGACGAAACCAGGATCAACGACGTAGTAGATTTGATCAATAGTGATGGATGTTTCTGCAATATTGGTGGCGATAACTACTTTTCTTGACCCTGGTGGGGCGGGGTCGAAAATCTTCGATTGCATCTCAGAAGGGAGGGCGGAATAGACAGGTAGGATAATGAGATCCGGCACACTAGGTCCAAGGGCCTTCATCCGCTCATATAGAATCTCGCAGGAGGTATCAATCTCCTCTTGACCTGTCAAGAATAACAAAATGTCTCCGGGAGGTTCTGAAAGATGGATTTGCATAACTGTAATAAGTGCTGCATCAAGATAATCGCTCTCCGGCTCCTTCGTGTACAAAACCTCTACCGGGTATGTCCTTCCAGGAATCGTAAAGATAGGGCACTGGTTAAAGTAATTCGAAAACTTTTCAGCATCCAACGTCGCCGAAGTGACAATCAATTTCAGATCCGGCCGCCTCTTTAAGGTCTTTTTGAGCAAACCAAACAACACATCCGTCGCAATTGTCCGCTCGTGAGCCTCATCCAACATAATAACGCTATACCTCTTAAGATCTGGGTCTAGCAAGACTTCACGCTGCAGCATACCATCCGTCATGTACTTGATCTTTGTCTCAGGACTTGTGCAATCCTCAAAACGAATAGTGTACCCAACTTCCTGACCCACTCGACAGCCGACCTCCTCGGCGACACGCTTAGCTACTGACATGGCAGCGACACGACGCGGCTGAGTACAACCAATGATCCCTCGGTCTGCAAATCCTGCCTCAGCGAGGTACTGTGTCATCTGTGTAGTCTTTCCTGAACCGGTATCTCCAACAACAATAAGTAACTGGTTCTCGTGAACAGCTTTGATGAGGGAGCTCCGGAGCTTGTAGACAGGAAGCGATTCACGCTGTTCCTTGATCGACATGCTTGTAATACGTCCAAAGGACATGTTCTTTGACATGGTAGCTTTCTTCCACTCCGGCATATCGTCGGCACCTTTGTTCAGGCGTGTGCTCTTGAGATCGCTTGCAAATTTCCTTTCCTCCGGAGCAACCATTGGATCTTGCCATTGCGCGGTAAGATCAACTTTTTGTGCCTCCTCAGCAGCCTGATCAGCGGACTGCTGTTGCCGGAGCTCTCGGCGCTCTTTTGCCAATGCGGTACCTCCCATGGCAGCTCTGTTGAGGGAGCCGTCTGGAGCTTTGACAACACGGATCGGCGAAAGCTCCAGGGATTGTCGGGTCTGACCAGCGAGAAACGGGGGTTCCTCGCCACGAACTTCGATATCAACGTCTTCCTCCTCTTCGAATTGGCCTTCGCCGGTAAGTGTCGCGTGGTACTCTTCATCAATATCCGGGTAGTCTGCTGCGCTGATGGCTCCGGATGCAATAAGCTGTTTGATTTCCCAGCGGTCGGGGGAGGTCATACGCTTCTTAGTCCGCATTGCTTTGTGATCGATTTCGCCCTCAAAGACAGGGACAGTCTCTGTGTCGAGAGAGCCATAGCGGTTACTCGAACCGTCAAGAGATTCCATGTTTGCACCTGAGGCTATCCGCTTTGCGGGATCGAGGTCACGACCTGTCTTCTGGTTGACGCTCTTCATCGATAGCCCAATACGCGAACCTTGGATGCTGATGATCTTGACCTTGACAGGCTGACCCTTGCCCAAAAGGTCTGATGGGTTATTGACACGCTCTTCCTGTATCTCAGAGACGTGAACGAGGCCATCGACTTTACCGCGGACACCCAAGAGGTTAACAAATGCGCCAAAGTCCTTTACCGAGGTGACCCTCCCATCGTAGATCTTGAAAAGAATCGGCTCGTCGTCTAGGTCCATCGCAGGTTTCTTGAAATCATCATCGTAATGACTGCGACGCTCCCGCCCTCCACCGTAGCCTTTCCCACTACCATTACGATCCTCTAGATCCTCGTAACCGTCACGATGCCGTCGTCTCCGGCCGCGGTCGCGAGAGGCTGACCGCGAACGAGACCGGTACCTCGTAGAGCTCTTTCCGCCACCATAGCCGGGACTGGGAGAGCGAGATCGCTTCCGTGAAGGTCTGTCAACTGGTTTAGAAGACCGGCCGGGCTCCATCGACTCCAAAAAGCCTAAGAGGTCGTCGCCACCAGCGGCGGGCTTTGAAGCTTGGGGAGCTTTTCCTTTCGCTTTGCCCTCCAGGTTCTCCAGCATACTCATCATATCATCGATGGCATCCTTTCCCTTCCCCTCGTCCTGTTCCTCATCGTCTTTCCATGGTAGCTCCCGATCAGGTAGCGCGAGACCCTTAAACACACGACTCTTGGTATCCAAGTCCATTCCCTTCTTCTCACCATCCTCCTTCGCCTCCTTGCGCTTATTCTTGTGCTTCGGATGCATTGTCAGGATTAGCCTATCGACGCTCGTAATCAGCGAGTCCGGAAACTCAACGCCCATTGCCGCAATCGCGGTCTTGAACTCGGCGGGCGACCCCGAGGTGTCATGGAGGTTGATTATGAACTCTGAGAGTGTCTTGTCGTTGATGCCGAGATGGTTGGAGAGCTCCGTGGTGATTTTGGAAACAAGAGAAAAATACTCCAGGTTCTGGAGCGGGTCGAGCGAATCCATTATTTTCTGTCCGTGGCAGTTGCTGGTATTTGCTGGCCTGACTGTTCCGTCGAGGGCTGGAGAAGCAGGAAGACAGCGTGGAGGACGCGATTTGAGTAATTGGCGTGCAGGATGTGGCACAATGTTACGTAAGTGTGGGGCAGCAAGCTTGGTTGTCGAGCCACAACCGAGTGACAGGGTATGATAAAGTGTCTAATAGCCCTGACGACCTCACCACCACTACTGTCTACCCGCGTCTATGAAGTACATGTATCTACATGTAGGAAAAATCGCCATAGATTTAGGGCTACATGCGATTAATGAATTAAATAATAATAATAAAAAAAAACACGGGGACAAGGGATACCGCTGTAACCGGGCTTGGGTTGGGGGCACCAAGATGTATATATAAGAACCGAGCTACACCAAGAGAGCAGGCCATCCGGCATTTCCCTGTAAGTCTCCTTCCTTCTCTGTATCTAAGCGCCCAGTGTTGGGACTGAACAAGTTTATATTCTGTCTACGCACAGTACTAGAACCCCCAAGTGACCACTGGTCCCACTCGCCCAGGTTTTATCTAGACGCTTATTGGGAACAGCATCAATGGCCCGTAGGTCAGGAAGATCGAGTGTATCTCCATCACAGTAATTCTGAGAATGGCAATTAATTGTACAATCATGCAGCGCTGGTACGATTTCTCACAGTTAAATCACCAAGCATGAATCTTACTCGCGACAATATATAGCAGGAGACTCCGCCTATGCGGTTCCAGTCTTCTCTGTATACTCTAGACCCGGAAGGTCCGCCCGACATAGGCATGTATCTCTTATTGTGAGCGCTAGATGACTACGACCAAGACATACTTTCGAGTGACAAGCCATGACTTGACTCACATCCCACCCTTCAGAAAAGCCCGAGGGAGCATTTACCATCTCCTATATGAATCTCGCCGGTAACTGGTATCTGGAGAACTAATTACTTAAGTCTGGATTGTCGTGTAAAACTTCCAGTAAAGCGGCCTCCTTCGGCAAGCAGCATCGAGATGGAATGATTCCCAAACTGGTGTGTATAAGTATATAATCGATCAGAAAAATGCGAAAGTCCAGAAAGCCTACAGATCTTGGATGCATATACAATAGCCATTGTGATATCTTTACATGCAATTTATCCAGGTAATCACGCCCATGGTGGAACGAGTGATGCCCTATGAGTAGGCCGCTCCTAGTTCTGTAACTCGTAGCTTTTTATCCACCGGCATCACGCTCGATCGCAAACCCCACATGTAAGCCGCAAGTGCATTTTTCCCTCTAGGCATCCACCCGTCGCGGCTGGCTACATACAGATCCATAATATGTAGATTAGTCATCCTAATCCATCTGGCGGATGTGGTGTCAAAAATTTGTTTTCAGGCCTCCCAATTAGGCGACCATACAATAACTATATAACGGAATAAACTTTTTTTTTTCGACAAACTTTCAATAAACCACCTGTTCTCTAAGCAAAAAGGGATTCCCGGCTACTTGCACGTCTGACAGAGCTAGCGTAAGGAATACTCAATTCTTGTTTACACAAAAAATCTAAGAAGATTAAGCACTGACAGCGCCAGCAGCGGCCTTACCTAAAAGAGAAATATGGCGCACACTCAAGAGCAAATAATCGAGACCATATCCGGAAAGCTTTTCGATCTCCTCCACCACCACAAATGGACCCGCGAGATTACGTGTCTCGTCGGCATCGATGCCATCCTAAAGGCCCTCGGCGAAACAACTCCCAAGAGCCTCGAGTATGCGCAGCATTCCCACCATCTCGCCATGCTCCTTACCACAAAGTTTGAGTACACAGACGACATTACAGATCTCCATGAAGCAGTGACGTATGCAGAAAAAGCAGTGTCAGTACCGGACCATCCCCATCGAGGAGTCCACCTCTCGACCCTCGTAGACACTCTGTACCTGCGGTTTAAATGGATAAAAAATCTCAGGGACCTTAGCCAGAGCATACTATATGCAAAGATGGCGGTTTCAAAAGCGTCTCAGGGAGACCCCGAGAGGGCCCGGTTGGTGTCGAAGCTGATTGATCTTCTGGAATTGAGGTTCGAGGTTATAGACGACATATCCGACCTTGATGATGCCCTATACCATGCAATCCAAGCGGAGCAAGAATTTCGTGGTCATCAAGGCCGAAGTGCTTGCTTTTCGAGGCTTGCAGACCTCTCGTTTGAAAAACATAAATGGACAGATAGCTTGGGCGACCTCAACCTGGCTGTATCGAATGCAGAGAAGGCAGTTGATGAGATAGCTGAAGATCACCCCGATCGACCGGTTTATCTGTACAAGTTAATAAGCCTTTTATTCAGAAAATATAGTCAGCTTGATCATACACTTAGCCTGGAGGAGACCATATTGTACACAAAACAAGCAGTTCCCAAGCTGTGGAGCAATACCAGTTTAAGGGGTCTCCTCAAATCGGAAATTTTGTTCGAGAAGCTCAAATCGACAGATGATAACGACAAACTAAAGCATGCCTTACTCCTGGAAATAAAGGCACCAGAACGACAGAGCTCAGATTATCTCTACTATATTGCAGATATTCTATTCACAAAATTCAACTTGAAATTCAACTTGAGCTTTTTAGAGCAGGCCATTTCAAAAGCGGAGAAAGCGGTAGCAGGAACACCCCCGAGGCACCGCGATCGAATTACTTACCTCCACAAGCTTGTAGCCCTTTTAATCGCGAGATTCAAGGCGACCAAGGAGTTAGACGATCTGAACGCAACGATATTATATGTAGAAGAGATCATATCGGAGTCGCAGGAAAGCCCTGACCGATCTATTCATTTCTTCATGTTAGGAGATATCCTGATGGAGAAATTCAACTTAACGGAAGACCCGGCTGTTTTAGAATCCGCCATACAGCGGGTAAGAATGGCAATTGTTGAATCACAGGTCGGTAGTCTCCACCGAGCAGCCTGCCTCTCAGAGTTAGCAGCTATCCTCCTTATAAGGTTTCAGTGGACGAAAGACCCAGATGATGTTGGGAAAGCCACAAAGTACCGGGAAAAAGCGATTAAGGAAGTATCTGAGAATTACGCTCGGGATGTGTATACTCCAAAGCCATCAGCGACTCCAGGCGTTAGATCAGGACCAGTTGATCTAGATGGTACGGAATCAACTATATCAGGCTCAGAAGCTATATTGTTGGACGACTTTCGTGATTCAAGAAATTTCACCTTCAAGCTACCAAGTATCCTAGCCAAAAGGGCGACACCAAAAAAGAAAATCGCTAGTCTAAACACTGCTATATCAAATGCAGAGGAAGAGGTGGTAACAACACGGGGTCTTGTAAAAAGGATGGCATCCCAGGTCAATTTTGCAGCCCTTTTAGCCAAGAGGTTCTGGACGACGAAAGACCACGCGGATCTACGACATGTCGTATCTCTTTGGATAAATATATTCATATATGATTGGGCACGTAACGGGGAATCAAGCCGTCTCCAATTGGCTATATCCACCATAAAGGACTTGATAGAAAATGATCTCATCTGTCTTCCACGAGCGGCGATTCTTCTAGGACTCGAGCCTCGACCTGATATCTTGAAGATTTTGGATAAAGTTATTTCCCATCCTGATGATTTAGTACAGACGGGGAGCGGGAGAATCAAAAGAGCGGTAACTCCATTTAAATTGCTATCCCTTGCCGTAGTATTAGGTAGCAGGAAGGCTCCGGCACCAGCATTCGATACCACGGAAACGCTCTCAATAAGAGAGCATTCAGACATCGGGTCTATCAAACTCGGGCGCCTCATCAACGGTATCAACAGTGTCAAGCGTTCACCCAGAAAAATCCATGATCCACAAATACCCCTCAGTCAAGTCAAACCAACAGTATACAACCATCTGGAAGAAGCTACGCCAGATGAAGACTGGGAATCCCTCCGAACGAAAGTATTTGATAAGAACACTCGAAGATGGATCTTTGAATACAAGGCCCAAACGGTCAAGGTCTGTGACAAAGACGCCGTATTTCCAACAGCTTACGCCCTGCCGGAAACACGCGCATGGCTAGGATCGAGCAAAACGGTACATATTATAACTGGATACCAAACATGCGTGTCTGAAGAGGTGATGAAACAGGTAGCTGCAGAGGAGATCGACGAAGAGGAAGCTGCCAAGAAAGGACGCATATTTTCCATCCGTTATCTTCGGGTGGCGTTGTGACCCTTTTCTTTCTTTGGGGGGGACATGGGGGTAGGGTGGGGTCCTTGAATTCGCTAATCATCGATGCAAGGGGGGTGCAGAAATGGATGTGGGGAAAAAATGGAATGCTGAGTGTAGAGGATCCTGGATTGTTAAGATGATGATATGTGGCTGGGCGGAATAGCATACACAAAACTTTTTGAAACGGCTAAGAGTAAAGACAATTTCAAGTCAAATACGTTATAGATATCATGGTCCACGAGGCGTTGATGCTCGAGGCCTCAATGCATGGGGGTCGACTAGGCAAGCCTTCCTACTCGCCTCGAGCTGCTCAAGGTTTAAGTGATCACAATATTAGTAGAACACTAGTACCTGTAGTATTCCCGGATTCTTCAGTCAAATAACATAATCATATAGCAAAATACAACTTTTATAGGCCCAAGTATAGTAATTACCAACTACCTCAGTCAGCTTAAACACCATGAGGCATCACATCCCTTTGCACGATGGAGCAAAGGCGTGGACCATATGAGGCAGAGGCACCTCGAGGAATTTGTATCTCAGTGTATCCCACGAGTCGAGCTGACTCGAGCCCAAAACTCGAGCAGCCACGAGCAGCCACCCTCACGAGTCGAGTTGGCTCGAGTTTTTTCCGCTGGACTTGAAAAGCTCGAGCCTTTTGGGCGTTATTTTAATCATACTAAAGATACTGACAATATCTTTAGTAATTATTTCATACAATATTGTTCTAATAAACCCTAATCCTATGTACATATGTTCAATAATGAGATCTAGAATGACTTCAAGGACTAATATCTGAGACTGCTAAAAAGCTCGAGTGGCTCGAGCTGTACTCGAGTATTTATAAGTCGAATCGAGTCGAGCAGCTATTGCCACGAGCCGACTCGAGCTTCAGCTCTTGCTCGCCTCGAGTGGGCTCGTAGACCACACTATATTTAGTTTTAGAATTTTTGTTAGATTAAATCGTGTCATGAAAGACCAAGGCCAACGTGGTTGCATTGATCACAATAGAACCACATATTCTCACTCGCGGGGCGCTATATTAAGAGTGTATCACAAGCCGGGCATTTAAAAGAACTAAACAACAAATGGCCCAGTGGTGGTAGTTATAAGTATGTATTTCAACTCCCAGCAAACATTGCCAAGGCTAACTTAAAAACCGAAGCTTTGTTGGGCAGCCACTTTGAGTTTGGGAGTAATTACAATTGATTAATAGGGAATAACTCTAGATCCAAAAAGAGCATTACCGGCCAGAGGCATAAATAAAGTACGTTTTAATCATTGACATTTTCCATGGGATTTTAGAGTGGTTTCTCTGAGTACAATGCCGAACATCAAATATATACCATAAACCTCTAGATACTCTGCGGCCATACGCCCGTATTTCTCCCGCCCATACAAAAATAAGTCTATCAAATGTTTTGACGCAACCTTAAGGCATACTCCTACTCGATACTTTATTCTTCTTGATCCCGTGGCAAGAAATATATTCAAACCTTCTGCCATAAGGCTCTCATGAACAACAAAGTAGCCATTAGGACCTGCTTCTGGCACCGAGTGATAAGCTGTGACGCGGTCTTCAAGTTTCAATTCAACCGTAACCAGCTGTTTGATACAAGAACAGGTAGAAACAGAGAATTAGTTTATTCACTAGTTAAAGAAATTATTAATGATTAGAAGATTTCCATAGTTCTCGAATCTAAAATAATTTTTATTTGCTATATACAGAAGATCCTCCAGCCTTCTACTCGGCCTTTGTCTCCTCTACAGGTTTTCCATCACTCGCCCCCTCCTCCAACATCTTCCTCCTCCCATCCACCGTCCTCGTCAGCGTCAACCCCACGCTTCCCAAGCTCCTGACCAGCTCTCCACCACCAACGCTCTGCAGAATGGCGGCCAGCTCTCCTCTCATCTCCTCGACGCTCTTGAGCTGGCTCAATGCCCTCAACTGATCCCCATCCAGGACCCTGCCCTCACCAATCCTCCCTCCTGCAACATGGCCATCAACCCTCGCGCCCAGTAGCACCAACTTCTGCAGTCCGCTCAGCGCCAACGGATCCAGCCCCTTCTTCGACCTCTTCTCAGGGAACATGAGCTCCAGTATGAGCTTCAGCTGCGCCGGCGCCACAACGGGCATCGACAGTGTCGCCACATTCGCCGTCAGCAGCGGATGCAGATCCAGCGTCTCCTTGAGATGCAACGTACTCTTATACGCCTCCTTACTTGTTCCGGCAAGACCATTATCGAACCTATGCTCTTTATCAAAGCCTTCGGCGACCCTAAGCACCGACGAGAACAGCGCAGGCCGCACCAGGTTGATTGTGGTCAGCGGTGCTGAGGCAGCGTCCAGCTTTGTGAGAGCGTTTTTGAGCTCACGGCGCAGCGCGCTCCACTCGACAGCACGAAGGTTGTTGTGCTGGAAGATGATCAGCAGCGGCGAAGACCGGATGAGTGAGAGGTAGGTGCGGTGGAGCTGGGTCTTGCGCGTGGATGCGGCTTTGTGCGATTCAGGCTGTGTGGCTGCGCGGCGGGCGATAGGGGGTGCCGCGGCAGGTGCGTGCGCGATGCTGGCGTAGGTGCGGACACGGGGGAGAAGGGTGGAGGGGGCGCGGAGGAGCGCAGGGAGTGGTAGTCGGGGGGGCATTGTGGGCGGGTGGGCTCAGCCTATCTATGAGGGGGTTATTATTATATAGGAATTTTACTGATATAAATTGGGTTGAGAGAAGGCTTACAGAGTGTGAAGATTTTATGGGAATGGATGCTTCACGGGCTGTGGGCAATTGGGTTTCGTGGGCCTGAAATGCTCAGATCTGCAGATTGCCAAAATGTTTTTTTGGAGGTCGCGTTTGGTGGGGCTGCGGATGCCGGGTAACCAGGCTCCTCCACAACGTAAATAAGCTAGGAGTCCAGCATGTAGGTATACTATTTATGAGATCGATCAGGTGCAATTTAAAGATTGGGTTCATAAGAAAGGGTCTGAAAAGACTAAGATTTCAGTCTGTGGTTTTGGGCAAGAGAGAAATCCTCGGTGCCATTTCTACAACGCAGTTACTGCTACTGCGTAGACATATGCACCAATATATCATAGCTAATATTATTGCAGGGTGACAAAAATAACTACGCACCCAAACTTGTATGGTAAAATAACGTTTTTTGGACCTAGCTACTTCAAACATACCGCCACAAATTTCATATCAGAAAGAATTTTAGAGATATGGTTATCTCTCTGATATCTTGTATACTCATGGAGTTACAAAGAATTGAAGTTGTCAATTTTTGTATGGTTGCTGTGTGGATTACTAACAAAAAGGCCGAACTTTGAAGTATAGCTATTGCATAACTATATAGGCTGTGAGAGACATAAGTGTATATGGGAGTTTCTAGAGCTCCAAAGATCTTTCCTGTAGGTTATCAAGTTAGTGGTCGCATTTTCGGAGTGGTAGGTCTAGAAAATACTCTTTTCCAATACAAACTTTGGTGCGTAGTTATTTTTGTCACCCTGCAATACAATTATATCTACAATTGCAATAACTCTAGAGCTAGAGATACGTATTCTAAGTATAGATCATTTTACGGACTCCCACTACCATCGCAACGTTCTCTGGCCATGCATGGATACCATTGGATTTTACGCCCTTTTGTTAGCAAATGGCAAGCTTTGTCAGTTTTACAACTGATACTTATTGCAGCAATGGTGTCCTAACCCATATTTTCACTGTGGTGAGAAGGGAATCTCGAAAAACGAAGGTAAAAGAGCATCAGAGTATATTAGGGGAAAATTTTACTCTTTGGAGACGTTCGAAATTCAAACTAAGCAGCTTGTTTCAAGACCACTTCACAGGATGCAACAGATTTCCTACAGTATTTCACGCACAAGACATTGAGGCAACAGGAAAGCGGACGAAAAACTTTACAATTGCCCCCAAAACCCAAAATCACATTCTGAACGCCTAAGATTCCGTATTTTTTTGAATTCCGGTCACTCCTAAAAAAAGACAAAGAGAGACAAACAAAAAAGGATGCCCCCAGAGTAATGAGCGCCAAACTTTTTTGATTTTTTTGATATTGCCCGACCCAGATATTTCCCCTCGTAGAATCAAGAAAACATTTAGGCGGCAATGGCGTGGGCACGACGACGGTCCCTCTCCTCGGCGATGGTGAGCTGTCAAACAGAGACTTGTTAGTTTACACGTTTCCGCCAGCTCAGCAGATTTACACAGGACAATGCCTACCTTAACACCCTTACCCTTGGGCAGGGATACCCATGACTTGTCCTGTCCGATGATGAAGACATTGCTAAGACGGGTAGCGAAGGTGTTGTCAATAGCGTCCTTGATGTGGACGATATCGAAACCACCATCGTGGCGCTCACGGTGGGTGATGACACCAACACGACCCATGTTGCGACCACCAGTGACCATGGCGATAGTTCCAGTGTCGAAGCGGATGAAGTCGGTGATCTTTCCGGTCTCAATGTCGATCTTGACGGTGTCGTTGACCTTGACGGCGGGATCGGGGTAACGGATGGTGCGGGCATCGTGGGTGACGAGGTATGGAATACCCTTGGCGCCGAGCTGGACACGCTTGACCTTGCAGAGCTTGTAGCTGGCCTCGGTCTCCGAGATGCGGTGGATGGTGAAGCGTCCCTTGGTGTCGTAGATGAGGCGGAAGTTCTCGCCGGTCTTCTCGATGGTGATGACGTCCATGAATCCAGCTGGGTAGGTGGGGTCAGTGCGGACCTTTCCGTCGACCTTGATCAGGCGCTGCATGACGATGGCCTTGACCTCCCTATGAGTCCACGTTTCCCAAGGTTAATCATCTCAACTCACCATAGATGAAAGGAGGGGGGTTAGGTACCTAGCGTTCAATGCATACTTGAGTCTGTTACGGATAAAGACAACAAGCGGCAAGCAGTCTCTCAGCTTGTGAGGACCTGGTGAACAAGACCCATCAGTAAATGATAGGTCCGGAGACTACTTCAACGAGTGAAGCGAAACATACCAGGGGAAGGCCTAGGAGCGTATTTTCCCGAAAGTTTGTCGAGAAGCCAGTGCGAAGGAGCGGCAAGGCGCTTGGTGTGCTTCTTTCTGTAAACCACAAACACAAGCGCAGGTTAGCCCACCAATCAATCTCCACAATCCCGTTCCTATTTTCCACTCGGGGGAGATCGAGAAACTCAAGCAAGCCAAGAATTCTCAAATCTCGAAGCGTGATAAGACGGGGGCAATGGAAGGGTGTATCTTACGGTCCACTAAAAGTTTCATCACCATGTCAGCCAAAATTCTTTCTCCAACTTTCTCGCTAAAAAAAATAGAATTGCGAGGGGAGGAATCATACCGTCCCATGTTTGCTGATTATAGACTTAGTTTTAGGGGGAAAATACGAAAGTGTTGTCGTCGGCGGTGGTTTTCGTCAGTCGTGAAGTCGAGGCTCGCGAGAGTTTTCGTGTGGTGTGGTGAATTTTGGCTCGTGGGGAGTGGTGCCAAGAAGTAAACCTTAGTAAGAAGGCCGTCACAATAATTGTGTGCTTCAGGGTTACAAACCCTGCCTCTAACTACTACAACTTATTCATGGGAGGTCACTCGGGGTAACTACGCGAGGACAATAGCCTTGTCGCTTACAATTGATTCCAATCATTGGCTCTCTTTTTGAGCTATGCTGTAGGTACACGCACGCAACGCTACACCAGTACGCCCCATACCAATACCCATTAATTAACAACAGTGCAAGTAATAATAAATACCTCGATTTCTTAAGGTTGGACACCGCACCTATTGCATAGTTCATGAAATTAGCTTTGATACGATCCTGAAATAGCTATATATAGGAACGCTCCCAGAGGACAAAATCTTCATGTTGTAACCACAATATCCTGCTGTAGTGCAAAATTTATCTCGGAACAGCTGCTGTAATTCTTCAATGCCCAGCAGGCATCATGAACCGATTACCCGCCATGCATATCGTTACACCTTTGAAGTTAGGGGAGGCAGTCGATGTGCACCGATGGTACGTGTTAGACGAGCACACTATACAGTTGAGACGTTCCATTGGAGCAAGATTCTCGTATTTCGAACCCTGCTGTGACCCAAACTGACAACCGATATGGCAGAATAAAACAGAGCTATGTATACATGTATATAGTTGTTGAAAGGCCGGGAGTCGAGCTGTATTCTGTGTAGATGCCCTAGCATTATACTTTGATACTCTAGTGCTAGTTTCTGTGCAACTAAAACATTGAGGAGAAGAGTTGCGATATGGTACGTTATATAACTCTGAAGAATGTTAGACGAAAGTAAAATATATAACGCATGATAAATATTCAACAGTGGTTTCTGGATAAACTTCAAAACCAGCTGCAGGTCTAGACCAACTCCACAAGATGGTGTCATAAGTCATTGTGGAATTTGCCAAGCCATCCAAAATGCGAGGTCTTGGCTGGAGTTTCAGGAATAGATACTCTCACAAAAATCCCGATCATAGTGACTACTGACCATATATAGAAGATACGATGTGCCGAAAGCTCGCAGTGGTCATATTCTGGTCATGATTGCCACTTATCAGATGCTGACGTATGCGCAGAGATCGTACCTAGAATCATACTCACGGCGTCTAAATAAGGCTAGTACTAGTTATAACGGCAGTCGCGTTGGGTAGAGCAGACTGTTTAAGGTTTACCAACGATTCTCATTATACAGGGCTTTATATCAATCCTCTCAAAATTAGTGGTGGCGGCTGAAGAGCTGTTGAAAGTGATTATCCTTGGTGTGCATGATACATATATACGTTTACGCTCACAACAATGAATTTTATCCAAGAGCCATCTACAGGGTGTTACCCAGTAAGAAAAAAGCCGATCACCTCTCCCTTATATATCTGCTAGACTAATAAACGCAACTCGATATGCCGGATTCCCAAGATTCTACGGAATGATTTGCAGTAGGAAGAGTAATATTCCCAGAGGATCTCGTACGTACGGCACAGCAAGGATCCTGATGCATTGGGTTTCGGCATTAAGAACTTCATCGACATGGACTTAAGAACAATCGCAATACCTTGTTTACAATTAACAGGATGCAACAGGAGCCAGATATAAATTAACTACCAGCTGCAGCTGAAGGATGTGCTGAAGAGTGTGCGGTCACATGTGCATAGAAATGTTCCTAAATTTCGGTGGAGCGGGTCGAAACATTTGGGACGGGTTCGACCAATTTGTTGGTATTTTGGTTAAGCATGCATATATTTTAGCGTAACTTATAAGGGTTTGAATCATCATCGCCTTTTAGAACAGCAGATACAGCATCTGAAGCTACGATATCGTGGCCGTACCGTAGATCATAGGCAAGATCACGGATAGATAAATTACCTAGCACATATGAGCGCCGGCTCCTAACTGGTATTCTTGCCAAAAATGATCTAATCCGAGTCTTAGCTAATTTTGCAGCTGAAATTTGTCACAGTTTCTTCCACCCGTGGCATGAGCCCAAAGCATATTAGGTCCCAAGGCCTTTTTTGTGAGTCATTTTATAGGGCTGTGGAACATCATAGCGGGCCCGTATGTGGCCCGTACACCGATAATCATTTTAAATTTCATATGGGACCGTGAACCGCTTCCAAAAAGATGTCTCGCGGAGACACCACATGAATTAAAAAGGTCAAGCTTGGCTATCGATATTTCTGGTCCCTCGGTGATTTGCTATGCCCAACACGAATACTAAATAACACCAATTATACTCCAGTGACTGCTAGAGACATGCATGCGACAATAGCGTCACGTAATTCGATACTGGTTGTCAGTAAACTATATGTATTATAACTTCAATCGGTCGTCTCTTAGAATTCGAAGCTAATACGGAATGATAACGGCCACCCTTACTAAAATCAAATCAAGATTACCGAAAAACCATGTATTCGGTATTCGCTGAGAACGCCATCTACCTAGACCGCGAGTATACACATTGGTTGTCTTACATAGGAGTAGCAATATGCAGTACAACGACGTATATATCACTTCCAACAGTGTAAAATCCGGAATATTTGGTCTCCCACATGTTACATCGTGGTAGGACGCTATGGGCAGACGGCATATAATTAAAGATCACATTGCTGCCTCATATGGGGCTTAGTACACGGATCATCCGGAACAACTCTAAAAATGACAAAAAATGGTTAGTTGAGGGGTAGCTGAGCGAAATGGCTCTATGATCAGCACAGGGGGTAGTTCAAAATATATATATCCTGTCTTATATGAGTGATAATATGTTGTTACGTGTATTTATGAGTTTTACTAACTGCATGAACATCACTGGGGGTGACCTGGTTCCCGCGGTATCCTTGTAGATACCTGGAAGATAAATGTAGGGACATACATACAAACCTTTTCCGAAATCCATATTCGGGACTAATATATACTAATATCCTCTGAGTAGGCTATGTCAGATGGTATGGTCTGGACTCTAGAGCTACTGTCAAGATTTGCTTACCTACATATAGTACCCACAGCAGAATCCTCATGTGCCTTGTACTCGTATTTCACTGACGTTTGTGGACGCGACTGATATTGCATGCCATACAAAAATACGCCAAGCTCATGATTTTGGGTGTATGCAATAATGGCCCAGTTCAAAAACGTCAGAGAAATACGAGTACATAATGTGCATACGCATACCTAGAGTACCTATTGAATAGAAGCTGCCTATTATATAATCTCGAATGGCATGGTATGTGCACGTGTCCGTGTCCGTGTCTGTGTATGTGTGTGTATATTTCTAGAACGAGTGATTCCTCATGTCTAACCAAACACAAATGCATGCATGGGGCGTCTCTTTCAATTCCCGAAGTCTAGGAGAGGCTTCTTAAATTATAATTATGAGACGAAAGTATTTTCATTTTTTGCCACGGCTCCGTAATACATGTACCTACATGTACGTATAGGTATCCCATCAACCGTAGCAACCGAGTTGAGGACCCGATTGGGTCCCACTTGAAATAAAGTGACCTTTCTTAAATTCACAGCAACACCAGCTTCGTGAGTACTATATTAGGAGCTCTTATTGGGATCGGTTGATAAACTTTCCCGCTTCTTTGTTATTAGTGAACAGGGCTGGATTATATCGTTTTTGTGTTTTTATCTAGGTTAGAGTTGCAAAGTACCCAATTGGGACCTCAGGCTTCTACGGTTCATGGGATATGTATCATGTAATGATTCTTCGTGATGCTAAAGTCTACGGTTTTTCCAAGCTTGAGAACTCGAAAAAAAATCAAGAAAAAAAAAGAATGAGCGCCAGTACTCAAGACGGTTGAACATCCCTCTGAGCTGCTATTGCGTTGTCGGTATTTAAACTGTATACTCATGAAATCGGACGGTAGACGTTGTGGTGATGCCTGCTGCGGGGAGCCGGCATTTCCAATCTCGGTTCCAAGTGAGACACGGACCTTAGTTAAGACTCTGTGGCGGATGTTCCGACGTCGGATTGATCAGCGGTCGCTTATATTTGGGTTCTCCCATGCATGTATCGTGGTGTTGTTAGAGTCTTTCGCAAGTGATGGATTTCGGTGTTTAGGCATGGTGCCAATTTATTTTCAATGTGAGAAAGGACGTTTGGAGTCAAATATAAAAAGAGAATATCTTCTCCGGATGTGGCTCAACTGTAGTTCCAATGGTTTGAGAAGAAGGCACGTCCCTGCATCGATAGAAATCATAGGAGCTGTCGTGTTGGCCCTTTGTCTTATCGGGGACTCGCCCGGGGATTTCTGTGTTTTGAAGACCTTGCAATGGATAACAATAACACATTGATTTAATGTCAAGGGTGGAGGGCACAAATTTCTATCCCGAGAAGTTGGCGTTGGTCGTCATCTTTTGATATCTTGGGTCACCATAACTTTTGGTACGAGATTGCTTGGGCCTGGCTAGAGTGCATATTGATTGACTGACCTGCAACGATAGAGCAACCAATTTACCTGTTCATTTCTCAAGTTGAAATGTCAAGAAGCGACATCAGAGTCGGTATCTGTTTCTCAGACGAGGGCTTCCCCATACGACGTGACAAACACCAAAGTTGGACCCCTGTCTAGCCCACGCCCCCTTTTGAACAAACGGCCCCCTTTTCGGGGTGTGAATCCATCCCTTCACTCGCGGAAGACCGGGTTTCCAACATTTTCGCTCTTTTCCATCGGTTCATGTGCGAGTGGCTTCTCCGGTGCCCATAGCATGATACATAAAGTACATACATGTACTTTAGGCGTGGGTAGGCAAAACCGTTTTTCTCTCAGCCATCATTTTCAGTAAACTGATGGGAGTTCCAGGAGTTTGTTCCTCTCGGGAAACTGCATGTTTTCAAGGGGGAAGTTTTAGTTTGTGCTCACTCGTGCGCGGCGGTCACGCTCAGAGAGAAGATAACCAGGTGGATACCGGTAGCCCACATTTACAAACTGCCGTAGCCCGTACCTTTCTCCCTCAATGTCCGCTGCACTAGGGAACTGTAGGTACGACGAGATCTGGTGTCGTTGTTATACAACATATTCAATCTGAACACGACTTGCAGCTTGCAGCAGTCAAACTCCGGGGGGCTTTATTAGGTAGGTACACATGTAGGTACTCTACCTATCTGAAGAAGAACCATAGGCTTTGGGTTGTATCCCCTTTCCTAAAGTATTCTGATAATTTGGATGACAAGTGACAATGAGGAAAGGTGCAGGCACAAGGGTGTCCCATTGTAGTAAGAGCTCAGCCGTGTTTGTGTGTGTTAATGGGGGAGGTGCGATTGTTGTCCATTTCAGGACAGCGGTAGGTGCCGGTTTGTACGCGCAGCAGCTTCTGTGCAACTGTGAGGTACTCCCAAATCCATACCTTCATCCATCCCCAGCCTTCTTTTCCACCCACCAGACCTTCTGGGACCCTCTGTGGACCTCAAGGTGTTTTTCTGTTTTTATCACCTATCGACCCATCCCATAATCTCATTCCATCCCCACCCCCAATCCTGTGGACCCTAAAATTTCCCACTCTCCCCTCACCGCTACTGTTGTATGTGTGTAGGTGTGTACCTGTTACTGTTGCGCGTGTGCCTCGTTCCCCATTCTCCCCTGTCGGGTCGTCTTCTTTTTCCGGTTCGTCTAGAGGGAAAAAGAAATCAGGCAACTTCCGATCCTACAATTGGAGGAAGCGAGCACTTGTGGCTTGCATACGGTATAGGTACCTAGACAGTAGTTCAGATACCACACAAACGAGATACCTAGCTCCCCTCCTCCCAAGAATACTCTACATACAATCCGAGAACCAGGGACTGGGCCAGAATTAGTGGGAAAAAGAACAGTAGCAAGAGAACAAGACCGGAGAAAAACTATCTACATATCTCTCCAAAGAAGAAAAGGGTGGCCCTCAGCCAGAAGCGTGGGATTGCGTCTATCTCCTTTCTAGCTAGATTGCTCTGGAGGGAGATTGTGAGAGTACCAGACGAGAGAGACACAGTTGGGGCCTTCTCAATCTTCTAGACTTTTTTGCTACCACTCTTCAGGGTCTCACGCAGCTGTTAGTTATTCTTAGCCGCCTTGCTCTCCTTCCTCTATCCCATCCCTCCCCTCTTGTCTTTTTCTTTTTTCCTCAACCTGCTATACCAACATCCTAATTCACCTCCCCTAACTCCGCTCATACGCAAGTCGACTCTTTTCGGGGGCTCTCAACGCTCTATGCTCCCTTCGTCTCTCGTTCTACCCCTTGCAAGCAGCAATCAGCCGAAATAACCATCAGCCATTTTGAATTTCAAGGAGAAAAATCTCTACGACACATCTAAAAAATTGCTTCAAAACCACATTCATTTGATCTTTACTTAGCGCGAGGACTATGGTCGGGTCTCCAGCGTCCCCAACTCCCTCTTCGCCTTCGCAGTCTCGACCGATGAGCGCCATTCTACGACCCGCGCGAAGCTCTAGTCGCATGAGCATCAGCAGCAGGCCTGGCGGAAGTAGGGCTTCTGATGAGGATGGCAGGACATCCGTCAAAGTTGGTACGTACATGGAACTTTATTAAACCATGGTTTCGATTGTTGCCCCAATTGTTTGGCTGCTTTCGCGGGAAACATTTCCCACCATGCCGTGTCATACAAACCATGAGGACTCAATAAAACTGACGGCTTCACACAGCTGTGCGCGTGCGACCACCACTCCGATCATCCGATCCCGGCTTCGAATTGATCCCTCAGCGGTTCCAGAAGGGAATGGTACATGTTACGAGCCCCACGAGTTTGGCTGTAGACAGTCCGCAGGGCAGAAAAATATTTGTTTTCGACAGGGTTTTTGGGCAGGATGTGAACCAAGACGGTGTTTGGGAATACTTGGAAGAAAGTGTACACGCGTTTATTCAAGGGTATAATGTTTCTGTCCTGGCCTATGGCCAGTCAGGTGCGGGAAAATCATACACTATGGGAACTTCTGGCCCTGATGAGCAGAGTGACCATAAAGTTATGGGTGAGTTTTAAACATTCAGGAAAGATTTTTTTTTGGGGGGGGCCGTGGTTTAGGGGGTGGTTTTCTCTTGTAGATGTGGAGTTGTCTGACATGGCTGTTTCACTCAGGGGTAATTCCAAGAGCTGCTGAGGCTCTTTTCGAAAAGCTTGGGACTAGCGCACCAAACCCGCGGGACTCGAGATCTGGATTGAGAGCGCCGGCAAGATACTCATCGCCGGTTTCCGCAATGCACAAACCGACCATCGAAAAAGGATGGACTATGAAAGCTAGTTATGTAGAGGTTTGTTCTCTTTGAACACTAATTACACAATCAATCGATATCTAATTAATTTAGATATATAACGAACAACTACGGGATTTATTGCTTCCAGAGGGAACTAGGCCGGAGGAAAGGGTTCCTATCACAATTCGCGAGGACACCAAAGGCAGAATACTTCTCACGGGTCTTCACCAAGTCACAATTAATACCGTAGAAGATTTGCTTGGCGCATTGAACTTCGGTTCCTCTATCCGTCAAACCGACGCTACAGCTATCAACGCGAAATCTTCACGCTCACATGCCGTATTTAGCTTGAACCTAGTTCAGCGTAAAGCTAAAGGGGCTGCAGCCAATGGTGCTACGACTCCAACAAGAGAACACGAGAAGCGATTTTCAGTACCACTTGACATGATGAACCAAACCAGTCAAGATGGCTATGTTACTGTGGACAGTAAGATGCATTTCGTGGATTTGGCAGGTAGTGAAAGGCTGAAAAACACACTTGCACAGGGTGAGAGGGCTAAGGAAGGGATTTCGATCAATGCTGGTCTGGCTAGTTTGGGAAAAGTCATATCCCAACTGTCCTCACGTCAAGCTGGGTCTCATGTCTCATATCGGGATTCTAAACTTACTCGTCTCTTGCAAGACTCACTGGGTGGTAATGCGATCACCTACATGATTGCATGTGTTACACCCGCCGAGTTCCATTTAAGTGAAACCCTTAACACAGTTCAGGTATGTTCTAATATATTTCTGTCTTATATGATACATGCCTAACACATCCCAGTATGCTCAACGTGCTCGCGCAATTCAAAGTAAGCCTAGAATTCAACAAATTTCGGATGATGGGGACATGAAAGCACTTGTCGAACGTCTTCGAGCCGAAATTGCATTTTTGCGGGAACAAGTCAAGAGCTCTTCTGAATCAAATGATAGAACGCCATCAAAAGCTGGCCAAGCCCGATCGGAAAGGTCAAATGGAAAGGAAATGGAGCTTCAAAATCAACTTCTTGATCTGCAGGAAAATTATGGCCTCTTAAGTCAACGACACGCAAGACTCATCTCGGAGATCACTAGGGCTCGTGACTGCCAGGATGCTGCCAATAACGCAGAATACACAGATAGTGCGGAGGAGAGACTAGCAAGATCAAATTCATTCGCTGAGGCTGTTGAGCAAGTTGTTCTTGAATATGAGAAAACAATTCAGAGTCTTGAAAGCTCGCTTACCAGTACCCGATCTTCAATGGCCACTTCCGAAAGTTTGCTGCTCGAGAGGGAAACTAAGCTTGCATATATCGAGACTGTCAACCAGCAATTGCAAGCCCGTATTCAGAAGCTGATGGATCGAGAATCAGCTACAGAAAACTACCTCCGCGACTTAGAGGGCAAGTTGGATGGGCATACATCCGGCGAGGAGAAGAATGCTTCTATCATTGCTGATTTACGCAAGGAGATTGCCAGGGCCAGAGAAAACGAGGTTGGCTGCGAAGATTATATCTCAACGCTAGAAGAACGACTGGCCGAGGCAGATCAGGATTTAGAGTTGATGCGGAGGGAAATCGATCGCCTTGAGCATGTGATTGAACGTCAGCGCAGTCTTGGAAAACTTGATCACCTTTTACATGAGCTGGATTCTCTTAACGCACAAGGAAAGAAGGATAATGTGAAAGGGGAGATCAACGGGGGTGGCGGAAATGTGGTGGAGCAGGTGATAGAGATCAATGGAAAGCGTTTTAGCGACCCTACATCCAAGGTCGAATCGGTGCCAGAGGTTGATGAGACATTCTTGGATACCCCTGAAGGCTCCTCAGAAAATGGAAGACGATCACCTCTATCTGACGTATCTGAAGCTAAGTCTGAGCGATCTTACCACCACGGGATCCCCCAAATTACTCTTGGGGAACACACTCACATTGAATACCCGCCCCAAAGCCCAGCCCAGTCTCAGTTTGTTGCGGATAAACTAGAATCAGTGCAACAAGAGCTCTTTGACCTGAAAGTCGAACATGAAGCGACAATTAATGAGTATGACCAGATGTCTGCAAATTACGAGGCTGCTCTGCGTGATCTCGCATCAATTCAGGACCAACTTGACGAAATCCGCCACTCCAAGTCTGGCCCTTCTCGGGAGACATCACCACCTCCATCTCCCAACCAGAGACCTACTTCTTTTTTAGTGGACGCGAGGGTGAACGATTTGAAAGTGGATGGAGAGGGACATTCCTCATCCTCGCGCTCTCTATCATCGGAGTTGTCCTTGGCTGGGGATTCGCAAATCTTGTCGGAGACTACATATGATGAATGTCCACGATCCCGGGTCAGAGATGATCCGGAAGTACATAGTAGGGAGAGCCGAGCGAGGGAGGAAGCTTTGCTCCGGGAGTTAGAGAGTGTCAGGCAGGAGATGCAGGAGACTTTGTTAGCTCAGGAGGAGGAACATAATCGCCTTCATATACAGCTTCGACAGTCTTTGGATCAAGTGGCTGAGTTGAGACAAAAAGAAAGACAGAGTGGTGTTATCTCACCTTCGACCAGTCCGTTCATCCGCCGGAAGTCGAGCCAGACTCTTGCTGTTCTTGACCGCGCCAACCGATCTTTTACCAATCTTCGCAAGATCGCAACTGAACACTTTGAGGATCAACCACAAGTCTTAGAGAATTTTGAGTTCAATCTAGATGCGGCACTACGCGAGCTTCAAAATCGCTCAGATCGTATTTGTGATTTGGAGGATGATATCAAAGGCTTAAAGAAAGAGATGGAGGCTAAATCTGCGATTATCACTGGCCTTGCCCGCGAGAGATCAAGGTACATCACTCATTTCCCATATCCGTATTTTAAAATTTTATGATTCTAACTAGATTAGTATCCAATCTTCACCTATGGATATATCTGTTGTGGCCGTTATGGAACGCCGGATCGAAGAGGGCGAGGCAGAGTTAGCAAAAACTCTTGAGATTCTTACAACGCGTGAGGAAGAGCTTTCGCGAGCCAAGACAGCATTGGAAACACGAGCAGGCGAATCCACAGGAGATGCTGCATATTTCCTGCAGGAGTTGACTAAGGAGCGCACTTTGACCGCTGAGCAGGCACAGAAGATTGCAGAGCTCCAGAATGAAATGGATAGTCTTCGGGCGAGCAATGATGCCCAGGTTGACTCCCTCAAGGAATCCAGGAACGCTCTTTCGTCTACTATAACCATGCTCGAAGGGGAGCTAGCAAGATCTATAAAGAAGATTGATCAAGAAAAATCTTTGAAGGAAGCCGTCGAGGAAGAAAAGACTTATCACCAAGAAAGAGTTGAATCCCTTCAAAAGACTGTTGCTGAGAACAGAGCTACCATAGATCTTCAATTGGCTCGCGTTGCTGAGTTGGAGCGAGCCCACGCAAATACCAAGCTGCAGATTGATTCCCACGACGGTTCGAGCAGTCCCGGACTCAGGGAACAGCAAGAATTGGCTGCAACACTGCAATCAACCATTGCTCATAACAGGGAAACCATCGAGCTTCAGCAAGCCCGTCTTAATACTCTTGAGGCTTCGTATCGTGATGCTCTGGATCAACTAGAGACTCTGCGCGTGAAAGAAGCTCGGGTTACTGCAGCTCTTAAGGTGGCTGAAGCCCGCGTATCTAACTCTGGAGAATTTACTGGCGACAACAATGCCAGACACGATGAGCTTCTAGAGTCTGTTCGGAAAGAACTAGAAGAAAGTAAGGGAACGATTAAAGAACACGTTGCAAATCTTACGATACTACAGGCATCATATGCTGAGGCCAACACCCGTATTGAAACGCTCGAGAAGGATTTGTCAATTGCTACACAAGAATCAGCTGAGCGTAATGCAGCTATCCAAGCACTTGAAGCGGAGGTCGCACAGAGCCAGGAGACTATTAAACGACACCTTGAGACCATCGCAGAGCTTCAGGAACTACGAAGTTTGTCAGAGAAGCAGATCGAGCAACTCACTGAGAAAGAGGCCAAGCACGCCAAATTTGTAGAGGATCTCGAACAGCAACTCACAGTTACCTTCGACAACAACGCGGAGACGGCCAAGAATCTGGCTGAAATGACTGCGGAGTATGAGAAGTTGCAACAAGAGAGAAAAACACTTATCGAAGAGTCTACAGCTAAGAACACCGAGTCTCAGACTCTTATTGAGAGCCTCAGCAACGAGGTTTCGAGTCTTCAGGTATGTAATATTTTGTTGGAACTTCTTCCTTTCGTTTTATTTATACGAGATATTGATCTGTAATTTCTAGACAAAACTCGCGGAAGTTCAAATGGAGCTCCAAGGCCTTGGAGTTACCCGCGCTCAGCGTTCTAATTCAACTTCCTCGAATAGCAACCTCAGAAAGAGTACATCTACGACTTCACTCCCGTCACCACCCCCTGCTATTCCTTTACCCCCTCTTCCCAGCAACGCAGCTCCTCCTCCCTCTGGTGCGCAAAGCCCAACTACGGCATCTAGACGCCCCAGTAAGGATTACGCCATATCCCATATGGAAGACCAGGAGGCTCGTATCAAGACGCTGGAGAAACAATTACAGGCCGAGAAGGCCTTAACCTCTACTCTAGAAGAGGCACTGACAGATTGCGAAAAGACAATGAAACGTCTGACAACCGACCGCGACAGTCTCCAGGTAAAGGCATCGCAAGTTCAGCAAGAGTTAGAGCGTACAAAGAACGAGTCTCAGACGAGCAGGTACTCCATGCAAGCTGTCGAGGAAGAACGCCTTGCCAGACAGAAGGCAGAACAGGCTCGAGAACAGCTCGAACAGAGAATGCAGGCCTTATCGAAGAAGAAGCGTTCGTTCGCCTGTTTTTAAACCAACCCGGCCCGCGTTTGTCAATATTTGCTCTTCATTTCCGGAGTTTATTCATTTCATTAAAAAAGATATCCATTTCCCTTCTATTCGTGTTTTATATCCCTCGTCTTTCCCCATATCTCTTGGTCAATTATTTTTCTCGTTTAGGTTCTATTGCTTTTCGGATCATGGGTGGATGAAAGTGATTTTGATGAATGTTTCCTTTTTATCCTTTATCTGCTTGTGGCTTTTCTTTTTTGATACGATTTTTCTTTATTGTTCCGGAAAAAAAGAAGAAAAAAAAGGTGTCTGTGCCAATTCCCCGACATCCGAGGGGAAAAGGAACAGAAAAAAACAATGTCTACCAGGACGCGATGGCTACTCTAACGACATAACCATAGCTTATGCATCTACCCCATTTACAAACTACATCTCGAACGGCCCCTTCAAGGGCCTCTTACATCTTATTCTCTTCGCAAGCCTTTTGGGGGGTTTATTTTTTCTCTTCTCTTCACTTTCCTGTTCAATATTCATATTGTTTTTCTCTTTCGTTTCTATTAGCATTATGCACGGGCTAAAGGTGTTGGAATTCGGGTTTCGCTTCAGAGGGGTGTCGTGCGTTATTTGACTCGAGATGATTTTATTATCTCTTTTATGAAGAGAGCGATTCTTGCTATTATCTACTTTAAACTTGCTACTGTTGCCAGGGCCGTATCTGTTGAGGATAACCCGGTCAGCTTTGGTATATGTTACTCTTTATTTCTCCATTCTCTGGTTCAACTTGCAATTCTCCTCTTTCGAGTACAAGTATCCTCTTGTGATTCAACCGACAGGATTGGAAGTGCTGCATATACATAAGCCAGGGTTTGCCCCTCTTTTTTTTCTTTACCGCGTTATTTTAGTAGTATCTTGGGGGTCTTTGGGGGGGATGGAGGTGTTCTGTTGGCATTGGAGTATGTAGGAAGGAGGGTGGTTTTTTTTTTTTTAAAGTTACATCATGTGATTATTCAAATATCGTAATTGAGAATTGATAACGTTCTAAGATTGGGCCAGCCAGTGCAACATCTATTTTCATGCGTTTTATTTTTTGCTAGAATTACGGTCTGCCAAAAACTGCTTGATGGCCTTTGCGCTCTCGTGCGCTGTCCGAAACACTATTTCACATTAAATAAAGTCTTCCTTGAAATTAATAGAGCCGCTGCGATATACTCACAGTGTCTCTCATTCTCATCCAACCCTTTCAAAAAATCACCACCACCACCTCCGATAGCGCCCGCGGGATTATGTGCATGATCCGCGATCTCCGCAGCCCTTTTTTTAAACGTCTATCATTCCTGTTAGCTCAATCCTACGATAGATGTCCAAGCTTGGGGGTTATACCTCTGTCAATATATCCACCAACTCATCCTCCTCCAGCAAGCTTAAAATACGCTCCCCAAGAGAGTAAAAGTGTGATGCAAGAGAACGCAAATCAACGGTTGTTGGATCCGCCTTCAAGGCATTCTGGATACGGGGACCTAGAGCCGTAGGGAGGTCGAGGGACACAACATTGGTCATTGTACCGAGTCTCTGGCTTACGCCTAACATTTCACCAAGCCATAGAGGAAGCTCTACTCGTGTGCCTTGCTTAATCTGGAACCCCGCGTGAGCTCGGATTAAATGGTATGAGCTCGGGGTAGATTCACATACATCAGTATTTGAGTTTCCCTCCAGGTAACCAAGCCCAGGAATTGTGATTTCAAAGATGCATGGAACTTTCTATGTTTGGTTAGTTAACAGACATATATCGTAATGGTAGTGGAGAGTTGTTGGCCTTACCTGAGCATCAGTCAAGATCGCGTCGATGTCATAGTACGACATTGATGGCAGAGGTGGCAATATTCAGGGTCCAGGGGACGCGTTGAATTTGACAACCCAAAGTGGTTGCGAATGCCACGTTGCCAAGGGAAGAAATTACCCCACATACTGTCACGTGCTCACAAAATTTTGGGCATTTCTGTCATTGACATCTTGGAACCAACGTAGTTTTCTTTAGTGTTAGAAAGATCATCAATTCTATTTATAATAAATGACCAAACGTAAATAGACAGTATGTAAACCACGGTAAATAATCTCGCCCTTGATTGCGTAACGAAAGCCAAAGATATGAGAGACAGCAGCTGATATAACCTGTGAAGTAATTGATTATCATGATATCATGACTAAATACACTCAATTATCCAGCGCTCCTGGGTTTACTTTACTTGATTAGTCCTACCGGCCGGAAATGCTCATCTACATAGGCTTGTAATTACAGATGTGGCAGGTCCGGAACTCCACGAGCGGGCCTCTCCGGATCCTATATTGAAAACAATCCAATGTTTATCAGCTAGGCGGAAAATTCCTGCTAAACAAATCTAGAATCCCAAACTATATATAAGTAAAGAGAAACGAACTATATTTTAGACCAATTACGGTTGAAAAATAATTTGCCTAATACCTATATATTATTATCAAGGGGCAAAGAGATATATTAATTTACCATGCATTGTACGTTTGTAATTGATTTCCTTTTCGATGATTAAGTCATATCGATAAATATGATTCTAGATCGAGAAAAAAATAGCTAGCAATTATCAGATGTAGTTATATATACAGCCACTCTGCAAAAGTGTTCGTGATTCCGATTTCGGAGTGAGACATTTCTCCATATGTAACCGTGGTGGGTCATCAAGAACCCTCAAGAGAAGACTTTCCCAGTGACTAATGGTGCCCAATGAAGAATAAGATCAATGACCTATCTTCTTTTTATATATAGTCACGAACTATATTATATATTTCTCGTTGTTTTGAATCTCAACTTTAATAACATTAGTATTACGAGTGCGCCACACTGCGCACCGACATTAAAACTATATCACTAACACTTTTGCTGAGTGGCTGTATGTACATGCCTATATTTCTATGGGAAATTAGTTCTAGAAATAACATATAACCATTACCTCAAAGGATTTTACTCTTACGAAGAAAATTAGTCATAATTTTATAGAGTAAAGACATATATAGAGTACCGCGTGTATATACTCTGCAGTGGCTACTTGAGTTCTATATGATTGTGGAGTATTTCCATTCCAACTCAGCTCGCACTAGTAACAAATACTTCAAAACTTACGCAAAGTCATAAAAGAAATATCATACGTACATATAGTAATTAAAGTATGGTCGGCCGTGGGGGTTAAATTGCCCAACGCTGCAGCGGTGTGATAACTGATGCTCCCATTAATACTATTAGCATTTAGCCCTATGTGGTACCTAGGGGAAAGGAAAAAGTGCCAATCCGGGTTTGCGCAGCAAATTATAATTAGCAATGAGTGATTTTTTAATGAGCGCCTTATAACTCCCTACCCCGTCTTAATTCCCTCAATTGTTCCCCAGAAATACCAACTATAAAGCACGACGCAAAAAAACCTTACTGTGATAGCGAAAACATAAATATAAAGTGCACCAGGGTATTTAGTTACTTATTCTGCCCTAAAAGAATTCCGGGGCATTTATAAATGATTAATACATATATGTCTATACAATCTGTATGTATAAAGATACTTATGTACCCAGGGTGTCGGAAAATGATGCACATTTTGTGATATCTCAACTATGAGAAAATTAATCTTCACACAAGTCTATCGTTAGGTCAATTTAAGTATGTAGATTCCTTTCATAATAAAATAAATAAATAAAAAAAAGGCCTGTCATCGATACTTTTGGGGTTTTTACTATCATAGTGACTCCTTGCTTGGAGCATGGTTATTTCATATTCAAATAACACCAAATGAACTCTTAGGTATTGCAGAGACGTTTTACACTCGAAATTTGAATTTAGGGAGCGTGTTGTGTTGTGTTGTGTTGTGCCGAAATATAAGTATTTGGGGTAATTGGGCGTACGTTGTCAGACAAAAATGCGCACCACTTTCCAATACACTGGGTACATGTATGTACATATGCATACTAAGCTACATGCAGCCAATTATTCATTTTCAACGAACGTGAACATGCAGGGCTACACTACATGTATTTGTTAGAATAGCAGGACACTATTAAGTACATACATACATACATGTATATATGTACATGTTGTAGTTAAGGTTCATCCTGCCATAGTCGGTCCCCATATCTAATAAGTATATAATTATAACCTGCATATGTAATGTGCTTTTATAGTCTTCTGATTGGTTCATTGAGGGATGTTTTTGTTTCATTTGTGTTGGATATTAACTTAGGGTATTGTGCTGAGTGGTGTTAGAGTGTTAATAGGGTTTCTACTGGTTCTGGGAATCGATAGTGGTTCGATTTTAGCGGTTTGGTAGCTGTTAAAGGGATATACCTGTAGTTTTAACTGGAGAAATTGTCTGACTTATCCGTTGATATATGGGGATAGTATATCAGAAAAGTCACATATTGACCAGAGCAGATCTAGATATAGTGATAGACTTTGCCTGCCAGGTAAATAGAGAAATAAGCCGCAAAGCGGTTTGCCTGTATATTGGACTGATTGATATACATATAGTACCGGCCGAAGGCCGGAAACTACTTGTACATGTATATATTTAATTTTATGCGGCTTACCTACTCTATGGCATCCGACATCTATCGAGAACAAAGACAGATTGAACAAAGCTGGACCAGCTGTATATGGTGTTTAATAAGTCTCCATATGAAGAAAGGATACAACCTCGGGGTCGGGCGTATTTGGAACAAGGGTTAGGTGAGTTGGTAAGTGTTTACCGTCCATCACTAACTATCACTCGGTAGCTATTCTAGGTGGCAGAAAAGCAATATAGCAGTAGCAACTACTTAAGTTCGTGCTAAGCACAATTTTCTACCATCCGAACAGGAATCCCGGTGGTTTGACCCGGGGTTCCGGTTATCGTGCTGTTCTGGTTGCGGGGCCCGAAGGAAATAAACTTACTTCGACCGGAACTCTTTAGTGTGTAATGCTGCTAAATTAACCCTTTATTTTTTAGCTATTCGAAAGCCTTCGAAGTGGGGTCAACAATTGTGTTTCAGATTTGTTTCAGCCCTTAAATTAAATTTATATATGTATATATAACGATCCATTCTAATCAATATTAACTGCTTCACCACAAACCGATTCCGGCCTAACTGCCCACTATCTCGTCCTTCTCCAACTCCCAGGAGGTTTGATCTAGTAGGCCCTGTAACAGGTTTTGCAATTTGGTTTCTAGTATTGTACGGTTTTAAACCTACCAAACTGGCTCTGTTTTTTTTTTTTAAAAAAAAAAAATTCTTTAACTAGGACTTCAGCTTGGTGATGGGCACGGGACGGGGTGGGACGGGACTTGAGGGAGTCTCGTCTCGTCTTGTATTATTTGGACTAGGTCTTGAAAATCTCGAGACAATTGTCTAGTCTCGTCAAAGTCCCAAGACTGTTGGTCATGTGTCTTTGTTTCTGGGGAACCTCTATAATCATGATAGTTAATACAAATTAAAGGTTGATTTTCTTTTTGGAACTCGATGAAAAGTTCAACTTTTCTTGGAACCGTGGCTGGGGAGTATATTTAGGTGTGGAAATAAAGTCCAAAAAGTCTCGAGACTTTTAGACTTAGTCTTGTCTTGTCTTGTCTTGTCAACCCTCAGGTCTCGTCTTGTCTTGCTGAAAGTCTCGAGACAACTTGTCTCGTGCCCATACTACTTCAGCTGGTACATACTGCCACTTGGTGATTTAGCTACAGCTAGTTCTTTGCGATAGATATATACTTGAAAAGATATATCGATATGTACATGGTTATAGGAGTTTTATAGCATTGCCGGTTCTTAGTGTAGGCTTTATACATAAGAACGAAAATCGAAATAGATTCATATTCCCATTACCCTACCAAAGCAAAAATATTAAAACAGAACTGTAGCGCCTGCTTCTGACTTGGTGGATTGCCGAAGATATTAAATGCATCATGACATCACATTCAGCTATGTTGTATGTACCTATGTACTCGCGACCAGCAACAAGAACCCGAAAATGTACGTCCTTATCTGCAATTTCCATTGGAGTAGAAGTCAAAAATACACCAAAGACTTGCAGCTGCATATTCGGGTTCTTGTTGCTGGTCGCGAGTAGGTACTCTAATCCACAGATCGCGATATCAGCACTATCCGCATCGTGCAGTTCAAGTCCAACCGCAGTGCATACATGTATGTATGTACCGACGTACTACTGTGATTGTCGGCCAATCAGTTCGCGTATGCATATGCGGGCCAGGGTGGGGAGGAATGCGGCTATCAGAAGACGTGCCTCGGTACCGAGCTTCGTCGGGAGCGTGTACTTAAGAGCTCTTTAACCCACACCCCCCGCGCTTCCCTTAGCTTCCCCGCGAAATACGATTGACACTATCATAAACCATCGCTAGATTTATACTCAGAATGGCACCGTCACCACCTCAAAACAGATTGGCCCAGGTTGCGTCACATATAGGGACATCGAATAGCTCTTTACCAGCTATCCCCGAGGTAGCTCAGGATTCTGTTGGGAAGTGAGTATCTATCGCACTCGAGAGTCCTTGATGTTTTCGATTGGACGATCCTTGTGCAAAATGCTAAGCGTCACGTTGCAGACGATTGGCGGATAAGGTCGCTATAATAACAGGTAATGTTCTTTTTCTGGAGTAATACCGGCCCCTTGATGCACTTAATTAACTTGAATCAGGCTGTAACTCTGCTGTAAGTTAGCTTCAAGCTTCAAACACACATTATGCGAGAGTCGCGCTGCATTAAATCGGGTCCTAATCTACTGTTTTGAAATTGATGATAGCTCGGAATCGGACGCGCAACAGCAAACCAGTACGCGCGGAATGGCGTGAAAGCCCTCTATATTTGCGATTATGCATCCGACAACCTACCACAAATTGAGATGGAGCTACGACAACAATACCCAGGGGTTGAAATTCATGCGAGAGCATTTGATGCAGCGGACGAGAAGTCTGTAATAAATATTGTCAACGAAGCTCTGGAGAGTTATGGGAGGCTCGATATATTCTTTGCCAATGCTGGGATCCTAGGAAAAGGTTTGAAATTAGATACCATCTCGGCGGAACAATTTCTGGAGGTCATGAGGGTGAATACATTGAGGTAATACAACAACTCCATTTTATTATACGGCAGTGCACCCAGTATTTTCAATCAAATCTAATAGGAACTAACTTACTGATATGAAACTGGTCTCAACAGTGTTTTCTTAGCAGTAAAGTATGCCTCGAAAGCGATGCAGAAGATTAGTTCCTCGAAACCTGTTTCAGGTGGCTCGATTATAGCCACTGCATCTGTAGCTGGAATACGATCTGGAGCAGGATCAAGTACATATCTACCCCCTCCCCCTCCCCCCCCCCCCAAAAAAAAAAAAAAGCCAAACTGGTACTTACATATGCATGTTCCTAGCCGACTACTCCGCATCTAAGGCCGCAGTGATCAATATAATGCAATCATCCGCTTTTCAACTCGCTGGCACCAACGTTCGCTGCAATGCAATTTGCCCTGGTCTGATAGAAACAGGTATGACTAACGTGGTCTGGGAGGCGGCCAGGAAGAGGGGCACTGTGGGAAATATCGGCCAGATAAATCCTTTAAAGAGGGGTGGGGTAAGCGACGAGATTGCGAGGGTAGCACTGTTTTTAGGGAGTGATGAGTACGTGGCTTTTATTCTCCACCAATTTTTTTCTTGCGATCCCCCAGATAGTTATATAACAAAAATTGTGGCCTGCGATTGCTTCAACCAAATCGTGGGGTAGATTAAGAGACATCGCGCCGAGAGGTTTTTTCTGATATGCTGATTATTGGAATTGTCTATAGGAGCTCGTACGTGAACGCCCAATTCTGGGCTGTTGATGGTGGACTTAGTGGAAGTCATCCGACTATGCCTGGAAGATTTCATTAACATTGTTATAATAAGTTTACTTTACCAATTGTAGTAGGCTGTTTCTTTCTGTAGGGGATCGAGAGGCCATAGAGTATATATGACGAAGTTAAGCTAGAATGCTCCGCAAATAAGAATAAAAAAAAAGGGTTGGTATTCACGATTAGATGTAAAGTAGGCGGTGATGTGTAGTACGATGAGGTGCATGTTCCCCCGGAAGTCTGACGGGTAGCTGCGGCAACAGTGACTCGGGGGATTGACATTGGACAAGGTAATCTTATCGTAGAAATAAGATTCGGTAGCCAGGAAAGCTTGGAGTACAGTCGCAACTCGATATGCCGGATTGCCAAGATTCGAGGGGTTTCGTTCGGGATAGCAAAAAATCCGGGATAGCAAATTGATTTTGCAGTAATAAAATTAAAACCTCAGAAGATTTCGTACGGGACAGCAAGGGATCCGGCGTATTGAGATCCGGCATATCGAGTTGCAACTGTAGGTCTCCGCCTCTCATTCGACACACGGGAAGAGAGGAGGAAAGCGCAAAACATACCGACTAGGCGGCCTCATTTTCACGTTTAACCATTCGCGATGTAATAACAGGCCTGTTTCAGGTCTCCGCTGTGACACAATGTATTAGGTTGCCGAGAGCTAGGGCAAGTACCAACAGAAGAGGACTTGCAGGCGAACAATTTGCATAGTTTGTAGGTCTCCGAGTGGTATTTGAGACCGGGGTAGCGAGTACATGCAGTACCAGTGGAGGGAGAGGGATGTCTTTTAGGCACCTGACTGGTAGTAAGAGTAGAGAAGGTTAGGGTAGGTACAGTCGCAACTCGATATTCCGGATCTCAATACGCCGGATCCCTTGCTATCCCGTACGAAATCCTCTGGGGTTTTGGTTTTTTTTTACTGCAAGATCAATTTGCTATCCCGGATTTTTTGCTATCCCGTATGAAATCCTTCGAATCTTGGCGACTGTACAGATAATTGAATCATGAATGTAGGTACTCGTCTATTCATAGCGTTTGTGAACACGACCGCTATTGCATGCCATACAAAAAGGTTGTCTTGGCTATTTTTTGTGTGTATGTAATGCTAGTTGTGTTCACAAACGCTGTGAAAAAACGAGTACATTGTATGGAGGCACTGTTAAGTTCCAAGCTTGGTCAATGGAAGGAAGGAAAAGCAATGCATACCAATCCCAGCCTCCGCTATGGGCGCCGATTAAATCGAACCTACGTCCTTTCTTTCCTTTTTCCAGGTTGATTTCTTTTTTCGCTCCTCCTTAACTATTCGCAATAATGTTATGATCCGGGACTGGCACCTTGTATGCGTACCGGTATCTTATCGTTCGTTTATTTGTTATCAGGAGCTTTATTAAGATATCCAACGTGGTTGAGGAGACCCCAGTTTCGCTCGGCCTATCAACTTCTTGACTAGAGTACTTGCTTGCTGTGCTTATCGATAGACAAGCAAAACGTTGCAATGGTCATTCGTCGCCAGTGTGCAACAGCATAAAACCGAGGCGGACGTAAATATCTGGGATGAACCTGTGATAACAGGGCGTTTATGCTTGGAATAGATGACCCTGCTCGAAAAAGATCTTAACGCTTGCACAATGCACGAACCAGGGTATTGCTGGTTCGTCGTGAGAACCACGATGCAGGAGAACTTATTCACAGCCTTGAGTGGGTACGAAACGCCGTTATCAGTAGGGATGCTGTTTTGTGAGTGGTAGCAAGCAGATGGAGCTGCTGTGAAGCTGTAACGTAAGCAGATTCATGCGTAAGAAAAAAAAAACAGAAAAAACAAAAATAAGGAGAAAGCTGTGAGCAGAAGAAACATTGAGGAGGGTGAGAAATTATCCACTCATGGAAAGAAAAAAAAAGTAAGGTTATCTAAACTCTCGGAGTATTTACCGGCGCTTCTCGAGAAACTCGTTATATCTGCTTTCCTGCGGGGTGCAACAGGGTGTCCCCCACCTTCTATCTCTGCCGTTCAAGAAGTATTCTAGGTTCAGGTATTTACGCATTGGGAGCCTCCTGGTCCATGTTGAAATCGTCACAAATAAGATTTAGAATCAGTCTATATGATACACTACGGATCCCCGACTTCAAGTCACCGTTTAAAACCGCGTTCCATAGATCAAGTTACATGTACTTGACACGCTTCATCCAAAAGTAAGGGTGTTCAGCTCGGAGCCACTTACGAATCCAATAAGAATACATGTACATACATACATGTACGTTCTCCTCTGTCAAGAAAGCTTAGTACTATGGCGAGGCATAGTGGTTTAGAGGCAACACGACAGATCACTCGCCCCAAAAGCTTAAAGTGTCACACCAGATCTACCAAGAGATCAAGTACGTAAGAGACATTTTGACTCCATCAAAATGTGTAGCCTCGGCTCATTTTACGTTTGTCTGCTGGTTGATTCTAGAATTTTCTGCCTCTCCAGCTAGCCATTCAGGACCTCAATTGTTCAATATAGATAATAGTCGGTTTTAAGACTCTCCGTATTAGTAGCAGCCCCGTCCCCGGTCACCAAGGATACATCTCCTCTTAGCGCTAAAATGTAATGTTGTGTATGTACGAGTTTGTTTCGCTCTTTTTAACTACATCTTGAGGAGAGGCTATGAATTATCCTTTGGTTTCATTCTTTCGGAGTCGCCCACATGGCGAGAAAAATACTGAAGTTTGGTACCTAAGACGGTGGTTTAGAAGGCGCCATAAAGCCCATCATGCTCTTCCCTGCTCATATTTGTGCGTAAATGCGGGTTTTCACAAATCCGAGCGAGATTACCGAACCACTGGGACTACTTGCTTGCTCAGTGTCTAACTGATGACGGGATAGGGTGATATGAAGTTAGTGGGTTTCAATTCTTATGAGGATCGTCGCTGTCGCTATCAACCCCGACTCATGCAACTCGGTAAGCCGTAGTCCGTGTCGGGAATCGTTGTAGAGTTTGGCAGTGACCTTTGGGTTCATATATATGCATGGACAGGAAGTAAGGGTGGAGTGGCAGGCTTCTGGAACCTATTATCTCTCTGACGTCGGTGACTTATTTGTCCGGATGTCAATTGGCCCAGGCACCGATTAGATTGAGAAAGACCGATTGGGGTTCCCTCTTGCTCTAGTTGTCTTTTGTTGTTGATATAGGTCATGTCAACTTGGGAGAAAAAGGGTGACTCGTGACGGGGGTGGGAGGCTGTACTAGCGAGATATAGAAGATACGGCACATGTTTCCCATCGCGGAGAGGTAATGAAAGAGCAAGTGGGTTCATTAATCTAGAATAATGTTAAGTAAAATAGAGATTTTTTCCGTGAGTACGCAATGTAGATTTAACACATGCTCCCCATCGTGTGGCTTGAGGTGGAGATATATGTGCGTGTAGCAGCTAGGTCATGTAGTAGGTGGTTAGGTACACGATGTGCATGGTAAATGATCCTCCAGAGAGTTCATCGCTCTACGAACCAAACTGCTGGAAGCCGGTAGACAGAACTTTCTCAGAATCAATGTCACGGCCGTTTCGGACATAGGATAAGTCTGTCGAGGCGTGGGCACGTAGCTTTGTAAAAGAAACGAAGCTGTGCAGAAGCTGCATGCTGCACAGTAGAGTAGAGTAGATGCAAAATGTGATGGGGTGAATGGCTGAACCCGATGAGGACTAATGCACCCTGCAGGAACGCTCCGAGAATAATCCCTGCACCAGCATTATGCGGTACCTGATAGGCTAACCCTTCACTTGTGAACACAACCCCAAACGAAACGGGATGAGGATAGAGAAAAAAGGGGAGTGTTTTTGTCCAACATGTCTAAATACGCCCCAAGCGGGCACGACAGGTCGCTGCGACTAGTGCAGCATGCAGAAGCTGGTTACCGAGGGCAACAATCCTGGAAGGGGCAAAAAAAGAAGAGAAAAAAGCAAAAAAGAACTCTAAGGAAAGAAGTGAGAGGGAAAAGAAGGGAGCAAGGGACAGAATAGGGCAGCAAAGGATGAGCAGTGACCATGGTCATTAACCAACCCCACGGCGCCGTTCGCCGTTGGACCGCCTGATGAGCAGGGGGATAAAAGACCATCCCGCTTCAGGGTACATGCTACTGAGAGGTCTCGGATCCTCAGATGGGATGAAGGTAGGGTGGAGGGCCATGCGCGTCCGTTCTACTCTACTCTAGGATGGGACCGAGCCCAACTTGAGTGAAGTAGGAGGGTAGAGAAAGATGAGCTGCCCACCTGAAAGCGGTCAACCACCAAATAACTTACCCAGCTGGGTTCCGTGCCCAGGATTTCTCCTCCCCCCCAGCAGCGCCTCCTCCTCCCCACTGCTGCCCTTACACTGCTATCCCCTTCCCTTTTCTCTCATTTTTTGCCCCCTCTGTCTGCCTACCGCGTGCTGTCTTTCCTTCATGCTCCCATAGCGATATCCTCTAATCCCCTCCGTACGTCGTTCTCTGGCCAGGAACGCTTGTCACTCGAGCGTGTCCGCCTCCATCTAGACACACGGGTCTGGCTTCCAACTAACCTACAGTCTTTTCTTCCGTTTTATATCGAGTTGTCTTTTTAGACTTCGTCCATATTGCTGCTTGCTGCTGTTGCTTGCTTGCTTGCCTGTTTGTTTGCTTGCTTGCTAGTCATCCCACCAAAGGCCCTGCTTCTTCTGCAGTTAACGTTTCCGTTCGTTTATTTACCTCTGGTCACCTTCGACCTCACTTACGACCCGTCAATTGATTGTACACAAGATGCCTCCGTCACTTCGAAACCAGCCGTCTTTCAGCCGTCCAAGAACATCAGATAGAGATGGTCGTCCCACTACGAGGGATGCTAGTGACAACCCGCTACCCATCCCTAGCAGGACGTCTTCTCTTCATAGCCGGATAACCCAGCCCATCCCATCCACGTTGAACATGAAGATGCAGCAAAGAACACCAAAAACTCTCACTCACGCATATCTAGTATGTGGAGTGGGTAGAGAGCCTTCTCAATGGGTCAAGGCTCCAACACCATCTCAGGGCAAAATCACGCATATTAAGGGGGCTGTCAACCAGTTCTGGTTGCCAGAAATTCTAGGAAGTAGCCCAAGGCTAGAGCAGGACAATGACATTGCTCGCGCTCTGCACGCTGCTATGAGGGTAGATACAACCGGAATAATAAATTTTTGTTATATGGAATTTTTTTTATAACTAATCATGTGTTTCAAACTAGGCTTGTTTCCCACACGATGTTGAGATCTGCACCGGACGTACTCAACCACATTGCGTTCATCACACTTTTGTACTGCAGCAAGACTCTTCTCACACCCTGTATGGAATAGCATTGCGGGTGTGGTCGAGGGCAGATGAAAAACGTGCCGAGACAATTCGCGATCTCCGGAAACGGAACGAACCCGACTATTATGATTCGCCGGATGAAACTTACTGGATTCCATATGCCTTGAGTTTCTTGTCTAGATATCCACTCTTCAATCTTTTGGGTGATTACCTGAGGGGGATGTGGATTCACTGGAACAAGGCTACAAACTTGTTTCATGCCGAGTATGTTCCATTATGTATCCTGGAATCTTTTATGACAATTCTAATGAAAATAATTATAGGGAGGTTTCACGAATTTTGAGTTTCCCCGCTCCTCGCCTTAACGACCTTGTGCGCATCGATATGAAAGACTACGCTCTCTGCTACCAATTCCCTTCGTCGCCAACAGGCTTCCAGAATGTAAGTGTCCAGATTGATAATTTCTGGTAGGCACTCACTGATTATCGATAGTTTGCTATGTGGCCCCTTTTCTGCTGTCTATCAATTCCCAATATCGTGGGTGTAATTGAAGCTGCTCTTTCTCCTACTCGCCGAGTGATTTTTGTTAGTCACTACCCTGCGATGCTCACTGCCGCAGCAGAAACAATTCGTTACTGCGTAAGAGTATATGAGTGGAGTGGTCTTTATGTTCCTGTAGTACATGCACGTCATGCCAAGGACCTTGTGCAAGAGCCTGGCCCATATATTTTGGGTTTCACCGCTGAATGCCGAAGTCTTTTTACTGCACCGAGTGACGCGCTTGTTATCGATCTAGACAGAAATTTTGTCCTCACATCATCACCGCCAACGGCACTATCTCAAGGCCAACGTAACAAACTGATTTCACGGTTGACCCAGGCTCTTCATGGCGATGTAGCGATCTCAGGTGTTCCAACACATCTTCGCTCAGCGTATGCCGGTGGTAAGCTTGTTCCTGCTGGTCAAATTATAGTCATGCGCGGAGAGGTGGAAAGTATCCAGGATCCTGAGTGGTGGAACCAGGACGATGTCATGAGTGTTTTGGACCATGTCTGTGAGAAGATGGGCCGTAACACTGGTATTAAGGCTCTCTTTGGTGGATCCGTTAAAAAACCTTTGATGACTAAAGTGTCTCTGCGACATCTCAATGAGATCGTTCGTGAAAGAAATCAGTACTCACGTGATGCTATGGAGGCGTGGCAAGACTTTATCAATCTCAAAGGCCGTATGGATACAGAGTTGCAGAAGGTTTCCAAAAGAAATAACTTTCTTTTGGAAGAGGTTGAGAGCTGGAAACAGCAGGTGATTTATCTTGACAGACTCCCCATGGATGATACTGACTATATTTTTAGTTCGAGAAATTCCAGGCCTTTGCTGCGCAACTCACTAAGGAGGCCCAAGAGCTCAAAGCAAAGATTGAAACACATAAAAAAGAGAACCGTAGGCTCGTCAATCTTATTGATCAACAAAAGGCGGACTCCGCTTCCCTCACTTTACGTTTGGCTGGTACAGAGAAGCAGAGGGATGAAGCTCTTGAGGCCTTGGTGATGCAGCAAGAGATTGCTGAGCAGCTTGAGCGAGAGCGCAAGAGGAATAAGAAGGATCTTTCGGCCCTTCATGACACCTCTGAGGCCATCCTCCGCCAAAGGGATGAAGCCCAACGAGTGGTTATTCATCTCCGTGCTCTCATTGACGGACAGGCCCATCATATGGAACACATTGTCCGATCATTGAATGACACCCCAGAAGTTGCTGGGTACATCGATGGCTCTATTGATGGCGACGGTAACGAAAGCGGCGGTCAGGCAACTGTCCGAGCTACCCCTAACCAGTCCAGAAGATCATCACGTGCATCATCAAGGACTACATCACGCGCGAGTACTGTTGACGCCAGGGGTTTAGATGTTGATGATGTCAATCCAGACATGGAAAGGCGCTTTTTTAATAGTCCAACATATATGAAGCGTTTTTCCCAGAACAGTGTCGCTGATGTCGCGGATCGTCATCTGCGAGACAAGACCGATGCAATTGCAGACATCATCAGAAACATCTCAGAGCAGTGTGCTGCCGCCGTCGAGGGCCTTCATCTTGCACAGGCTGCAGCAACTCACGACAACCATCCCATGACGGATTCTGAGGATGATGATGATGATCACGAATCGGTTTCAGAGCACGACTCCCGCCCAAAGCACCGTCACAGATCTAGCAACGACAGTACACACCTATTGAGGCCTAACGACGCTCATTCATCAATGCCACCAACCCCGGAGCTCACCCATCGGGCATCAACCGCCATGTCGATGGCTTCAACATTATCGCCAGAACGCCATTCTATCTCTATGCAATATCATGATATTGATATACCGACAAGGATTGTTGAGGCTGAAGATGCCGAAAGTGCGCAGAATGTCGAAGACTCCGAGCAGTACTTAGCTCTCCAGAAGGTGCAGAAGGAAAATGCTATCAAGAACACAGAAGGCATCATTAACAGGGCTGGGCTTAGAGTATCAGCATTCGGAACCGCTTAAGACCGCTTCTACTAGGGCGTTTATCGTTATGAGTGCGAATAGATCACTGAGGGACGGATAGGAAAGGGGGTTTGTTTTGATTTTTTTTTTCAAGCGGATGTTTGTCTCACGCCTTTTTCTTAACTGTCTTTATTGTCCAGAATATTTTCTTATGTTTTGAATTTACTTTCTGAAGATCAGTCCGGGATTGACAGAATATTTTTGCGATTTCAGTACAATACTACCTGGAGTCTTCTATTCATTATGGTGCGTTTACGATGTGGCCTTCTTTTACTTTACTCTTCTCCTTGTAATTTGAGTCCCATTCTTTGGTTATCCTGTCCATTTTTTCTCGACGGGTGTTTTTTTTTTTTTTTTTTTGGTCATGTCTTTTGCTTCAGCGTGGGGGGTCTGGAGCTATTCATTTCTGATCAGGATTGTCTTTCATGATGTTTTGGGATACTTCCGTTTTTTTCCTGGGAGGATCGTTTATTTATATTGCGCGGGAAACGGCTCTCAGTCAGCCTCTAACCTTTGTTAAGGCGCAAAAAAAAAAAAGATGTCTCTTTTGGAACCACTGTATACACTAATTTCTTCAATTGATTGATCGTGCTCTGTAAATTGTAAAAAGAATATAAAAAAATTCTCCAATATTACAACCCTTCCTGGAGGAGCAACAGGGATGTTGCGGTGAGCATAGAGCAGATACAGTGTCCATGTAGAGTATCTGCTTGATACTTTATCTACCCTCGATTATCTTAATTGAGTAATCGGTTTGTCAATCAACTTCTCTTAGGGGGCTAGCGATATATACCTGTATGTACATGTAATAACCCGTCAAGGTTCAATGTTATATTGTGTTCAAGCTGCTTAGTATGTTAGTATGGAGGCCGTTCGCGGGTCTGTTCTTAGTTACATGTAGTACACACCGTACTTGTAGGCAGGGTATCTACATGTAATCGAGTGGCTACAGTAATACGAGTTTCTAGAGGACACTGCACCAGGATTTAAGATCCCAACGGCATAAACCAAATCGAGAAATTTGGAGTTGTGCAAGTTGGGAATATCTTGATAACAGACCACCTCCCTCGCCAAGTCACTCCGTGAATCTTATTTTCTCATTAAAGGGGATACCCGCGTTTTACAATGATCGAACCCTGGATTGTGGCTCGGTTGGGTAGCTAGTTCGTTTTTGATAAAAATGGTTAGGTGTTTAGCCCCGTGAGCTTTGTTCTAAGTGTTTTGCCAAGCCTTGGTTGGTATCAGTGCTTTTTAATTAGAACTTTGTTCATAGACTATCACTCGTGAGATATCCTCGGTCACCTGGGCGGCACGTACGGGCATATATGCGAGACACCCGCACCTGCACAAGATAATTTTCGGTTTACTATATTCAGGCTTATAAATCAGACATATGACCACTACTCTAGACTATTGACAGCATCTTATCTCTCTATCTAATAAGTATATAATTATAACCTACATATGTAATGTGCTTTTATAGTCTTCTGATTGGTTCATTGAGGGATGTTTTTTGTTTCATTTGAAACATGTTGTGTTGGATATTAACTTAGGGTATTGTACAATTGTGCTGAGTGTTGTTAGAGTGTTAATAGGGTTTCTACTGGTTCTGGGAATCGATAGTGGTTCGATTTTAGCGGTTTGGTAGCTGTTAAAGGGATATACCTGTAGTTTTAACTGGAGAAATTGTCTGACTTATCCGTTGATATATGGGGATAATATATCAGAAAAGTCACATATTGACCAGAGCAGATCTAGATATAGTGATAGACTTTGCCTGCCAGGTAAATAGAGAAATAAGCCGCAAAGCGGTTTGCCTGTATATTGGACTGATTGATATACATATAGTACCGGCCGAAGGCCGGAAACTACTTGTATATATGTATGCATATATATGTATATAAACGTGCATTTACTTGCTTTCGGAAGGAACCACAACCACCCCCACGTGCGGGGAACGACATTCTTGGGTCAAAAGCGCAAATCGTAAGAGTCATATGATAACGAGAATATTATAAAAGAAGTGTACGCTAGTCTCCCGTTATATCAAGCCTTTGACAAACTTCCCGGGACCAAAAGACTACATGTATATATACGTATATCAAAAAATATGTAGTACATCTGACCATATATTTCGAGTATGTTAGCACTTGAAATAATGATAGTATGCATATATGATACTCCAATTGCAACCGCTACAATCTAACGTTCAGGGGCACAAAATTAGTTGTTGATATTTGTTTAATTATGTTTAAGCCTTGGTAATTATTTAAACATCATAAATATGTAAGAAGGCGTAAAGTCTCTCTCTACCCGGCCGTATATGTATATACTCTAGATTGAAAACTCTCACCATTAGTTCGAATGGTGTATAAAGGGTAAGACTTAAGCTACATTCAGTCATTTGACTACAACTATACATATACATACATGTAGTAGCTTGGTCTCTATAGCATCACTACTGGTTGCTTCCGCCCAAAGAACTGCAGTGAATGTCGATCTGGTGACCAGTAAGAGCCCACCTTTTCCCAGCTTTGGGTTAATTGCCTTTTTTTTTATCTAGGCGGCGAGTACTTCAATCTATCAGTGCGAGTACATGCACAATTATTACATATGACTCAGGTGATTTCGGCCAGATCACAGTCAACTGCAAAGGTCTCTATTTTCTTTTACGACCTAGGTACCCGGATTTGTTTTATGTTTTACCTTTCATCTTTCGACTTTTTCAGATCTTGACAAAGTGCCAAACATGCAAGAAGAACTGGCTTACCCTAATATTATCGGCGCGGCCAAAATAAATATATACTCTTAGCAAATCCCTAATATAATTCATGCTTCAGTTTTCCTCCACCTCTATATATATATAGTGCTTCGCGAGCCGGCTACCCCTCAGCAGCACAATCGATCTCGCTCGGATCCTCTGATCTCCAGTTTTAAAATATTTCGAACTGGGAGCGTGGCCCTGTATCTCCGGCTTCTCTGTTCCAATTTCTTTTGGGATGAGGCTCGTGAATCTATGGTTGGGCCGATTGACGGTGGGTTTATAGGGTTTCTTGTGAGACCACAATACTGAGCACAAGTACTATACTATAGAAAGCTAGTCTTGGCAAATAAGTTTTCGAGGACATCGTTGAAGAAATCGTGGGGCCTTGTTTATATACATATATGTACTTATACATATGTATATACATATGTGGCATCTACATTACGCAGGGCCAGAGAACTGTTCTATCAGAGGATTTGTCCTCTGACCCCCAAGCCCTTACTCTAATTATAACCTACCGGCCCGCATCAAGACGTCATCCTAGAAACCTACAAGTCGTTGCCGGCCTTCGGCCGGAGAGGATAATCCATCATATATTATTTTTTAGTGCAATTCTATATGAGAATATAGCCACAGGAAGGGTATACTCAAAACTTTATATTAATGTAGAAGAATCTAATTAAAAATTAGCAAAAAATAACCTTTTATTTTTGATTTTACCTGCATTCATTTTGGTCTATTAATACTTAATCAGCAAAAAATCTTTTACTAGTTCTAATGGCTCTGGTCTGCATTCAGGAACAACTTTGAATATGGCAGAGTTGGGACAGGTTTGAGAACGGAATCAGAGGAGAATCTCTGAGTGGAAGATAATACCAAAATCTACTAATTATGGAGAGAAACAAAAATCAATGTTATCATGATTATATCGTACCGAGAAAAGCAAATATTGATAATGTGATATCGTATCAAGTAGAGCAAAAATCAATACCCTGATATCGTATAAAGAAAAATAAAAATCAATATAATTATAGCTACTATATTGCTCTAAAAAAGAAAAATCAATTCAATCATGATTATATTGTCATAAAAAAGCAAAATCAATACTATTATATTCAAGTTCTACCGAGAAAATAAAAAATTAATATCATGATATCATCTCAAGAAAAGCAAAAATCAATATATAAATCAAAGAAAAATCAATATGTTAGCAACTCAAAAAAAGCAATCTTAATCACCAACTTCTCAAACCTAGCCAATCAAAACCTTTAAATAACACATTGCATATCGGTATATCTATATACTTATAAGATAAGCAATGAGTACTGGTCGATTGCATGTTCAATAAAACCTCAAATCAGCTTATAACAACAGCGTTAACCTCGATTAATAGGAAACATGTCGAGTTGGCTTTGGATAATATTCCATGCACAGTAACAGTCGAATGTATCGTTTCCGGGTGTGATAAATTAACCTCAATTACCATTCTAACACATGCATCGATATCTACTTTCATTCGCTTACGATCTTTACATCATATCAATCAATAGTTTCAGTATAATTATAATCTTCATCAATCGGTACGTACTACGTAGTACCATATGTAGTTGGGAGTAGAACGCACCCCTGCGCATAGCTATCGATATATATCATCCGGACCCCAGTTGGCATCGACAACATTAACAAGGCCAAAGTCGGCAGGAAAAATGCGCCAATACCCACCACTTAGGAAGCTGTCTGGGAAGGCCGCCTAAACCAACCATGTAAGGTGTGACACAGTGAGTGATGGCTTATGAATAGGATCAATGGGGATACCATACTGGATTCCTCGAAGCTCACTCCCGGTCGGCCGTCAATATTCCATGCCGTCAATACCGGGTCCACGATCGTTTCAAAATAGCCGAAATGGTACATCATCTGCAGCATCTTACTCTAAATTCTAACCATCACCCGGAACCGAGAACGAGATCTTCGGCGACACACTCCCCTTAAAGCCAAAATCGTCATTTACCCCAGGATTTAATATCGACCGTCCCTGGCCCCCGCATTAATGTTGCAACGGCGTACCTTTCTCGTGATATCCCCCCCCCCCCCCTCTATCAATTTATCCGTACATTGTTCGGGCTGATGAGAACCGAAAGCAAAAAAAGGAAAGAGAAAAAAACCATTGTGGACAATCGGATGATAATATATGTCAAAGAATGCAATTAATATGGGAGAAAGGAAAGGAAAAGAAAAGAAAACATTATCTGGACGTCTTTGGTATTAATAAATACCTAGACAGTAGCCCTTGGATTTGCCCTGTAACTCGGCGTTGGAAGTATCTTTGGAAAGCGTTTTTCCCGCGATGAGGTTCTTCAATGTCTTCGCGCATCTCGTGCTTGCGAGTAGCTTGCTAGCCTCCTCAGTTTCTGCGCAAAAAAACAATGGTAGCTGCCAAATACCTATGCTCAAATGTGATTCATAATTGACACTCTATAGGCAAAACCGACCTCGTCGAGTGGGATCGTAGCTCCCTCTACATAAACGGCGAGCGAGTCTATGTATTCGCGGGTGAATTTCACTACCCGCGTCTTCCTGTCCCTGAGCTATGGCTCGACATCTTTCAGAAGCTGCGAGCGACTGGCTTTAATGCCGTATCAATCTATTTCTTCTGGGCATACCATTCTCCGAATCCTGACACACTCGATTTCACCACAGCTGCATTGGATATTCAGAGGCTGTTCGACTACGCGAAGGAGGCCGGAATTTGGATCATTACGAGAAGTGGACCTTATATTAATGCTGAAACTAGTGCAGGCGGAGTAGCTTTATGGACTACTACCGGCGCATGGGGTATACACAGGACCGATGACGAGAAGTACCATGAGGCGTGGTTACCATTTATCACGGAGGTAGGGAAGATCTTTGCAAAGAATTCGATCGTAGAGGGAGGAATGGCTATTCTGAATCAACACGAGAAGTATGCTGTTTTCCATGTAAAAGAGGAGTAGCTTGTTACTGACATTATATTAGTGAATTCGTCGAGTCTTATCATGACCCCAATTGGACGGGTGTGAAGTATATGGTCCAAATCGATGAAGCGTTTCAAAACGCAGGTGTTGTTGTTCCTTCTACGTAAGTGGTGGCTATTTTAAAAGGGAAGCAGGTTAACTAACATTGATTCAGACACAACGAGAAAGGAATGAGAGGTCAAAGTTGGTCCACGGATTACTTGGATGTTGGCGGTTCAGTTGGTATGAACTCAATCTTCAAAGGCTAGTAGTTGAGTGTGAAACCTAACCTTGATTAGATATCTATGGCTTGGACTCGTATCCCAACGGATTCAACTGCGCCAACCCAACTGGAGGATTCAACATTGTCAAGACCTACTATCAATGTATTGAGTCTTTCTCTGAGAAGTTTCGCAACCAAGTTTATGTGCTAAAACATCCAATATATAGGGTTTAATAACTACTCACCAACTCAGCCTTCATATGTTCCTGAATACCAAGGAGGCGCTTTTGACCCGTATGCATCTCAATAACTCTACTACTCCAATTGCAAGTGAATCTAATCCCGTACTTCTTTATAGATGGGGAGGTTATGGCTTTGAAAATTGCGCACAACTCACTGGTAACGAGTTTTCGGACGTGTTTTATAAGACATTAGTCGCGCAGAAGATCTCACTGATTAGTCTTTACATGACGTATGTAGTCATCCAGTCCCTGTTAGGAACTAAGAGCTGATTCTCTGGTTGATTTTAGTTACGGCGGAACCAACTGGGGGAGTGTTGCTGCACCTGTAGTGTATACGTCTTATGACTACGGAGCGCCATTGACCGAGTCCCGTATTATCCGCGACAAGATGCGCCAAATTAAACTCTTGGTATAAATGCCTACCCTATAAAGACAAATATATACGAAATAACTTACCAATATACTATAGACATTATTCCTCAGAGTTAGCACCGATCTTCGGGAAACAAACCAGCTTGGTAACGGTACAACGTACGCAAATAAACCCGTGTGATAATCCATGACGCAGATTTACTGACCCAAACACAGGTTCACCAATAACACTGCAATTTACACAGTTCATAACCGAAACCCGACAACCAATGCTGGATTTTACTGGGTCAATCAAAACACTTCAAGTTCCCGAACCGTAGTAAAGTTCGGTCTGAATGTTGAGACGAGTGCTGGAAATTTAGTCGTTCCGAATATTCAGCTTGATGGCAGAGAGAGCAAGTTTATTGTCACTGATTATACCTTTGGAAAATACGGACTCTTGTATTCGTCTGCCGAGGTCTTAACTTTTGCCATTATTGATGATAGTCCGGTTTTGATTCTTTATGCAAATGCGGGTCAAACCGTGGAGTTTGTACTTAAGGATATCACCGCGGCTCCGAAAGTATTTGGAGATGCTGCGATTACTACGGAAACATATCTTACAAAGGTAATAATTTCCAATCCAACCAGATCCTAACACCATACTAACACTCACCAAGCATACAAGAGTGACCTATACTCAAGCCAGAGGTTCCTCATTCATTCAGTTCCCCAACGGCCCTCTCATCCAAATTGTCGACCGCATCACAGGCTGGAACATCTGGGCTCCAGCCCTCACCTCAAACCCCAATGTCCACGCCGATGAGCAACTTCTCGTATCAGGACCTTACCTTGTTCGTTCGGCCACCCTCGAGGGATCGGTTGCAGAGCTCCGAGGTGATCTAAACTCAACATCAACTATTGAAGTTTTCGCTCCCAAGAAGATCAAATCCTTTAAATGGAACGGCAGGACCCCATCCGACATTAAACGCACCTCATATGGTTCTCTCGTTGGTACCGCTGCCGGACCAGAGACACTCAGCTACAATCTTCCCGATCTGAAGAGTCTTAAGTGGAAATTCAGCGACTCGATCCCAGAGCGTCTAGTCGATTATGACGATTCAAAATGGGCACATGCGAATCACACCACCACAGATAACGCACAGAAGCCGAAGACTCTTCCGGTGCTGTATCCGGATGACTACGGCTTCCACACCGGTATCAAACTCTACCGCGGCTACTTTAACGGCAAGACAGCGAGCAGCGTTACACTCACTGCTATTGGCGGGAGCGCATTTGGATACAGCACTTGGTTGAACGGGGAGTTTATTGGTTCTTGGTCAGGATCGCCTGCAAATGCAAGTGCGACTCTCACCTTGTCGTTTACGAACAAAACTCTCCTCGATACTGGGAATGTAGTGTTTGTTGTGCTTGATTACCAAGGTCACGATCAAGACTCTGTTGGTCCTGATGGCCCACGAAACCCCCGTGGGATTAGTGAGGCAAGCTTGACTGGAGGAAATACAACATTTACTGAGTGGAGATTAATCGGAAATGCTGGGGGTGAGTCGCCGGTGGATATGGTGAGAGGTGTGTATAACGAGGGTGGATTGAGGGCCGAGAGACTTGGCTGGGCGCTGCCTGGATTCGATGATGGAAAATGGAAACAAAAGAGCCCACTTGAGGGTGTAGTAGGTGCTGGTATCGAGTTTTACGTAAGTACCCCCAAGCCCCATGATCACCCAGAGACCTTTCTAACAGACTAAATTAGCGAACCACCTTCCGTCTTTCAATTCCCACAAATCACGATGTTCCCCTTGCCATAGTTCTTGGTGCTCCGAAAACCACAATCTCCAGAATTCAGATCTATGTAAACGGATACCAATATGGTAAATACATATCCCACATCGGCCCACAGACTGAATTCCCGATCCCACCGGGTATCATTAACAATGGTGGATGGAACACAATTGGTGTCGCGATCTGGGCACAGGATGAAGCAGGTGCGGTGTTGGAGAGCCTAGAGTTGAAAGAGGTGGATCGGTTTACTAGTTCTTTCAAATTTGATTTTGACGGTAAATACTTACAACCAGAGTGGACAAAGGAGAGATTGGACTTTGCTTAGAGAGCAGTAGATAGATGGTATTTCAGTATATGTCTTCTGTCATTGTATTGTTTCACGTGGTGCGAAGTCAATAGTACCAAAAATTATATCATGGGTTCTCAATTGAACATAGTATTCGAGTGATATTACATGATGAAACCCCAACCCTTAATGAAACGATGAATCCCAAAGGAGCGAAATGAAACACTAAATAAAGCACACGGGATCCCGATTAAAAAGCCGCTACCGCAGGAACAACAAATGGACCCACTTATGGCCCATGGGAGGTTGTCTGCAGCCTGTCTTCCCTTTATCACCCCCTTTGATTCGTGTCACCTACCATTGCCAACCCACCCCTTCTGGATCTTGAGATTGAAAAAAAAAAATTTTTAAAAAAACCAAATTATCATATCTACTGATGACGCGGTTGAACACGAATGAACACTTGCATCTTGCATCAAAGCATCTGTGTACCGGGAGAAAGGTTTCTTTTGCTGCAATTTCGGCAACCGGTTAACTAAGGGGGGAAGTCTTTACTTGGGGGAGTGTCGGGTCGGGCTTGGCATGGAATCATCGCTTACTCGGCGTTTCTTGGAAGAAAGGGTTCGCGCGTCTAACGGGTTTTATGTTCCAACTTTCTGTTGCTTGGGGAAGGGAATTCAGGAAATGACCGGTTGTAGCGATGTTGTCCTCTCCAGACAGACACTCTTTTATGCTAAGGGCTGGCTGATTCTCGCGATAGAATTTTCCGAGGTGAGTTTTCCAGAAAGAAAAGAAGGGGGACCTGTTATCGTAATCATTTACCTACAATACCCTTTACATGAGCTCGAGAGGGAGATAAAGCATGGCCGGGAGGCATATCCGTATGAGTATGGGTGGACACTACTGTTATCTCCATCAACTCCACGATTGGCGGATATAGTTGTTGCCGCGAATTTTTAGGGAGGAGCTTCAGGCTGAGGGCAAACAGTATGGATTCTTCCATTCTATAAATGCCAAGCATCGCCAACTCTGCGCTTTACAATGAATCAAGTCAATTAGGTAACCCGCGCAGCGCAGCCAGGCAGGCGTGTATATAGAAGTAAAACCTGCATTCCAGAAGTCAATACGTAGTGTGTTGTTCTTGCCCTTTTTTTAACATCTGGCTCTGTTCTGTTCTGTTCCACGCTGCTCCTTCTTCCCTTCTCTTCTTACTCGGCCATTTCTGCTGTTTGTCGTGTCTGTGCACCTCCCTGGTCCGCCCACCTGCCCTGCTCTGCTTGCTCCGCCTCAACTGCCTGCTCTGCCTACAACCACAGAAGCAGCAGTTAACCATCGCGGCTCCCCACCCTGCTTGATAATCTGCCACGGGCAACAGCAACTTAGCCATAATAATTTCTCCGTCATACGAGGGAACGGTTGTGTGTTTACCCTGCTAGTAAGAAATATTTCCCTGTAAGTCTTGTCTGGCTGTCAGTCAGTTTTGTGTAGCCCAAGTTTGTGGTCTCTCTCCGTTGTCCGAGAGTAGCTGCCTCCGTTTCTGTTTCCGTTCTTCTTCCCTCCTTCCTCTCAATCAACTCAACCCAACTTTTTTTCTATTTCACGTACTTTGCGCATGGTATAGTTTTATACTTGCGTCGTTGTTCACCTACCACATCAGCCTCCCCACCCCCAATAACTGTCATTCCACCACATCCCCCATCATCGCCCGCTGCGCTACTCTCCGGCCACATTCTACCACCACTCACTCGTCTGCTCATTCCCCAGGCTGCGGTTCATAGCGTACATATATACATACATAGGCATAGTCACTCTAAATCTGCCTGCCTTCCCTCCCGCACCACAGACAGACAACCAACGTCCCTTTCAGCCTCTGAACCACCACCCACCAGTCACTTACAGCACAGATCTCCAACAAACCCATACCTGCTATTACCAAACCCCCCCCCCCCCCTCTTCCCAGCTATTATTTATCTGTAAACGCGGGAGAAGCCAAGCTCCAATTTCCCGTCCCCCCCCGCATTAATATTAATTCTCCGCTGCTGGGAATCCTCTTGATCCTCATACACCATCACCACCAATAGAGCCCCACACATTAGAACACCCCCCCCCAGTTCACTCCCGGAGACGACACTGGCTACTATCGACCCTGTTAACTTCTCACATCGGGCCCCTGCTCTGATGACCCAATTATTCGGTTCATCGTCGGGCCACAATGAGCGGAAGACTCCCTCATCGCCTAGCTCAAGCGGTGGCCGCTTCGGCTCATCTTCATCCTCTTCTTCCTCTCATTTCCCTACAAAACTCAAGAATTTCTTCCGAATAAATAGTCTTGGTAGTAACAGTAACGCGTCGTCCAGTGGTGAGCTCCATACCTCTAATCTCGGCAGCTCGCTCCGCCCTAAATCCCGTTTCCTAAGAGGCCGATCTACTTCATCGGCCAGCCAGCTGGATCATGCTGAAATTTCGCCCACAGCGAACGCGAACCCGTACTTTGCCCACCAGGGCCCTCCGGCGCTCAGACATCACAATGAAGGGAGTGCCCCTCCATCCCCCCCGGAAACGCCCGAATTGTCGTTGTCTCCGCCGGGTATCAGCATCGGCGTATCGGGTGCAAATGACCAGCAGCTACAGGCGAACAAGGAGGAGCTGGCACGAAAGTTGAGGCGGGTGGCTTCGGCTCCAAATGCTCAGGGTCTATTCTCATCCGGTGATAGTAGTAAGGGGAATCGGCCGGATACTGCGACAGAGGAAGGGGGGAAGCCGCCGTCGTTGAATTACTCGCCCGCCGCGTCATCGCCGCTCAGTAATGGATCGGGGGAGCTGAGAAGTACGTCGACATCGAACTTACTTGTGCCAGGGGCTGGCGAGGCGATACCGGAGCGGCTTAGGAATGGACAATTCAGGAGGACGTATAGCTCGAACTCAATCAAAGTAAGGAATGTGGAAGTTGGGCCGGGGAGCTTCGATAAGATCAAGTTGTTGGGTAAGGGTGATGTTGGGAAGGTATATTTGGTACGGGAGAAGAAGAGTAATAGGCTGTATGCCATGAAGGGTTAGCATGACTGTTTTTCTCCAGTGTTTCTCGGGAAAGAGTTTATTTGGCTAACTATTGGCCGCAGTATTGAGTAAAAAGGAAATGATCAAGAGGAACAAAATCAAAAGGGCATTGGCCGAACAGGAGATTTTGGCTACCAGTAATCATCCGTTCATTGTCACCCTTTACCATTCTTTCCAATCGGAGGATCATCTCTACCTGTGCATGGAGTACTGCAGTGGTGGCGAATTCTTCAGAGGTGAGGCTTACTCAACATGGGACAGGATCGAGCGGGTCGTCTTACTAACTTTCCACAGCTTTGCAAACGCGGCCTGGAAAATGTATCCTCGAGGACGACGCGCGGTTTTATGCTGCGGAAGTTACCGCAGCTCTAGAGTACCTGCATCTGATGGGTTTCATTTACAGAGATCTCAAGCCAGAAAGTATATCTACATAAGTTCCGCCACTGCTGACCCGTGCTGACTCATATTCCAGATATTCTGCTGCATCAGTCTGGACATATCATGTTGTCAGACTTTGATTTGTCAAAACAATCAGAGCCTGGTGGTGTGCCAACCATGATTGTCGCTAGGGGAGGAGCCTCTCAAAACTCACTCCCTGCGATCGATACAAAATCTTGCATTGCTAATTTCCGGACAAATTCGTTTGTTGGAACTGAGGAGTACATCGCTCCAGAGGTAATAAAAGGTAATGGACACACTAGTGCTGTGGATTGGTGGACTCTCGGTATATTGGTATACGAGATGTTGTATGGAACTACCCCATTTAAAGGAAAAAACCGAAATGGGACTTTTGCAAATATCCTCAGGGATGAAGTTGGTTTTCCGGAGCACCCAGGTTCGCCCTCAATAACAAAGTAAGTCTCGTTCAAACTCCTATATTGTTCGGAATTAACCAGGTTTTTGTTTGTAGTAACTGCAAGTCTTTAATACGCAAATTGCTTGTAAAGGATGAAAACCGCCGATTGGGTTCTCGTGCCGGTGCATCAGATGTTAAAGGACATGCTTTCTTTAGGTCAACACAGTGGGCTCTATTGCGTCATATGAGGCCTCCAATGGTCCCAAACCAAGGGAAGGGCATTGATGCAGTGAACTTCCGCAGTGTGAAGGAGAGTGAAAGTGTTGATATTGGCGCCGCCAGGGTGCGTGGAGTACCGCTCTCAAGCGATCTTGAAACACCTGGCGAGAAGGACTTCGATCCTTTTGAAGAGTTCAATTCTGGTATGTGGACTATTACTATCATTTAGAAGTTTAGAAGACGAGTGCTAATATGTTCGTTTAAATAGTCACTTTGCATCATGATGGTGATCACGACCATCAACAACACCATGAAGAATTAAATGAGGATGCTGTACAAATGAGATAGATCAATTGAAGCTGGCACACTATGCTAGTATGCCCTTTTTTCTTTTATTTTTTTTTCTCTTTGCAGGACAATATTTTTACGATATCTGGGAACTTAATTTCTTTGCATTTTTCCTTACTCTGTTCACCCTTTCCTTATCATCATAGTTGCGCAATTAACGGGGCTAGGTTTTGTTTGTGAATTTTTATTAGTTACTTTCCTTAATTAGTTTGGTCTTGGTCTTGGAGGGGTACGGTATTGCTGAATTTCTTTCCTTATTTCTTATATCTCTCTCCTTTTTTTTCCATCTCATTATATCAACAATGCGGTTCGCGGGTGGGCAGGTTGGCGGAAGGGTTAGCATACTTTTTGCTCTTTAAAACGGTACAATTTGGTAAGTTGGAGGAGCAGTCAGTGTGGATAAGACGTGAGAAAAAACGAGAGGAAAAAAAATAACAGGAATAACGCTGTGATTATGCAGATGGTTTTATGTGAATATTTAGGTAGTTTGTTCATCCCGAACGGATCTCCTTTTTGCTGCTTTTTGGTGTTGCGTGAAGTTTTTTTCGCATTAGCTCTTGATTCTGCGTTGCATACTTTACCTTCATGATTTTGCTGCTTCTCCTGGTTAGATAGACCTGCGGATCTAACTAGCTGGACGCAGAGAGGTATTTCCTTAGTACATGATATACTGATGTATCAAACTTGATCATCGTTTGCTTATTCATTAGAGTTTACGTGTGCGTTGGTCAGATCTGAATATGTGCACTTGCAGCATTGCCCTTCCCTCAAAAGGCTTAGCTGTTTCGTTTCGTGCGTTTCATGAACCCGAGTAAAAGAAGCTTTTTCTTTGTTTTTCTCCCTCTCTAGAAGCAAATAAGACGCGTAAAACAGAGATTCAAAAAGCATTATCAATGAGCTATGACCGACGGTAGAAAACAATAGTACATTATCTTGAGTGTATATGACTTAGTCTATAGAAGGAGGGCTGAATCGAGAGGCACCTAGAGATGCTCTTTAAAGTATAGGCTGATAACTTATAACGAGCTCTTACTATAGTTCCACCTTTACAATGTAGCATTACATCCTTCTACACAAATATTAGGATGTAATGAATTGGCAAATAAAATAAAATAAAATCATAAAGATCGGGTGTAAGATGGATTTATACCGAGTGATATCCTGTGAGTAAACCGACCAGAAGGCAAGAGGTGGTCTCTTCAAAGACGGTAGTACCTAGGGCTCATATCTTGAGCCGTTGTCTTTCAATGCGTATACATTGGTGGCCAATTCCACGTTCTATCTCCTCATATTTGAGTAGTATAGTCTTCGCCACCTCTACCAGCCATGGAAATGAATCATTTGATTCGTTTCCCACCAAGCGAATTTTGGGACGCTTGTGGAAAAGGCATAAAAGATTCATTTCCAAAGCCGAAAACCCCTTTTCTTGATCCAACTCCGCTTATGTACTACCTATTCTGGACATGGATGCGTCGTCATCCCAAAATATGTTTTAAGTTTCCTGATGCCTTTTCTGATGCCTTTTCCTGGGCTGCACCGGGACCCAGAATGGCTTTTCTTATGTCTTTTCCTGTGACTTTTCTACAATAGACACGGTTTATGGGGAACGTATAGAGCTTAATATATCGATTAATGGCGTAGGTGATAAGATGTGGACTGTGTAATCGCTGTTCTCTAGGTTCAATCCCTGAATAAGTCTTTTTTATTTTTTTTATTTGTATCTTTTATATAATGTATATATAAGTCTTGGATTAGTGGTAATGTGTTTATTAAAGTAACATATGAGACTTAAGATTCATTTCCGGATTCATTTCCCCATAGTAAAAAGATTCATTTCCTTGGTAAAGACAGTTCACTTAATAAACACATTTCCGATGATTCATTTCACACCAAATTTTTACGTGAGTATAAGATTCATTTTTTGATTCATTTCAATAGTTGGTAGAGCACTGATGTTTCTATTAACATTTCCTACCTGGTTTTCTATGACCTATATTAAGACTGGGCGGAGCAATACTTTATCCTTTATCTGGTTAGTAGGTACCGGTGTACTTATCATCTTAAAGTGTAAGATAACCATCCATCCAATGATATTTCGAAGACTAGGCTGTTTCCATGGATTGAGCCTGCTTCAACTGCAGCTTGGTGAAAATGCAATATACAGCGGTAGGTAATAAGTGATGGAACAGAGCAATACCTATTTTGGTAAAACGCCACCAACATTTGGTGTTTGTACTCTCAGGGCGTTCCATCACTTATTACCTGTCGCTGTACTGTATGTTAACGTTAGTCAAGATAGACCAACATGTACATCGCCGCTGATACTAATCTATATAAAACAATGATTTATTTGATACATTGATTGCTATGTTTTATGGTTTGAGGTGGATAGTTACACGTACGTTCCCCTAAACCTGGTATTTGATAGCGGCCGTCTGCAGCTGGTAGCTAAAACGCACCCCCCCCCCATACATATCCCAGAAGAGAAAAGTAAATCTGAAAAAAAATTTCTAGCTATGGTTATTACCTATAGATAGCCCGCGTTTTCTTTTATTTGGCACATGGGATATATTTGGCACCGAAGAGGAAAAATACGTATGGCAGCTAGAATCAAATATGTGACCGAGTGATTAACTATGAAGAGTCTGGTCTTATGTGGCTTAGGCTGGCGATAAGAGTCCCATGAGCATGGTGGTATTATATCAGCCACCTGTTATTTCTGGGCAGCCCTCTCACCATGGATATGAGATAGGACTACGTGGGCCCAGATTTTGGGATATCTAGCTAAGTGTTCTATATTGTCTGAATTCGCAAAATGAGCAGGTCAAATCAGATTGTTTTTAATTTCTAGCATGTCGTAACTCTCGATCCTCTAAGTGCTAAATCACCACCCAAAAAAGGTTAATTGAAAGCCGATACGCCAAGACAGCTTCGGAGAAGTAAATTTCTCCTATCCTTTTGGGATATTCCTGGATGAATGCCCTGTGTATATATCATTCGATTTGTAATTTACCTATCGCTTTAGATCGGTTGAAACTTCTCAAAATCATGAGTACATGTGCACGAAAGCTATATTACGCTTATATATACGTGGGAGCGATCCCACCGTTAAGAAATTGAAGCCTGTGCTTTGCACCACAGTTTTTACAATGCACATCTGAGGAAGTTTCTGCACCGAGGCCTGAGCTTGTTGATCATGGTTTGCTGGACCATGTAATATCGCACACGTGCTCGTCTCAGGTTCATGCGTCTATCAATAAGGTTTGTGGTGTTAGTATGCATATGGCCTCCGAAAGGTGTCACTGTTGGCAACCGCTTGCTTATCTCTTTCTCCCTCTCTCTTTCTCTGTTACAGTTACATTTACGCTAACATATACATAAATCATAGGGGTGATCTAGCAGACACATGCAACCAATCACCATGGTACCCTACCATCGTGCTCTCGTGAAACCACTGCATCTGTGGGCAAATCTCTCTTCCCCGTAATTAGCTTGGCCTATATGGCTCCATTCATCAGTACGTAAATCAAGAATTAAGCAGCAGAAGCGTGTCAACACCTGACTTGTGTGTGTGTTATTTCCGCCCGATCTAGTATATAGATCAAAGAGCTGAACTCTCTCTTGTGTGATTATAGGCTCGGGCATACTTTCTTGATTTGGGCTATTGAGCGTCGTCTAAGCGGCTGACAGAAGAAATTTGAAGATCACGGAGCTAGGTCAACTCAATAATGTAGGGTAATGAATGAGACATCTTGGCGTGCTTATTTCAACAGGTGCCACGCAGCTACCTATCGTTGCCCAAAATTACCCTTTCCTAAAGCCTTTGGATCCCCGAAGAATGGTGGCGAGACATTTCATAGATCAATATCTGTTATATGCTTCGATCGGTGTTTTGGATCATGGAATGTTTGGATCATGTAAGATCACTCGCATGCGAAGGATCGAAAGCTCAACGGCGTTGTTGGAGGGTATCATTGACATTACTTATGAAATGGGAGGATGCAGTGGCTTTATCACCAAGAATTCATCTTAAATAAGTAAAAAGGTCGATATGCGGTTTATTTAGAGGATGATTGGTAATTCTTGGTCAACATCGCCTGTTCCACCCACAAAATATTCACATGAACCGAATAGCTTGTTAGTGACCGCCACACGGAGGGTCTCCGAGTCTGTTATTGATGGAAAAACGGGTTTTTACTGTTGAAAATCTCGTACGTGGAATTGATCCAGACCCCAAAGGTGCTTATAGTTTTCTCAAGAGCGGCCAGGCGGCCGTTAACTCATCGTCCTGAGTTATGAATCCCCATCTAGATTTGTTTTTTTAATCCATTTGTTTGCCTCCTACAAGCAATTTGAAGTATGTATTTCATCAATTGAAAGTGATTTTCTGAAGGTGGTCCCGGAATAGAGCCCGCCTCCCATGTAGCCCAAATTATAAAATCCTCGCACCACCATGTTGAAGTAGTTGAGTTCTGTCCATATGTGCCAAAAGATTAAATCATCAAATGTCTCATCATCGAAGTCAGGGCCGGCCGGCCGTTGGTTACAACTGGCGGCAAAGTAATCGAACGAGAGTGATCTCCTCGTTCAACTTTGATAGCAAGCGGGTAGGTTTAGATTGCGGGTAAAGGCTGCAGATGGTATCTGAGATAGCCATCGGTGTTAGTAAAAGGAACCCAAACCAAGTCTTTGTATGTATGTAGCGGAGGCGAAAGTAGAGTTTTTGATAAAATAATCATGGCCGCCAGTGCTAGTTCCGCTCGATCCGAACCTCCACTACAGGACGTAGGGCACCGTCGTCGATATGCATCGGAGGCGCCTCCGAAGAAAGTAATGTTTGAATAACAATAGTCTTGGCTAGCTCAGTACGGTTTGTTTTATTCTATGATTGTTAGTGAAGAGCGTGTTAAGCTTTTCATAACCCCGGAAAACGGTTAGAAAGATTCCCAGACGCTCAATAGCCGAGTTACCCCGCATTGTATGGGATATTTGCCAAGAGGGAAACTGACGAACGGCAGTGAGCGGAGATGCTCCGCTATGTACTGGTTCTCTTAGCTAGGCCTTTTTCGCTATCTATTCGACTTTATACCGATGGTGCAAAGGAATGAAGGGGGAGCCCTTGACCCCGCAAAGTAGGCACACACGATATGTAGAGAGGAGAATAATCGGCCCAAATTTCGGGTTGATAAAAGTTTGGCATAGATTCACAGAGACAGTTGAAGAGCTCTAGGAGAAGCCGTCAAGAGAGAAGAAAGAAGTGTCTACGGAGCTAATAAATGAATTATTTGGATTACCAGCCTTGTTGACAACAACAAGCGTAGTAATTGTCATCTTTAGTAGATTGGTCAGGGCAGGCTACGTCTCTGAGTGGTGGAGTGGTTAGCAAGCGGCTACACCTAGGCTATTCTGGTAAGAACGGAGAAAACCCCGCATTAAGCATGTTGATCCTATCTAGAATCGGGACAACATTGTAGATCACCGACCACTGCAGGTATCCAAATTTCTGCTCGCGTTTTGGGGCCGCGTGATGATTGCGATGCCATCTACCGCACTTTATGCAGGTTTTACTCGCGAGAAAGACAGAAGGAAAACAAGCATACCGGCCACACAATTGAGCGGGCATGGCCCCGTCTCGAAGTTCTCTTTGGAGATGCAGTTTCGCCGTTATGGTCAATTGATGCGTGCACTCCTGGATAAAACACTTACGACCACTCGCTTAACAAGGCGAAATAGCTTTTAAAAAGCTTCGCTCCCCCAGATTTATGGAAGCCTTGTCAGTACATAGCCACACTCGCCTCGGTATTGCGTCCCGCCCCTCAAGGTTCAATTCCACTACTAGTTATCACTCGAGGCAGAATTATAGCCTTAGCTGTGAACTATGTTTCACGCAGAAAATACCAACGACCCGAAGGAGGTCAGGAACTGGAAAATTCACCTACTGGGTGAGTATATCGCAGCTATGACTATTCTCGGACTATCGCTGATTCGTGGTGGTTATGTGAAGGCTTTGGGGTGTCGATGTCTGCTGTAGCAGTAGGGTTAGACAAGCCTGTGCCATACAACGAACACGGCAACTTTGCTAACAAAGTATTCTGTATTGCAAAGATTCGATACTGCATTTATAGGAGGTACCCAGGCACTGGTGTCTTTCAAGGTATTCCCTACTTCTTGTCGAAAATCTAAAAGTTCATAAATTGGCTAACTTTGTTTCACCAAAAGCGGGATTTTGGACTAGATGTCCAAAGTCAGTATGAACGTGACACATTATCGGGTGTGTACTGAAAATTTTCGGGAGCTAAATCATAATTTCAAGATCTAACATTTTTCTCCCCCAGGGAATATTGTGTCAACATTTCAAGCTGGATGTGTTGTGGGGTCGCTCATAACTTTTCCAATTGTCGAAAGATGGGGACGCAGAAAAGGGATGATCCTGTCGTCATTGGTTTTTTGCATTGGTGCAGCCTTGATGGTGCGTGCCACAATTATTATTTTAAAGGGAAAAGGGAGAGGAAACAAGATTGACATTCTAGTTAGACTGCTTCATCTGGAATGCTGCCACTCATCTATGCTGGCCGAGCAATAACTGGCCTAGCAATTGGTGGTGCATCATTGATCGTTCGTAAGTCATTTCCCCGAAACGAAACACTGGTGTAACCCAAGCTGATGCTACCAAGCCGTTTATATTGCCGAAACCTCACCACCGAGTATTCGTGGAAGACTAGTAGGAGTATTCGAAGTGTTGAGCCAAGCCGGTGGGATGCTGGTAAAATTTACCCCACACTATGTGCAACGTATGAGATGATCTGACAATGCACAGGGATTCTGGATCAATTACATCGTCGATAGAACCATAGACCCCGCTGGCCCAACTCAATGGCTCATTCCTGTGGGACTTCAACTGGCCCCCGGAGCTATTTTCTTCTTTGTATCTCTTTTTGCCCCCGAATCACCTCGTTGGCTTTGTAAGAAGGATAACTGGGATCAGGCCAGGAAGAATTTGGTTTTGTTGCGGAACCTCCCAGGCGATCATGAATATATCCTGGAAGAACTCACTGGGATCAGGGAGCAGATTGAGCTCGAGCAGCTCAAGTCAGGGGGCAGTTCTCTGAAAGCGAATCTCAAAGAGATGACCCTTAAGGGGAACAGAAACCGCGTTGGTATTGGACTATTATTGATGGCTTGTCAGAACCTGACTGGTGTTAATGTTTGTTCTCCTGTTAACCCTAGAGCAGACCTAATCACATTTGCTAACATGAAGAAGATTCTTACCTACTACTCGCCTCGTATTTTTGAAACTCTTGGATTAACAGGAACCTCAACAAAGTTATTTGCGACAGGATGTTACGGAATCGCTAAAACTCTTGGGATGGTGATTTTCGCTGTTTGGCTGGTTGAACGAGTTGGTCGACGAAAAGCCTTGATTTATGGCGCCTTTGTGGGTAGTATTCCGATGTGGTATATTGGAGGATATGTTATGAAAGCCGACCCCGAAACAGCAGCTGCGGAAGGAAGATTCACCCAGAGTGGTTGGGGATATCTTGCGATGGTTTGCGTATACCTCTATGGGCTCGTGCGTACCCCCCCCCCCCCCCTTGGCTAGCTTCAAAGTATTGAGTTCTGACTTGTATGCTGCATTGTAGGTTTATTGTATGACCTGGCAGGGAACAACCTGGGTGTACTGTTCGGAAATCTTCCCAATTGGTATTCGTATGTTCTGGTATGTAGCTACCATCTGAATTCCAAGAATAAATGCTAAGACCGTGGTAGTGTCGCTATAACTACAGCAGACCAATGGCTCTGGTCTTTTATTATATCTCGCTCGACCCCGTAAAGCCCCCGCTCTGTAATCATTCAAATATTCGAAACTTTTTTACTAATAATAAATGTAGATATATGATTACGAGTCTCGGCTATGGGACTTACTTCTTCTTTGCAGCGTTGATGATTCTAATGGGAATATGGTCATTCTTCTGCGTGCCGGAAACGAAAGGACTTACGTTGGAGGACATGGATAGGCTTTTTGGGGTCCCGGAGAGGATTGAGAGCGAGGGAATGAAGCGGACGGGGGAACTGGAGAAGGGTTCTGATGAACTGATCGATAGTGTTGACAATGCGAATATGAGGAGATGATAGCCTTTTTTTTCTCTTTTTTTTTTCGTGTACATATTAGCTACGAAGTAAATGACAGATGGTTTAACCCAAAGTCGTACAAGTGCTAGTACATGTACTTATAGTGAATTACGCTACCTATGTCGTCATGAACCTTAATTGATTAGCTTGGATCTAATGTTAGAAAACTACACATACATGTATTGTCGGGGGCAAAAATATCAGTGCTCGGGGCTACGGTAGAGTGTCGGCTCACTACATACGTAGTATTACGATGTACAACTTCCTACATCAATTCAGTCAAATTAGCGAATGGCCAAAATGGGACTTCTGTCTGGGGTTTATACTACGTGCTCGGAGTACTGTCCCCACAATTTCACGAACATTGGAGTATTTGCATCCAGGTAAAATCCGGCCTGTAATGCTTGTACTCGATTTCTTCGCTGCTTGAAGCTAAGTCGGTCTGCTGCGATACGAACGACGTTGGCGGTTATTAATCTTGGCGTTGTCGAGTGACGGGCAGTGATTGAATTTGTGACCTGCATTGTGATGGATCAATGATCCAGTGGTGCAATTCTACCAAGCCAAGCTCGAATAAAACCAGGAAAATTTACGTCACATCTATCAAATGCTTGCCCCAGTTTAGTACTATGTAGTCTGCCCGGGTTCTGCAAACTGCGGCCGCCCTAGCTTAGGCAAATCCATATACCGTTAGAATCTCTACGGCCCATGCAAGCCTGTACGACGGCGGCCCGTCAAGGGGTCTGCTGAAATTCTCTTTTTCTGCTGTTTTGATACTGGTGTAGCAGCGCATTATGGTGGAGGAGGGATATATCGATGCCCAGACTTGGTGAGAATAAGTATAAACAATTCATGATGCTTATATCCATAACAGAGTTCTTTCTATTGTTTACATCATGGAGCTTTCATCAAACCCAGCTATTTCTTCGATTTCCACGGTAATGGTGCCCTTACCCCACTTCTCTGCATAAACTATTTGCAATTCAATTAACACATCTCAATGTTTGATCCACGAGAACAAAAAAAAAGGTCGAGGAAGGTCGTTGTTGACAACCTTGACATGTCGTCCCCGCATGTTTGACAAGGGTTGCAGCATTTTCTTCCCTGGAGTGATTGTCTCATCTACGATCTCGGAACCAATCAAGCGAATCCTTGATCTATCGAAAACACGGATTCACGAGCCTTTTTGCCATTTTATCCCTAGCACCTCTGTTTTTAGGCACATATGACGCAACATCCCGAAGTTTCGCGGGTGTTTGCAGCATCGCGGGTGTTCGCGACTCGGTCCCCCGATACCTTGGCGTTACCGCGGCAACCGCCCCAACTTGTGTTGTGTTGTTGTGATTTGCGGACCTGCCCCAACGGATAAACCTTCTTCAAAACGCCCATCTGCTCCCCCTCCATCATCAATCATCAATCACCACCACCTCAACCAACCCCTCCCTCTCATCACAACTTCTGTTTATTTTCATCAAGAAGTTTGTTCATTAACCTTAGCTTGCTCTCGTTTCTTGAGTCATTAGATTCTACTAGCCCGACACAAACGAAACACAATTGCCATCGACCGCGAAGGACTCGTCTTAGCTATATCACCCGTTTTAGCCCGCGTTCTATTTGCTAGTTAGCTCGGGAACCAGGCCTCACCCCATCCCATCTGCCCTTCTGCTATTGCTCCGGTCCAGCATTTGATCACAATGAGTGCTTCCAGCTGGGCGAACGCGCATTCAAGAATGTAAGTTGTATTGTCATTGGGTCTTAATATGGCAGCTAATTCCTTTTAGCGGAACACCTGCCTCCATGATGTCGGATCCATCAACAATAGTCTCACGAACATCACGCTCAACAGGCGTGACAACCCCTGGAGTAACTCCCTCGTACTCAAAAAAGCTCGTCGTTGTCGGTGACGGTGGATGTGGAAAAACATGTCTCCTGATCTCCTATTCACAAGGATATTTCCCGGAGGTTCGTGCGCCCCCTTTTGTTCCATGTGACGAAGTTTATCGCTTATCGCGCAATTGTTTTTGCGATCCACGTGACATTAAACTGACTGTTATTTTAGAAATATGTACCTACTGTCTTTGAGAATTACATTACGCATAAAACACATGAAGCCAGTGGGAAGATTGTTGAGTTGGCGTTATGGGACACAGCCGGGCAGGAGGAATACGATCGCTTAAGACCACTATCGTATCCAGAAACCGACGTCCTGTTTGTTTGTTTCGCGATAGATTCTCCGCATAGCCTTGAGAACGTTTTAGACAAGGTAATTTGCGCTCCTTGAATTGCAGATTTACATATAAAATCTTGGCTAATACATTTCTTTTATAGTGGTACCCCGAAGTCCTCCATTTCTGCCCCTCAACCCCAGTTGTCCTCGTCGGTCTCAAGACGGATCTTCGAAAAAACAGAAACGTTATTGAACTTCTCAAAACGCATGGAATGACGCCCGTAACGCAACAACAGGGAGAAGAGGTCGCGAAACGCATGGGTGCGCGGTATGCGGAGTGTAGTAGTAAGGATATGATTGGAGTACATGAGGTATTCGACTTGGCAATGGATATGGCGGTGGGTCATGGGCAGAAGAAGTTGAAGAAGAAGAAGAAGTGCACAATTTTATAAGACGACCACGGTTGTGATGAGTTTTCTTTTTTTTCTTTTCTATTTTGATTCATTTGTTATATGATATTCGTTCTGTACGAGCTACGCGTATACCTATACCTATGTCCCTTTATTATCATACCTTTTCCTTCGATCTTCATGTTTTTATCTTTCTTTTCTACTTTTTGGAGGAGCGAACTCGTTTACCTATTTGTTGGTTTGTTCGGTTCTTTTCATATTCTCTTTCTTCTCGTGGGGAAATTTTTGCATCGAGCGCAGTGGAGTAAGCGGGGAAGGGCTTAATGTTCAATGTCTCAAATGAATAACCCACCAAGCAGGGCTTGGGCAAAAAAAAACGAACGCATAACGAGTTAAGAGAAGAACTACTTACTATATTATGTACGCATAGTGATCTGGGATGCTTGATTTTTTCTTTTTTTTTCTTTCTTTTCTTCTGCTTCTTTTTACTTTTGAGCAAGCAACTCAGTTTGTGTATCTCCTGTATTTGTTTATCATTACATGGCACGGGCAGGGGAGGGGATTCGTTTTTTTACTTTCTTGTTTTGTTTCCGGAATCAATTGCAAGTGGTGGCAGTGGTGGTGGTGGTGGTGGTGGTGGTGGTGGTGGTGGTGGTGGTGGTGGTGGTCGTGAAAAAAGAGGCAACGCATATATCATCTATGGAGGAGGGCGTCAGTGGAGTACTCTTTTTTGTCTTTTCTTTTGTAAATGCTTATCTATTTACTGTTTTTTTTCTTTCTTTCTTATTTTATATACCGACAGCCTTTGTACCATCCAATTTTTTTTCTTTTTTCTCTGCTCTACTCTACTCGTATTTTTATTTTATTTTATTGTACATGTATGTAGTATGAATGATTATGGCGAGCTCGAGAACAGATTGACTCCAAGCTGATATGATGGATGGCCGTTCGTGTTATTGTGGTGGCTGGCAAATTGCAAATATTGTTGATGTTTTGAAATCCTCTGGTAATGTACCCTCATCCCCCCAATCTGCAAGTGTGTTTCCTTTTGGACACTTCTTCCCACCTAGGTCAGCCCTACACTACACTGTGTAACAAAGGAAGAGAAAAAAAATTACATAGATTCCCCGTTCGAGTAGCGGGCCCGTAAGTTTCAGCTCCCTTAAGACAACTCAAGGCGTTTGAGGTTTTTTCTTCTTTCTTTCTTCTGCCCCCAGTCTTTATCTCATGCTCAGCCAGGCCCCACAGTGACTAAAACGCACCTGAAGGGTCCCGTTTGCTATTGATTATACACACCGCGCGCTCGCTGCATATGCAGTACAGAACTCGATATGCCGGATTGCCAAGATTCGAAGGATTTCATACGGGATAGCAAAAAATCCGGGATAGCAAATTGATTTTGCAGTAAAAAAAAACCAAAACCCCAGAGGATTTCGTACGGGATAGCAAGGGATCCGGCGTATTGAGATCCGGCATATCGAGTTGCGACTGTACGCACTGGATGGTGTTTGTTTGTCGCACAAGAGCATGCGGGAGCCTGGAAGAGGCGTTTTTGGGGGGTTGATGGCCCGGGGCGGAGCGTGGATTTCACGTGAGGGCGAGGGCGAGGGTAACGCGTCGGGACAGGGGAGAGATGGGGCGGTTATTTGGACCTTGTAAGGTCACGGCTGAGGGATGGGTGGGATGGGTCAGGTACATGTATTTGGGTGGCCCGGAGAAATTGGGTCTTTGACACAGATGGGTCTTGAGTTCTACCATGGTACATAGGTAGGTTGGAGACTCTAGAATGGAATGGCGTATTGTGGGGTTGTATGCTGCTGCTGTTGTTTTAGATGGGTTTTGTGTTTATGGATTTTTGGTCATTGGGTTCAATGGATGATAAAATAATACTCTTATTATTATGAGTCTAGATCTCTGTTTTTGGAACATTGCCGGCGGACGGGCTGTATGCCGTTTTGTTTCTCCCATAGATATGAAGTAACCAATATAGAAACAAAAAACCAACAGTCTTCGAACCCGCTAGCTGCTTGTATATATATATATATATACATGTATATATTGGCGAGAAGTGGCTTTTTGCCTAAATTATCAATATACTACTATAATAGCTAGCATTCCGGCTTCTTATATAAGGCGACTACATGTAGTTCCCGCCTCCAGAATTGGCATTACAAATCCAATTTAATCTATCTACATATAGTCACAGCACGTACCGTACCTGATTTGCGCCAGCCGTGCCTGGTAGATCTACATTACCTGTAATCGCTTATGTGAGGGCACTACATGTAGGTATGTAGACCGTGTGCACCTGTGCCGAGAATGTACCTGTGCCGAGCATCTTATCTGATCTCTAGGGATCCGCTCCAAATGGTGGCTAAAATGCTGCCTTTATTATAAGGTGCTCGGCACAGGTACATGCTCGACACAGGTGCACACGGTCTACATGTATTGAAGTTATTCCTAGTCTCCGCCAATCTGGCCAAGCCAGCTGCTTCAAGAGCAATCACTCGGCCGCCAAGACATCTCCTTGAGGCTCGTTGAAGCTACTTTCACTAGTATTTCAACTCCACTAGTTGAATTATCCATATTTCTTCGTTAAGTGTTCTAGAGAAATAGATGGTGTTTCCCGCGGCAGGTGCACTTATGCCATTGTGGTCGAAAGTCGGCCCTGAATCTTGCTACCGCAGCTGGTTAATGCCGGTATTGTGATCTTTTGATCGACTGTATTTTATACTCAACGGAGTACATGCAGTAAAAACAGGTCGTGGAATATACACCCCGTTTTTGTTCACATGTTCACTACACAGCTGTGGTGGTCCATTCATTGTGTCTCATAAACCTTATACAGCCCTCGGCTGCTACCGCTGGCATTGCCTTAATTTCAGGCACCCCACCAAGGGGGCTCTGGTCAGGGGGGATTTGTTTGTATACTGAATATCATATATATACATAAGTACCTCTTTTTTTTCTCTAGAATCATTATTCTAGTAGTTGTAGATAGAGATGTGTGTATGTAGATGCCTATTGGTGAGTTGTGTAGGTTCAACTCGTACTGGTGCCTGTTTGTTCGAACAGGCTGCCGTCTGTTGGATGGCTGTGAGGGCATACACGTATCCACCCGATCCGTCCAAATCAAATCAAAAGTAGGATAGCAGCCGGATTAGTCTGTGCGGTCAGCCTGGAATACAAACTTGACAGTCCCTTTCTTTTCTTTCTTTCTTTCTTCCCCCCTCTCTTCTTCTCTCCTCTTCACTTTTCTACCACATCTTTCGAACTCCATCAATCTCTAACCCCAAAAACCAAACACAATGCCCGTCCTCCCCCACAACCTCTTTACCCGCTCTACTGCTACCGCTATCACCGATGCCGCCACACCAGCCGCCTCCGGCCTCAGCAGCCGTCTCGGCGCCTGGTACCACACCGCGGGCCTCAGCGACACTGCCCGCGACCTCGCCCAGCGTGGCACAGCAGCCGCCCAAAGGGTACTCGAGAACGAGCAGCTCAAGGCCTATGCCGACCACAGCGTAAATGCTGCTCAGGACGCCGCCGTGTGGACCTCGGAGCTGAAGCTGGACCCGGGGTATACGGCGGGGCTTGGACAGTGGGTGAGCGCGCTGTGGGCGTGGATTGTGGCGGCGGTGGGCGGGGTGGGTGAGTGGTTTGCGGGGGCTGTGAGCGGGATGGGTGGATGGTTTGCGGGGATTGCGGAGGCGATGGGGCCGTTGTTTGAGAGCTTCTTGGGGTGGTGCAGTGGGCCGCGTGGGTGTTTTCATTTCTGGTGTTTTTTTGGTGTGGGTGGGTGTGTGCTAATTGGGTGGTGTTTGGGTCCGTAGAGGCGATTAGGTTGATGATTATCTGGGTATCGATTGTAGTTGTTGTGCAGCTGTTGGTGGTAGTTGTGGGGTTCGGGCCCGCGGGGGTTGTGGCAGGTGCGTCTATTCCGTTCTATTATACTAGCTCCGGATCCCGGGTCGTCGTGCGGAAAAAAACTAATCCCCGCTGTAGGCAGTCTTGCGGCCGGGTTCCAGGCTTATGCGTATGGCGCATTCACGCCCGCGGGCGGCTTCTTTGCGTTCTTCACGTCGATGGGGATGCTGGGGCTGATGATGCCGCTGGGACTGGCGGCGGGCGTGGTGCTCGCGACTCTTGTCACCATCATTTGCTTCCTTGCGGGAGTGGGGTTGTAGGTGTGGGGAGGTGTGGGTGTGATGAGTGGTCTCGGTGAGAAGATGTGGTGGGTATCTTTCTGGCATTTTAAATGCGCTTCATTTTGTTTGCGGTGGAGGTGGGGCTGGGTAGGGCCAGAGATATATCTCGATCTCTCTAACTATATATTCTTATATCAAAGTCTGCAATCGCTTATTGTTTTCCTATCTGCTTGAATGTTAAACTAAACCTCTCTATTACATGTAACTAGCTAGCTACACAAAGCAATAAAAACAAATACAATCCTACCATGAAAATAAAAAAAAATAAAAAAAGGTCAAAATAAAAAGATTATACCAAGCAAACCCCATGTAAGAACTAGTTAGGATGCAGCTAGCTATATACCTAGCTAGCCAGCCAAACAAATAACGATTGCCTACGCACGCACGAACCCACTCCCACAGAAGACCCCCAATCACCGCTTCCCAACCCCCTCGGGAGCCCCTCATACATAACTGTACTCTCGTCCCCCTCGCCCTCCTCCGCGCCCTTCGTCTCCTCCGGGTTCTTGGCCATGACGTTCTCAAATTGCGACCACAGCGCCTCGACGCTCTCGAACTCCTTCCCGACCTACACACCCCACCCACCGGCCCAATAAGTACATCAAATACTCCCCTACTATAATAGATAGACAGGAAGACTTACAGCGATAACCCCCTCCAGCGACCGGTTCAGCACATTCATGTTCATGAGCACGTGTTCTAGCGACAGCGCAATCTCACTGACCAGCTGGTCGCGCTGCACTGGTATCCGACGGTTTGTTAGCTAGCTTGTTCATTCACCTTGCTATGGGGTGGGGTGCGTACGTTCAAAAAATGACTTCTCGGCGGGCTCGGCGGCGGGCGCGGAGGCGGAGGCGGCGGGGCGGGAGGTGGACATTCGTGCGGTGCTAGTGGTGGGTGTGAGGTTAAGGTGATGAGGTGAGGTTGTGCGGTGGGTGCGTTATCTTATCGGTTCGGCGGTGGAAACCCTTGCCCTGGTTGGGTGGGTGGGTGGCTTGGCAGGGGTGGGGGTGGAGTGGAGTGTTGGGAAGGAAGGGGAGGGGGGAAGGCTTGGGTTTAGATAAGGTGAACGGGCTTATAACTACAATTGTAGGGGTTTAAGTGGCAGGTGCTCTTGAGATGGCACATACTAGGTTTAAAGCGTCTCTTGTTGTTTTGCGTCCAACTCAACTACATTTTTGAGACGCTCTCGATTATTTGCATGGAAGGATAGACATACCTATACCATTGCTTGAATGTACATTATCTCTCCGTCCAATTCTTCCTCTCGTCAGTAATACATCCTTCTTCGAGCGGAGTGATCATCCATGAACATTTCCGTCACACACAATCACTCGACCGACTAACCCGCCCACGACCAGCTAGCCATGGCCAGCGCCCTCTCCCAAAACCTATTATGTGGAGGTAATCGAGCGTCATCTGGGAATAATCACCGTCTAGGGGGCACGAACTGGGCGCTCGCGGGTTCAATGAGTTTTCCCACTGTTTAGAAGCACCATACAAAACTCCGAACGGGTTAACCTGTTCAACAAACTTGTCCCATTAGGAATATATAGAACACTAGTACTCAATGGTCGTCTATACCTAACTGTAATAGCCACCAAAAGGTACACCATATGAGACCGGCCATATCCCTTAAGCTGTCGCAAAAATGCTGACCCACCAATAAAAAGCAAATTTTGTGTGCTTTATTAATAGATCCCGTTATCTCTCAAATAATAGATCTCTCATACAAATCAAATTCCTCTTTTATAGGGATACCGCGCGCCAAATATGCATGCAAGATCAATTACTACGTATACTATACTAAGGGGGTTTTCTGGGGCTTGTCGATTAATTTTAGTCAATTGTTGAGAATATAAACTCTGGCTGGAGATCGCCAATTTCTCATCCGTGTCGTATGGTTAGTCTTGCAGTATGTACAGTACTAGTGGCAAGGTTGTATACTACATGTAGCAACCAAAAAAGCATCGATCTGATTTTGTTCTTCTGATTACATGTAGTGACCTCATGATAAACCCAAGCGAAACCGTAACTTAGTTTCATATTTTCTCAACCATGACCTAGCTGCTCAAGAAGCCTATAGTATTTACCAAAAAAGGGTATGGATTTGCTACGCTACTCCCGTTAATGCGCTAGTAATGCAGTAAGAATACAGCATTACTATGTATTCTTTTTGTAACGCCGATTTAATTCCGTATTATTCACTGGATTCCGTAGTCATACAGTACTGATTTCACCCCATTTTCGTACTGTATATGTCCAGTTCACGAACTGGTAGGGATCAATCACGACCACAAGCCTACAAGAGTAGGACGAGTAAAAAAATAAAATAAAAATACCGGGATGGTGTGACCCCGGCCTGGCTCATAGATCACTTTATCTCCTGCCCGAGTGATACCTCATGAACAGGCCACATTATAATTATGCAGACTATGTACTCTTGGCAGTGTGCATGTTTAGGGCCCAGAACAGAATCAGGCATCCGGATCTATATGAGTAAGAAGTACTTTAAGAAGAAGAAGAAACCTACGACCAAAACAAACAACACTCATATCAGTTTTATCTCCGGCCATCCACAACCATTTCCAAACAAAACATGAGCAAAGAACCGGAACCCACGCAGTGCAAATATGCCAGGTAATTCTAATCTTAATCTTATTGAGCCTCAGTGCACTTGTACATGTGCCATCGATCTGACGCTTCATTTCCTTCCCGCCCCCCCACAGTTTCATCAGCTCCGAAACATTCACTCTCTATGCCGGCCAGTCCCAGAAGCCCTACCGCGTGCACAAGGAGCTCCTCGCCGCGATGTCGCCCGAGCTCAGGAACCACATCTTCAACGACATGAAGGAGGGCCACGAGAGCTGCATGAGGATGGAGCATGTGACGCCGCAGACTATGTGCCAGTTTCTGGAGTTTTGCTACACGGGGAAATATGCAGAATTCGCCGACGATGGAGATAAGAAGAGGAGGGCAGAGGTGCAGGCGGAGAAGCCGACCTGGAAACAGGCAGGCATACTCAAAGCTTCAGCATTGATGTCACATGCAAAGCTCTACGTCCTCGGGGACATATACAACGTCCAGCGCCTGAAAAACGAAGCCCTTAGGAATATCAATGAGATAATGAAAGACCTAAGCGCTGGTCCTCAAAGTCGAATGCCTGATGTGGCCGAAGAGTGTATCAACCTGATGAGATACGCGTGTGATAATCTTCCTGAGCGGTCGGCTGAGCGGGGGATTGACCCGCTGGTGAAATATCTGGCTCACTGTGCGGCATGGGGGCTGGACTTTTTTCGGAATAAGCTTCCGGAGTTGCTGTCGACGGGCGGTAGAGTGGATTTTACTGAGACTTTCTTGGCGCTGTTGAGGTTTCGGGGGGTGGAGGGGCCGCCGTGGGAGGGCTTTAAGTGCTAGTAGAGAGATATTACAGCGAGGTTGTGATCTAAATTTAAAATAAGGTGTAATCAGAGAATCTAATAGGGTAATGTAAAGGTCGCCCCTTTCGATCCCCTATGAGGTTTTGGTTACAGGACAAATTAAAGTACTCGCTAATCTAGGATTATCGTGTAATCCGAGTACGTGATCGAAGAAAATCTTACTTTATACCTAATCTAGTAGTGGATCTGATGAAAGTAGTAGCCTTAAAGCTTCAATTGTTATCGATGTCGAACGACATATCTCTTAAAGAGTCGAAAATAAGGTACCGAGTGAGATTTTATGAAGGGAAAAGTGAACAACCATGTTAGCTAATCAGAGGTAATTATAGCAAAGGTCGCTGAAGTTGCTGCGCCCGAGTTTTATGATGTTTTCGGTTCGGAGGGTTTGGTTAAGCCACTCGTATAAATCCAGACTCTGGTCCCATTAAGCTCGCCTGACCCATTGAACGCTTGCTTACAGTTTACACAGGGGCGTCATTTCCTGTAAAAAGCACATACACATTAATTGCTAACATTTGTTTACAAAGTCTCAATCTCCCAGGCCTGCAAATGAGCATAACCCACCATGTTCACCGAGAAGGCAAACAATGATAGGCTCAATGAAAACTTCAAAGCGGACCTAAAACAAGTAATGGAGCAGAACATACTCCGTGCCATTCGAATTATCCCTATAATGTAGAGTAATTAAACTACAAATCATATCCTATTGTCGAATTTTTCCTTTCCCACTTCCCGGTTAGAGATACACGTATCTACCATTCCCTCAATTTTAAGCCTAATTAGACTAGAGAGAGGCCTGATCAAATACAGACTCAGATTCCAGGTATTAACATTGCTAGAAGGGACTGCACCACTTGATGAATCATAACACAGATAGTTCTCACGGAGCTAGCTACACTACTAACTACGAGGACCTATAGCTAGGACTGGAAACGTGCGCCCGGAGGGGGGGGGGGGGGGGGAACTATCTGGGGAGGCCCCTTAGGATCGAAATGTACATACATTTCTGATGCGTCTTCGGCGATACGCCGCCTCACACTGAAAATAGGTGTATAGTCGTTTAAAAAAACGTTGACAGAGACATACGAAAAATTTCTATACAGACGATGTTCACAATAGGTCATAGGTTTAGGTTGCCTAGACGTAAGAAGTAGGATCTTTATCACCACTTTAGTCATATCTGTAGGATAACATCAACGAAACTGAAGGTGTCTGTTACTATCCGATGCTTGCCTGCTTATTATCTATTACTATTTATCGATACATAGGGCTCACATTTTGTGGATTTTTGATTTCATGAACGGAGGCAAACGTGTTGGTGATAATTCAAAAGATGTTGCATAAGCATCCCAACCCGAACGCCATTCCTGAGGACAGAAGATATTGTATTCCTGAACCCTCTTGAGAAAAAAAAAAGATCCAACCCATCAAATCATGCATGCCCTAATTTTTAGATACCTTACAACAAGAACAAAAAAAAGACAAGCCAGATTTTTCCCAACAGCCACAACCATCTCGCGCACAAACCCGTCAATAAAGGCGGGCACGTTACGCTTAACGGTATCTCCAGTAGCTCTGGGTGTTGAGGCGCTTCCAGGTCTTTCTCCTGCCAGCAGTGGTCTTGTTGTATCTGTGGCCCTTGTTGAGACCACGGGACTTCTTGCCGGTGGAGGTGAGACCGCGCAACTCACGGTGCTTGTGGACGGGGTTAACGATCCAGTTGATGCGAGCATCGCGGCGGATAGCCTTGTGCTGGGGGTCGACGAGGATGACCTCAAAGTACTTGTAGGTCGAGTCCTGGTTGATCCAGTAGGAGTCTAGAAAATGTTAGTGACGGATTACGAATAGCAGCAATCGAATTGATGCTGCAGGCGCTGTTGTGTGAGGGGTTTACTAACTCAATACACGCAAGTTGGCGCAGCGCTTTCCAACACGCTCCTCAGCGGTGGAACGGAGCGAACGCTGGTACTTAAGCTGGTTGATACTAAATTATTTTTAGTGCGATTAGCTTCTTTCAAGATTCTTCCAAATAATCATTCCCTTTATCATTCGCCGATAAGAAAATCCGGACTCCAAATGTCTCTGAAGTTCCAAGTCTCCTTTATCAATGAAGATAGCAACGAGAAAAGGGAACTCAGGACTAACCCTTGGTTGGTAGGCTAAATTGGAGAAAAACACCAAAGTCAGCAATTCAATTACAAGCTTTATCATTCAACCATTGATGGAACCAATCAACCTTTCCGTAGGTGGCTCCCTTAGGAGCGGGCCTCTTGCGTCCTCCACGGCGAACACGGACACGGTAGATAACATATCCCTGCTTGGCCTTGTACCCGAGACGGCGAGCCTTGTCGGGACGAGAGGGGCGGGAAGCACGGTGAACAACGTTGAGGGAGCGGAGTTCCCAGCAGCGGACACGGAGAAGGAAGCGGAGGATGTCACTCTGCTTCTTCTTCTGGATTTCCTCGACGTACTTGAGAGCGCCCATTTTTGCTGCTGTTTTGTTGTGAGATGGTGTTAATTGTCGAGGGTTGTCGAGATTAATTGGTGATGTTGCTGCTCACCGAGATAATTTTTGGTGGAGGAGGAGAATTGAGGAATTGTGGGCTGTGGGGAGTGTGGGGCTTTTCCTATTCAGTCAAACAACAGTCCCATGCCAAGAGACAGCATCCATGTCGCTATCATGTGATATCGATAAGCGCTTAGCGATAAGTGCCAAGTCTTACTGCGTCTATATCGGGTGCTTAGGCGCAATATTCACTTTGTTAAGTCGCATAACTCGAATTTGGCATCAGCATCCTTGCAAACCGCGACACGTTCCCGTCCGCGGCCTCCAACCGTTGTTGTCTACTGAGTGCATTCTCTTCAACTACAGTTGTCTCTTGCGTCCCAACTGCTTCCACCACCATTTTGTTACCACCAAACTCATCATCACTTCATCCACCACGCGTCTTGAAGTTGTCTCGCCCCATGAACGGCTGCTAGAAGATTCAAAAGGCATAAACTACAATGCACTTCATCCGGCCCCAGTGGCTAACCCACTCTGCTGGTATGTCTTACAGATCTTCCGATTAAACGCGTGCTTTCAAGCTTGTCCCTTCGTCCAATTATCAAGCTCTATTAACACCTTCCCGCCTTGCTCCTTAGCCGATAAAAAGCCGATTGAAGTTTACTCTTGCCATGTCTCTCCAGACGGAGAAAGATTAGCGACTGGGGGTCTGGGTATGTTTTGTACCGTTTAGCCATAAGCTTGTTTTCAAACTGACAAAATTGCTATAGACGGCAATGTCCGCATATGGTCCACCGCAGCCATCAAGGCATCTGTTACCGGAGACGATAATGAAGCTCCCACTCGTCCCCGACAGCTATGCTCTCTTTCTCACCACTCAGGCGCTGTTTTGACAGTTCGTTTCTCCGGCAACAACCGATACCTTGCTTCGGGCTCTGATGATAAAATTGTTCTTGTCTACGAACGAGATGTCAACGCGGTTCCCCAGTCCCGTCCACTATTTGGGTCAAACGAAGCTCCCCACGCTGAGACATGGAGGACATATAGAAGATTGGCAGGACATGATAACGACGTTCAGGACGTCGGCTGGTCTGCGGATTCTTCAATCTTAGTGTCTGTGGGGCTAGATTCCAAGGTTATCATTTGGTCTGGGAGCACTTTTGAAAGACTCAAGAAGCTCGATGTTCATCAATCGCATGTTAAGGGTCTTACATTCGATCCAGCAAATAAGTATTTTGCGACTGCAAGCGACGACAGAAGTATCAAGATATTCCGGTTCACATCTCCAGCAGCCAATGCAACTGCCCATGACCAACAGACCAATTTCACATGTGAGACATCTATTACTGATCCTTTCAAGGACTCTCCTTTAACAACATATTTCCGTCGTTGCTCATGGTCTCCTGATGGCTCTCATATCGCGGCTGCAAATGCCGTGAATGGCCCTGTCAGTTCTGTGGCTATCATCAACCGTGGCAATTGGGACAGTGAAATCAATTTGATTGGCCACGAAGGACCAGTAGAAGTGTGTGCCTTTGCTCCAAGAATGTTTTCAAAAACGCCCCTTACCCCGGGTACCCCACAAACTGCTCCAGTTACTGTCATTGCATGTGCCGGTCAAGACAAGGCCTTATCAATTTGGAATACATCAAATCCGCGCCCATTGATCATTACACAGGACTTGGCAACGAAGGCTATCTCGGATTTGACATGGAGTCCTGACGGGATGACTCTGTTTGTATCATCGTTGGACGGAACCACAACATGTATTTGTTTTGAAGATGGCGATTTGGGTTATGTGTTGGGAATGGAGGAGAATGAAAGGATATTGCAAAAGTTCGGTGCTGGTAGGAGAGGGGCAACATTGCCAGAGGGGACCGAGAGTGTCAGATTAGAGGAGATGGCTAGGGATGGCGAGAGGAGGGAAGTGGAAGGGAGAATGGGTCAATTAATGATGGATGGAAATAACATCAATGTTGGTGGGGATACGCAAATGGCCAATTCTGGAATGAATCCTGGTCCACAATGGCAAATGCAGCAACAACCGCGGGTACCTGAACCAGAAAGGGTTGCCCCTCCTCCTGCGGAGAAGCTTCCAGAAAAGCCTTATAAACAGAAGGTTACAATCACTAAAGATGGAAAAAAAAGGGTGGCGCCTCTATTGGTCTCAACGTTAGTAATTATTTGCCTTATTGATTGTAGGGTCTGTTTTTGAATTTCAGCTGATTCCAATATCGGGTACAGAGGCGGTGGCCATCGTTCAAACCTCCCCAATGCTCACCTCCTTCAAGCGGCTGCTAATAACAACTCTGGAACAAATAATGGTCCAAAAACTGAGCTTGACCTTACACGTCCATATGATGGACTACCGAAGGGTGGAATGCCAGCCCTCCTCATTGGAAATAAGCGCAAGGTGCCTATATCTGATGAGGGAGAAGAAGAGCAACCTCAACATACAAATAATGGGAAACGGGTAGCAGTTTTAGCAAATGGGGGTGCTGGTACCGTAGGACCATTAGAAACACCGGAGTTCATCAGGCCAGCTGTTGTATCCCCTGCTTTAGCGCCTAGTCCAGTGCGATTAGCGGTTCCAAGAGTCAGGATTTGCGTTAATAGGGTCATCGACGCTGCTGGGCAACCTTCCCCAAATGTTCCTAGCATTGGTGCGTCAGGTTCCGCGCCTGCACAAGGCTCTGGCTCAGATGATACCGTCTTTGAGGCTAGGAATTCAAGGAATGTTACAGATAAGGAACCAACACGTCTAACTATCACTAAGCATGGTCAGGTCGTATGGGTGGATTTTGTCCCCAAAGCAGTGTTATTAGTTACAGGAAATAGTAATTTTTGGTGCGCGGCCTGTGAGGATGGAAGTTTGCATATATTCTCTCCAGTGGGCAGAAGAATTCTCAACGGACTCGTTATTGAGGCACAGCCATGTTTCCTTGATTGCAGAGGGTGGTGGCTGATGTGCATCAGTGCTGTGGGGGTTGCTCATGTCTGGTAAGTTCTTTTCTCCAAAATTGGCATTTGCAGCAATTGACTGGTAGGATAGGAATATCAAAACTATGAAGTCGCCTCATCCCCCAGTATCTGTTGCGCCAATATTAGATATTGCAAGTACTTTTCAAAAAGCCGATGGTCTTTCTAAGGCAGAGGCCATCACTGAAGCTGGGATAAACTCGGAAGGCACTATCGTCGTATCTTTGACCAACGGAGATGGATATTCATATGCGAAGGACATGTTTACATGGATGAAGCTCACTGAAGCCTGGTGGGCCATTGGTTCTCAATATTGGGACACGGCAGGGAACTCACGCGCATCCCAGGCTGCGCTGGAAAATCCCTCTGATCCAGGAAACCCCTCTGTCTCCGCGGGCATTATCCCCCATTTGGAACGCCGAACAACCAATGAAGTTCTCCTTCATGGCCGTGGCCGTTTTCTCCAACGTATCGTCAAATCTCTGCTTAACAGGGAAGGGTTTGAAGGGTTTGAGACTGCTGTGTCCGTTGCGCATCTGGAGAACAGAATGGCCGCAGCAGTGGCTTTGGGTGCAAAGGAAGAATTCAAGAACTACCTGTTCATGTATGTCAGACGGATTGCGGCCGAGGGGATGAAAGGAAAGGTAGAGGAGTTGTTGAGAGATTTCATGGGCAGGGTGGATGTTAGCGAAGATAATGAAGACGAAAAAGAAAACGATGAGATTGTGGGTTGGAATAAGATGGAACTGTTGAAGGGAATTTTGCTAGCTATTGGTACGCTCCTTCTTTTCTTTTCACGTTGCTTCTGGTTCCTATAACAAACTAACCGTTCTGTTTGTAGGCAAACATCGTGATTTACAGAGGATTACGGTCCCATATGCAAGAATTCTGGGAATGATAAAGGATGAGGATGAATAACTACGTGTTCTTTAAATAGCTAGCAAGATTTCGTGTTCAGTCCCAATTCCAAAAAGGCTTAAAAACACGGCCGTTCCTACCTATTATCGCTGTATGATTATTATTTTCCTATCTGTTTGTAGTTCTAGCATGCGGTTTTCCTTTATTTTAGGGCATGGTGTGATAAAAGATATCTGCAGTTGGTCATTGTGCATCTCTTGGGCGATTTAGTGTAATCAATATTTCATTAGAACCTATTGAGTCTATTGGGGTGTTTATATTATTTGCGGAATCATCTAAAGGCCAAGGGGGCTGATCAATTGATGAAATATCGAACCACTGCTAATCGATCTCGTGTCCCTAAATGAAAATAATATCAGGTAATATGGTAAGACGTACTGGATATTTAGAGACTGGAGAACGTACTTGGAGAACATTATATAAACTAGAAAGTATTCTGCTTCATAAATTATCACTCGGTGGTTTATCTCACCCCTCCTAAAACACATTTTTTTTTTTTATTCATCCTAAAACGCACACACATATAGACTAGTATCTACAGTGTAAATTGTGAGTGTTGAAATATCCCTTAAGTTGGAACATGCTGACTCTTTTTTCATTTATCCGACCTGAATCAATCTCTCACCAATGACCACTAACACAGGATCAGAATCAAAAGCCCCAGGAGGGGAAATGTATCTAGATAATGCATTGGGGTGAGATATTTACCGCTCAACTAGAAATAACGAGTAACTACGTGATAATATACTTGTATAACTGGTTTGGTAAAGAGTGGTTCTCATTATGGTCATCAATAGGATTGAAAGTGGCGAGAAACATAAAGGAATGGCGTATAGTCGAAGTCATGATACAGGTAGGCATCGTGAACTGCCGAAACCGGACAGTACCCAACATAATAGTTCTAATGTTGGGAACTCCATGCATCCAATGACACTGAGATCAGGTACATTTTAACCATCGGGCCCTCTTTTCCAAAGGGGCCTGAACCCTCTCTCCCTCTCTCCTCTCTCTCTCCTTACGGATGTAAGTGGCTCAAGGGCGATGACGTAACGCGGCTCTGCGGGATGGATTATACGTCACATTGGCCCAGGGCGGCGTTGAGTGCGGTGTGGTGGAGTGGGGGGATTAGTAGGAGAGAGAGCGTCGACCCTGACCCTGAAAGAGTAGAGTTGGAGCACACCAACCCAACACCCCGCAGATCTGGGCATGCGTGATATTCCATGACCCACGCGCGAATGACATCACCACGACCTCACTACTGCTTGCCTGAAGGAAGGGGTGGAACAGGTGGAAGTAGAGATAAATACGCTGGAATCCCACACGGAATTTGGTGACTTTGTATCTATCAGTATCTATATCGCACACAAAAAAAAAACATTCTCACACAAGCAAACCGTAACTTCCTCGCAACCAGGAAAGAAGCTCGCAAAATGACCAAAGATTCACAAGTCGGATCCGCCTCCATCTACGAGGCCGGCGATCAGCGAAACTACTCCCGCGACGAGCAGCAAAAGGCAAAGGCCGATGCCCGCTTCGACGAGGGCAAGAAGGGTGCCCACAGCAACCTCGACTCCAGTATGTTTCTCTCCAATTCTCTGCTCTTCTATCATATACCGTACGGACCCTTACTAACTCTTCAAACTGCCAGAGGATGAACGATCCATCAAGAACCGCCTAGCCTCTGCAAGCGCAGAAGCATCCTCGACGCACGAGGGCCCCGAGAAGTCAAAGGACCACGGCAAGCGGCCATCTCGCATGGAAACGAGCCTTCTAGAGGAGCCAAGATTGATGCCGAGTTGCAGGCGGAGGATGAGGCGATGATAGCGAAGAAGGATGCGCAGAAGAAGGGGGCCGCGGGGCAGACTTCGTAAGGGTTGATGTTGGTGTTGGTGTTGGGTCGGGGTTTGTAATGTTGTATTTGTATGTGTGTACGAGTATTGGGTTATGAGAATGGGTTATGAGTATGGGAATGGGAATATGAGAGTCACTGGATTGATTCTGTGGTGATAGAGGAATTAGTTTTTTTTGGGGGGATGAAATAAATGAGATGTGAATGAACTGCCTTGAGAATTGGGAACGGAAATCATAGGTGTTGGTTGTTTGCGTTTGCACTCGTAATGATGGAGAGGTTGGTTTACAACAGTGATTGACAGACACTATGTATTTACACGTGTGCACATAAGAGAGGAGAGCAAAGGGCCGAAAAGCCGTGTGGTAATAATGTCTAAAAAGAAAACCCCCCCCTATAATCCCTAATGAATAAACAGAGACCCCCAGCCGTCTTGCTTCACACAAAGAAAAGAAAGAAAAGGATGATATAAAGATGAATGGATGTAATTCTTCTTCTTTACACGATCATAAGGTCAATTAACCCAACTTGCTGTTAACTTTGGTAATCCGAACAAAGAATCTGATATAAAAAAGAGGAAAAATAGAAGGGAAAAGAACACCCACCCAGATGATAAAAAAAAAAAAAAGAAAACAGAAAGAAAACATAAAAAACAGAGAAGAAAAAAGCTAATAATATAGAGAAGAGCAAGATAAAACTATGGAACAATAGCAAAAGAACACCCCATACCATATTTTAATACTCGTTCCCACGTTTCCCAAAAAGCATGGGAGGTAAAAAAACCGAAGGAAACATTAAACAAAAACAAGATATGATGCCCCGTTTGTGATAAAGACCCCACCAACACCCCAAACCGCGTTAATCAGTCATCATCGCAAGAAAGAAGCACAGCCTATACAATGGATCGGGTAGATATGGTTATACTAGTAAATCCACAACTAAACCGACACGAAACAAGCACATCACACCCCCAAACAACTAGACAGACATTTTCGTTTATTATTACTTGGCAAACTTAGGATGTTCCGTTCGTTTCTGGCTTGGGAATACCAGTCAACACGGAGAATTGTCCACCAGCATCGGCAAATACCATTGTAACATCCTTGGTAGCACTGTTCTCGATCTTGGTGGGGAGCGGGACATCCACAGCTGGGGGGCCGTGTCCGGTCTGGTAGGAGTCACCGAATCCCCAACTGTAAGCGGTGCCGTCTACGTCGATGGCAATGTTATGGTGGGTTCCGCATCCAATCCATTTGAATCTGCGTTCCGAGATGACATGAGGAACGGCCAAGAAGCGGGGCTTGCCAGAGATGTCGGAGATAACATCTGCTGGAGGTAGCGTCGTAAGATCAATACCGAGCTGGTTCGCGTCAAGACGACCCCACATGAGGAGCTTCCCGTCGTCGGTGATGGCGGTAGAGTGATGTTCTCCTGCCGCGACGTGGACAATGTTGTACTGGTCGAGAGAGGAGATGCGGGTAGGAACCGGGACCACCGTAGCGTCTTCGCCGGCCTTCTGTTCATCGTAGATACCGCATTGACCAAACTGATTCAGACCCCACGCATAGACCTTGCCGTCATTGGTGATAGCGAAGGAGTGGTATGAACCAGTGGCGACATTCTTGACCTTCTTGCGGGGGAGACCGAATTCACGGGGAATGAGACCGTTCAAACGGGTGCGCTCAACGACGCGACGGCCCAATTGGAATTGTTGACCATTTCCCCATGCATAAACGGAGCCTGAGCTGGAAACCGCGAGGACGTGATCATTTCCAACGCTGATTTCAGTGACATTCTTGATCGAAGTCATGAGAGCTGGGCGGGGCTGCACGCGGATTTTGTTGGTGTACCCCAAGATTCCATCGGCACACTAAAACAAATAAGTTAGTAAGGTACAAGTCTAAGAGTATTGGAAAGCCCTACCCTAAAAGTTCCCCAAGACCAGACTTTACCAGTGTCTGTGACCGCGACAGAGATACTGTCGCCAGCGGCAATGCGCGTAATGACGGTTCCCTCTGGAAAGCTATCGATAAGCATAGGTGTGCTCTCCAATTCGTTCAATGGCTCCTCATCATCACTGTCGCTCTCGTCCACGTTCTTCTCGCGAGCCTCAACCTTGGTCTCGCGACCAAGGGCGTACTGGTCATTGACACCCCAAGAGTAAACTTGTCCAGTGTGGGTCAACGCCAAACCGTGCATGCCTCCAATAGCCACGGCGACAATTCCGACCTTCTCGGGAAGCAGGAACGGATTCAGACGCGGTCTCTTTACAATCTTCGCATTCGGCTCCGGCCCAAGACCCAACTCGGAATTGTCACCAGTGCCGAACGCGTAAACATTGAGTTTGAGGGAAGAAAGTTTGTTAATCACGGGAGGAGCAGTGGTACTTGTCTTCCCTCTCTTGCGAGGATGCGCCTTCTCGTGTTCAACTTCAGGCTCGTTGAAGGATGAAGAAGCGTTAAACGATTCTGACTGTAGTTGTGACTGTGACTGTGACTGTGACTGCGACTGCGAAGTAGGAGGGGAGATTGGTGTTTTCTTTCCCTTCTTTTCGGCAGCAGGCTTTTTGGCCTTCTCGGCGGGTGCGGCCTTTGTCTTTTCCGCGGCCTTGGAAGCCTTCTGTGACGCCTGGCTCGCGGGCTTTTCGGCCTTCTCAGGCGCGGCCTTTTTTGCGGCTTTTGGGGCAGTCTTTGATTTCGGGGTTGCAATTTTTCTGTCCTTTACATTGGTGCGTGGAGCGCTTGTGTTGGCAGCGGTTTGTTTTTCTTCGGCCTTTTTGGCCTCGGCAGCGTCTGCTTTGCGCTTTGATGCGCGAACGGGAGCCATGTCGTTGGTGAGATTCAAAGAGATTTTTGGGAATATGAAAAAAGGGTGACTTTGGGTTAGGTAAATTTGCGAATGGTTATTTTTGTTTTGGGCCAGGTGGTTTTCTGGTTGTTGGGGGGATTCACTGCGCGTATGTGGCGTGAATTGCAACAAATAACGGATAGTGGCGGAACTATGCCGTAGTAGTGAATGGAAGAGAGGAAGGAAGTAAAAGGATGATGATGGACAATCAAGGGGGATTGTGGAAGAAATAAGAGGAGGGAAGAGGGAGAGGGAAGAGGAGGAGAGGGAAGAGGGAAGAGGTAGGAGCGGGAGACTCGGGAGGAGTATGAATGGAAAAGGAATGGATGGGTTAGCTCGTTGGGTTTAGGTTTTGGGGGGGGGGGGGGGGTGGACGACCAAGAAAGTTGAGTTTTAGGAGGGATATTGTGTGTGTGTGGGATGAGTAGTAGCAACACCGGTGAAACGAAGTGACTTATTAAGTCAGTAGAGCCACTGTGAAGAAGTAGAGGAAGAGGAATAATTGAAGATCCGTATTTCCACACCTAGAGCACGTAAATGCTTCGTTTGATGAAGTGTTTGGCCCTTCAGCACACGCCTTTTTGTTGTTGGGCTTTGTCACGTCCAAAAAATACTATGTGAGGTGAAACAGCACACCACGGCAACTGATATCACTACCTACATCATACTACGCTGCATCAACTCTGAAGGAACGCAGTTGGATCAGTTACCACTCTCCTCTTCCTGAGGGTATGTACTCTACAAACATATGTACATGCATTCGGGCGAAAGAAGAAGCGAGGGGAAAAAACAACAAAAACATAAAGGTGGCTGGTGGTGTGCCTTTCCTAGAGCAGGTATGAGATGATGCATTCGTGGTGCCACAACCCCGGGCTTCGACGCCTGGACGCCTGGATTGGATGCACGGTATGTAGCATTCACGTGACAGAGCCTCTTCCTCGTGTGTTAGTCCCCCACTACGATTCTATGATACAATTGCTCAGTCTGCAGTGCTGTCTGTTCTAGCAGCACCTCCGAATCTTCAACAATCCTCCTACATAGATGCTAATCTATTCCAAATCCCATAACTCCAATCTCCCGCTTTTCCGGTAAATTTCCAACGCCATGGGCCAGAATTATTCGGCCTTGCCCGACCGTAACGTCGGTAGTGCTGGAATAGAGATCACTGAGCTATCGGATATACACTACGAAAGATCTCTTGGTTCGGCGCGCTTTCTGAAAACTATTCGTGCAAGCCATGATGACGGTCTGGTTGTTGTAAAAATATTCTTAAAACCTTCGCCAACCTTCTCACTGGAGGAATATCATTCACAAATCAAACGTGCGTGTCCCATGCATAGCTCATCCCCGCCTCTGGAGCTTTGTACCTTGCTGAAAGCTTCTTCTAGACGAACAAGAATCTCTGGCAGACATCCCTAATGCCATCTCCTATCAGAGGATCATCGAGACGGATAAGGCGGGGTATATGGTTCGCCAGTACCTGTACAGCAGTCTCTACGATCGGATTAGGTGCCTGACTACATATCCTTCTCCATATTTCCGAAACATAAACTAACGCCTACCCCCAGCACACGTCCTTTTCTAGAAGAAATAGAGAAGCGCTGGGTTGCATTCCAGCTTCTTTGCGGCCTTCGCGACTGCCACGCTCGAGGGATTCATCATGGGGACATCAAAGCCGAGAATGTCCTCGTCACTACTTGGAACTGGATCTACCTCTCCGATTTTGCCAGGTTTAAACCGACGCATCTACCAGAAGACAACCCCGCGGATTTTTCGTACTTTTTTGACACGTCGGGGAGGAGGATATGCTACGTGGCGCCAGAGCGCTTCCTCGGCGCTGGCGAACGAAGCTCTGAAGCCAATCTTACCGACGAAATGGATATTTTCAGTCTTGGATGCGTTATTGCCGAGCTGTTCCTGGAGGGGACACCTTTATTTACCTTATCGCAGTTGTTCAAGTACCGCTCAGGAGAATATGATCCTGCGACTCATCTAGAAAAGATCGAGGATCCGGATATTAGGCACATGGTGCAGCACATGATAAATCTTGACCCCTCAAAAAGGCACTCTGCAGAGCAGTATCTAAATTTGTGGCGTCGCAAAGCGTTTCCAGAATACTTTTACA